CCAGGCCAGCTGCACTTTGATACCAACTCTGGCTCCTGAATTGACAGCCTGTGGCCAAAAGTCCCAAATTCATTGTCAACAGAGAAGTGCCTCCAGGTCGGTCGCAGTGGAGATTTTGGCGACGGTGACGAGCCTGGTTCATTTTGCTCGAGTGGTCGGATTGCCCATTCAAACGCCTCCCCTGTGGTGGGTTCTAATAGTAGTAGTACTAGTACTACTGCCAGGCCCCCCATGCCCATCAGGAATCCGGAGATGAGCAATGGAGTCGAAGAGCGGGTCAGCCATGAGCCACAATAAAATCATAAGGGTCTTAGCCGAGCCGGAGTAATAATAACTGAACAAGGACTCACGAGCACGGCACGGTGTCCCCAATAATCCCACAGGCCGTACCGCCCCTTTCGCGCCATAGATGGACGTGGAACGAATGACTGATGCCCCCGGTTCCTCGCTAGGTTACCGAACAGCAAGCAAGAATGAGAAGACATTTCTAATCCGATTTCTGTGACCGGCACATCACTCCCTAGGCACGTGCACCAGCAGGCGAGCGTCACGACTCACAACGGCGTGGTGGCGTGGCGTCCTTCTCTCAGAGCTTGGGCATACGCCGCCAAGCCACCAGCTTCAGTATGCTTACCATTCTTCTCTTTCCTGGAGCTGAATTTCAACACCGGACATTGGGCCACGTTGAGTCCTTGCGTCATGACACCCACGGAATATTGAGATTACTCGACCATCGCATGTCGACATTTTCGATGGACCTGCTAAAACGGGCAAGTCCTCGTGGTTTGTCAACCAGTAACGCTTCGAGGGGAGCCATTGGATAGCAGGTTCCGCCTACGGCAAAGGTAAACCTCACCGCCGTTTCATCACGATGCTGATCCAGGACCAAGCTGGTTGAAAATTGCCTCTCAGAGTTAGGATGACCTCTTGATCCTCGGAGCTATTGATGTCTGGTTGACAAGACATCTCTCTGTCCTCTGACCGATGACTGCGTGGTTGCGATCAATTCCGGCGACGCATGTTGACCTGATGCCCTGATTCCCGCAATATCGCGCGCCTCTCTGAGCTTAGCGCCACATAATGGCCTTTGGCCTTGACGTTGCCTGTTTCAGCCGGTTGGTGTGATTATTACGTACCTATGGCTGCGCAGCTATGGCCAACCGCCAAGGCGCCACGTACCAGCAAATCGTGGTGTTCAGGTGACTCGTGAGGACGAAATAATCCATTCCTGGACCGGGCTCATACACCAACTAAGATAGCACAGTCTCTCCTTCTTTGAAACAGTTGAATGCATTAATTCATTTCGCAAGGACATTGCCGTGTAATTGATTGCCTTCCGAACCCCTGGCTTTTTTTTTTTTTTTTGAGAAAAAAATGTTTTTTTTTGTTCTCTGTTACCAGTATCTCCTTGGTCCAAGGCTTCTAAACATGGCGGCGACTATGGGAGTATTGGTACAATAGTTACTCCGTATGCGCACATGTTTTCCTCTGTCGGTATTACCGGACAACATGATGCTAGACAACTCGACGGATGCAGTCCATCATTCGACCGCCATGAACAGCGCTAGACGAGAAGAGAGGGACTTGGACCTGTCCTGGAATCTATCCGAAACGCGGCGCAAGCTTCCGCCGCCTTGGTTCAGCAACATGATCAATTCCAGCACGCCCTGTTGACTGGAGAGGGGCTGACGCAGACTCATCATAGCGCGACAGGGGCATTCCCTTTTTTTGCTGTCGGATCGCGGCTGACGGCATCGTAAGTCACTCATCCTGTCCAGTGGTCACAATTGGGGCTGCTGCTCCCGTGCAGCATGTCAGTGACTACCCAGGTACGGAGTAGTCGTCGAATATCTGGAAGACGTATGTATGTAATCACGCCATCGAGGGGGTATGACCCTTTCTCCGCAAAAAAAAAAAAAAAAAAAAAAAAAAACACGTGGGGAGGCCTCATACGTGTCTCTGAAATGGCCAGCTGGGGCTGGCCTACCAAGCGTCTCCAGTCTGGATAGAAGTCGAGTCGTGTGTGAAGCCGCCATGTTAGTCGTGCCTTGGACGAGCGTCAGCTCACCTTTGCTCGTAGGATAAAGATGGATTCCGGCTGACAGGCCTTTTCTGCTTGCGTCTCCAACCGCCCAAGACGTGTGTGTGTGGAATCCAGCATGTCCATTCATCTCTTTCAAAACCTCGACTTCAGGGGCAGGTGGTGTGCGCTGGGCCGCTCAGTCATAGAGATGGACAACGGACAATGCTACCGTCATATTCAGGTTGACGTTGGTCCCGCCAAGAGAACCTCAATCGAGGACGCTCAGACTTTGATACTGTCGCTTTACTATTGAAATCAAGAGGGGGGACAAGGAAATCAACCAGGGCCGTGCATTCACCCGTCAGCCTCGACTCAGGGTTTTGCATGGTCCGGCAGCCTTGCGTCACTACCAGGAGGAGGATGAAGCGACAAGGGCCTTCAAACCGATCTCGATTGATACAAGGCTTCGGCACATTTGCAGTGTTCCACCTTATGGGCCACGCACTGACGTTGGCTGGCTGGCCATGGGCGGTTTCGACGACTTGGGCATGTCCAAAGGAAGAAGCATGACGCGCAATTCCAAGACGGGGCGTGTTCGCCTCAATGCCAATGCCAAGAGGACTTGGCATCAACCGTCATAATGTGCAGAGTATTATTACGGCGCCTTCATGGGTTGCGGGAAAAATAGACGCTGGTCTCTCATCCTTTGCTGAGTTTCGTTCGGCGGTCGCACCAGACATGGCATGGATGATTTCTGTCTAAGCCAAAGCAAGAACAGGAGCATGTACATACAAGTATGACATGAAGGGAGTGACTTGAGCACCAGCCAGTCAGTCAGTACGTTACGCGAATTTACTTGTGCGTGCCACAAGCAGAAGCATCACTCACGCACTTTACTAGACTCAAAGTGCCTGCTTGTCGACACGGCAAGCCACCAGCTCGTCGCAACCACGTGGTAACCAGGGGCTCTGACCAATCACTTCGCCAATCGATCCCTGACTCATCGTTTCTCACGCGTCACCAGGACTCTTGGTGGCGGAGCGATGCAGCCAAGATGGAAGGTGACATGTCCATTGGACACGGTAACTTGCGGAACGACGTCTCAAACAGGCGGATAGCCGTTTGGCCTGTGCAGCATGTGTAATCATTCGACATGGTCTTGATGGCTTATCTTTGCTGACTGAAGTACAGCATGTGGTGTGCTCATTCATGACGCGAAAGTAATGCAGCCTACTCCGGACTATCGAGTCGTTCGCCGTGGCAATGATATGTCATGGTCAGCCCAGTCCGGCACGGCACGTTTACCACGCCATCGGGAAGCCTTCCATGTACTCCGTATCCACGGTCGCCTTGGTCGTCTGACCTTCGGACGCCCGCGTACAGCTTGGCAAGCAACAGATAAGTTACACTATATACTCTGGCAAGCATACATACCCTCTCGCAAAGTTTCATGGCGTCAACCCTTGACAGTGTCTCGTGGCACGCTCTTCAACAAGGCTGGATGGACTATGACCTGGTATACGGACTGTGATAACTTGCTTGGAGAGACTCCGAGAGAGAGCCCCGAGCACTTTTCGGGCTGTGCCGAGTTGCCAAGTCTGGTATTCCGTCCTGTGAAGGAAACGCAAAAGTCCTCTCTCCTTGTCCCCTTTCAGCTCACGATTACAAAGCCGCCGTGGCGCCAATGCCATGGCGATTCCCTGCTCTGCTTGTCACATTTCGTCCTGTTTTCTCCTTTGTTTTCTTTTTGTTGGCGGGGAAGACGTGAGAGGCGCTCGCCTCCTCTGAGAAACCGAACTTGACATCTCCTTCTTCCTTCTCCCATCTAGAGTGTCAAAGGGCTGTGCTCAGTGCTGCCTGACTTGTACTTGTACTACACACCCGAATGTGACAAGGCTTTGACTTGGAGACGAAGGCGCACCCCACCCAACCAAGGGGAAAGGAGAAAACATTGCCAAAAGGACCATGTCTCGAGCAGTTTTGAGAAGAATCACGACCAGACCAAGTGATTTGAGCGACGACATCGGCGACGCTGGCTGGCGCGGGCGGGCGCGATGAGCCTGATGGCCACCACCACGCCCACGCGCCATACCAAGAAGCCAAGAGCGGCAAAACGCATCATCCCGTTGAATCCTTGCCGAGAGTGCATCCCACATTCCCGACTTTCGCTACCTGCCTGGATCCCGACCTCGGGACAGCTACTCGTAATGGTCAATTGGCAAGGAAGCAGGGCAAGCGTCTCGGAAGCAATCTTGTCGGAAGCAATCTTGCTCGCGTCTCGGTCCACCGGCATGTCATCGCAATTGTGCCAATCAGACGTCTCCTGCTCTTGAATTCAGAATAACCCCCCCTCCCTCCCCCTCCCCTCATTCTCCGGAGCCCGATGCCTCCTTCAGCTAAGGGGGGGCTGCTGGGTGTACAGCATTGTGGGCCTGGGAGTCTCATGCCGGTTGTCCTTTTTTTTGTGGAATCAGGTGACGGATCGTGCCGACTGGGAGGGCAGCTTTTCCTTTTTTTCCCCTGTATGAATAGAGGTGTCGTGCGTGGGACTCGCACAGTCCATTTTCTCCGTGCGGGCCCAAGGCGATTCAGCTGTTGCAACTAACTAGTATTACTGGTGCGTAGTACGGAGTACCAACACCCCAGAACATCGTGTTCAGCTTTTGTCTTGGCAGGGAGGAGCTTCACATGGTCGTTTGCCAGAGAGGCAATACTTTCTGAACGAGGCTGTCCGAGAGCGGGCTGACGTGGACATGGTTGCTGCTCCCAAGCGCTGCACGCCCTGATGGTGTTTCGTCGGAGTTGTCTGGAAAAAACGAGAGACACACTCGTCACTACACTATACGGCTTACGCCATTTTGGGCCAACGGCGATTCGGTTTTCTGAGTACCTGGTGCTGCTTTCAGTGTTCACTCGGAGATGAGCCAATACGTTGACCGGGTAAAGACGGTGAGTTTGAGCCACTGCATGTCATATTTCAGGACACATCTTCATCGACTGGAATCTGGGTAGAGGTGATCCAGTTCTCCATGCTGGCTTGGCCTCCTCCCCGCTTGTTGGTGCCGTCCTGTCGAGCTCGCGGGGTTTTGTTTTCTGGTTTCCTCACAACAAGGCAGAGCACGCGCCCGTAGATGGCGAACCCTTCGTAGGAGACGTCCATGGCCAGCTTCTTCTTGTCATCGTCTTCTTCTACGTCGTTTTCTCCTCGTGCGTCAGGGTATCGTGCCCGCTTCGACGGCGGTTGTTCGTCTGCGTCGGAATCAATTTCAACGGCATCTCGACCTTGTGCGTCTTCCTCACTGTTTTCGATACTTGGTCTTGAATCAATACTGTTCCGATGTCTCTTGGATTGGGCCTGAGCACCGAAAACCGGGACTTCTGACAGTCTCACGTCGTTGTCGTTGTCGTCGTCGTCGCTATGCTCTTGCCGCAAAACAGCCACGTCACGCCCAGCGTCCACGTCAACGGGGACGATGTTGGTCTCGTCTATGAGTTTTGTGGAATTTGACTGCATCATGGGGGGGGCCTTGTCCAGGAAGAGCTTCTTTTTTGTCAGAAGAGAGTGGCGAGTCGACGTTTCGGTCAAGAACATGGATACTTCAAAATCGTCTGTAGGCTTTAGTGGGAAATTTCTCGCGCAATGATTCCCGGTGCCAGCATACCTTGCACAACGACGTCTTTGATGTTCTTCTTCTTGGAACCCTTCTTCCTGCTTCGTTCCTTATCCTCGCGGAGCTTGGGAAGAACGAGCGGCCGGATGCTTTCGATGACGCGCGGAAGAACGGGACTGCGGGGGTTCAGGAGCCATGACTGCGCGAGGGAGGGGTTGTCGAGGTAGATGCGGCATTCCAGGACCGAATATTTCGTGATTCGCAAGTAGCGGCGCACAGGCGCCATGTCGTAGTGATGGAGTTCCGGATACGCAGCGTGCCTTTGGGACGTGAATGAAGGCTGCGTGTGCACGTCGAAATGTCAACTGCTTCTACTACTAGTCTGCTGGTAACTACTAACGTTAATCGGTACACGAGGAGTTGTGGGGAGCTCAACTGCTGCTGTAGGCTGTGGGCTGTAGGGCTGCCCCACCAACGCCAAGGTCAACTCACGCTCTGCTTCGCGGCGGCCAGGCGCTAAATTGGACCCCCGAGTCCTGAGTGTGCTCCGGGGCCCGCGCAGGGTCACAAGTTCGAAGCTTCTCGTCTCCGAGATTCGACGTGTCTCGAAAAAGCCGCGGCCGAGCTTGACCAAGCACAACCTTGGACCATGACACGAGGACAAACATGTCCAAGTCATGGAAAGCGACCCTGAAACTTCCCAAGTCCAGTTTTCCGTAAGCATGCCAGCAGTTCTCTCGCAAGACAAAGGGGTCGAGGCAACCCGCTAATCTCTTTTTTTTTTTTTTCCCGGTGCACCAGGGCCCGTCCGAATCCGAAGCTTCAGCAGAGATATCTGCGGAACAGCAGCGATGATTTATACCAATGGCAGACGAATTGCCGGCCCCAGAACGACCCCTTCGTCCTGCACGACGGCCCCCCATACGCCAACGGCCCGTTGCACATTGGCCATGCCATCAACAAGATCCTCAAGGACATGATTGTCCGCACCCAGGTGCAGAGCGGAAAGCGAGTCGTGTACGTGCCAGGCTGGGACTGCCACGGCCTCCCGATTGAGATGAAGGCCCTGGGCTCCAAAACCGCACGCGAACAGAGCCCCGTAAAAGTGCGCGAGTTGGCGACAAGGCTGGCCAGCAGGACGATTGCCGAGCAAATGAAGGGATTCCAGTCGTTCGGAATCATGGCCGACTGGGAGAACAAGTGGACCACCATGGACCGCGAATACGAAACGAGGCAGTTGAGGGTGTTCCAGAAAATGGTGCGTCACGGGCTGATCTACCGCAAGCACAAGCCTGTCTACTGGTCCGTGTCGTCCAGGACGGCGCTGGCCGAGGCCGAACTGGAGTACCGCGACGACCACGTCTCCCAGGCGGCATATGTCAGGTTTCCGATTGTTTCGGGCTGGACTTCGATACCGGCGCTTGCTGGCTTTGACGGTCCTCTCTACGCCGCTACATGGACGACAACGCCGTGGACGCTCCCTGCCAACAGGGCCATCGCGGTGCACAACGACCTGCTCTACTCGTTGTTGCGAGTTGGCGACTACGGGCTTTTGGTTGGCTCGAGCCGTGTCGGCGCCATGCGAGACGTGCTCCCCGCCTTTGAAATCGTCGCCGACTCCATCAGCGGCTCGGAGATGGCTGGGTTGGGATACCGAAACGCGCTGCGCGGAAAGGGGGCGGCGGAGCAGCCCATTGTTCATGCCGACTTTGTATCTGCCGATTCGGGCACGGGGCTGGTGCATCTGGCGCCCGGGCACGGTCAGAATGAATACGAAGTGTGTGCCGGGCTGGGCATCGATGCGTTTGCGCCTGTTACGGACGAGGGCTTCTTTACGCGGCACGCGTACCCCAACCAGCCTGAACTGCTCACTGGCGCCCCTTCGGTTTTGGAAGGCGGCGGCAAGGCTGTCTTGGAGTTGATAGGGGAGGACGTTCTCGCCACGCACGATGTCCGGCACAAGTATCCGTACGACTGGCGCACAAAACAGCCCGTTGTTGTGAGAGCAACGGCGCAGTGGTTCGCGGATGTGGGACGCATCAAGGAGGGCGCGCTCCAGGCACTGACAAATGTACGCTTCGTTCCCGAATCAGGGAGGTCTCGCCTCGAGAGCTTCATCAAGGGCAGAAGCGAGTGGTGCATTTCACGACAGCGGTCATGGGGGGTTCCGATCCCGGCCCTTTACGATGAGGCTGGAAATGCCGTCATGGACGATGAATCGATTGAGCACATTATTTCTGTGATGCAACAGCGAACGTCGCAGGCGTGGTTCTCTGATCCGGTTGACGATCCTGCCTGGGTGCCGGCAAATCTCCAAGGCAGATATCGCCGAGGGACAGACACCATGGATGTATGGTTCGACAGTGGCACCAGCTGGATGGAAATGGGAGGGCCTGCGGATGTGTACCTTGAAGGCTCTGACCAGCATCGCGGCTGGTTCCAATCGAGCCTCTTGACGTACGTTGCGTCGCAAAAGGCGGACGGTGTGCCGGACGCAGAGATCCAACCGCCCTTCAAGACGCTCATCACGCACGGGTTCACTCTGGACGCCCAGGGCAAGAAGATGTCCAAGTCCCTTGGCAATACCATCGTTCCTGGGGAAGTCATGGACGGACGACTGCTGCCACCGCTCAAGACCAAGGGCAAGGATGGCGGCAAAGACGGGCCTCGTTTCGACGCCCTTGGTCCGGACGCTTTGCGACTGTGGGCTGCCAGCTGCGACTTTACATCTGACATCTTGGTTGGGGCGTCCATTCTGCAAACAATCCACAGTGCCCTCGTCAAGTACCGCACCATCCTGAAGATGGTGCTCGGGTCGCTGCACGAGTCGAGTCGCTGCGCTCCGCTCACCAAGCTGGATCAAATGGCCATTGTGCAATTATCCGACACCATGGGTCAGGTCTGGCAGGCTGTCAGGAACTACGAGTTCCACAAGGCGACGGGCCTGATCAACCGCTGGGTAGCCACAGATTTGTCTGCTTTCTACCTCGAGGCCCTCAAGGATCGCCTCTACTGCGGCGACGGAGGCGGCGCTCTCGAACCCATCTTTATTGGGTTCCTGCGCATGCTGGCACCCATCACTCCGACGCTAGTCGAGGAAGCATGGTCCCATCGGCCGTCGTGGATGGAACGCGATGTGTAAGTTGTTTTGCTGTTGATGCTGCTGCTGCGGTCAGTGCATACTCGGGAGGTCGATGAGGATCTGACATGAACCCCATAGCAACCTGGACCATCCAGCCCGGCAACTATACGAGTCCCCGCTGATGGACTCATCCCGATTAACAGTCGATCCGGACAAACTTCGACGCGATGCAGCGTCCCTGGAGCTTGTCCATGCTGCAGTCAAGGCCGGGTTGGAACAAGCACGTGAGGCGAAGGCCCTGGGCAGCTCCCTTCAATGTTCTGTTGTCATCAGGACCGAGAACAGCGAGCTGCTGACCCTTCTCGGCGAATACCTCGACGAGCTTGACGCGATATTTGTAGTGTCACATGTGGACGTAAACAAGGCCGTGGATGACGGAGGCGCGTGGTGCTACACAAAGGGATTCGAGCTCCCCGCAGCGCCCGGGGGCATGGTGCATGTGCTGCCTCCGCGGCTGGACAAGTGCTCGCGGTGTTGGAGGTACCTCGCCGCGAGGGAAGACGGGCTTTGCGATAGATGCGAGGGCGTGGTTGGCCGTGTCGCCGCTGCCGCGTAGGCAACCGACATTTGCGCAGTGAGCGCTGCGCTTGTATGAAGGTGTAGATTGATTGGCGCACAATCATGTACAGTAGAAGGCACGGGCATGTACGAGGATGAATTCATAAACTTGAGATCATGTTGCCCTTGTAGTTTGTAGGAGACGGGTTCGGTGGTTGGCTCGTCCGAGTTTGACATGCCGGCCAGTCGACAAGTCTGGTTGGTTGATCGGGGAGGCTGCAGGGAGCCGTCAGGTTCAAGCCGTTTGGCATCTCACGAGGCCGCTCGCTGCTGGAAGTTGGAACTGTGGTGCCTCGGCAGCCACACCGTTGGGCCGTTGTGCTACCCGTGCACGGGTGCAAATGACGCACATGTCTAGACGTGTAAAACGTAGCCTTGGAGAGATAAAACCGACCAAGATTCCACGCGTTGTCGTCGAGGGCGGTCGATGCGTGAAATCGTCAAGGCACCAGGTACCTACTTGAGCAAGTAAGTACCTACTACTTATTAAGTAGGGTACCTTAGGTACCTGCCTACCAGGTACTCGGAGGTACCCAGTGGCTAACGCACTCGAGTACCTGGGAAAGGGTCGAATTTAGGAGGCAAGTCCACGTCCGCTCCTGCCCCGGCACATGTCGCCCGCGTGCGCATCCACTCTCGAGCACTGCCCGTGCTTCGAGCTCCAAAGGCCGCGTGCGGCTTCGTCACCCAGATTCAGACCCAACAGGCTACTACTATCTACTGTTCTCCTGCTGGCCCTTTGTTCCACCTCGAACCTCGACTACACCAGTGCGCTTCATCTTCCCCTCGGACGCTGAAGATGGTCGTCAGAAGCGCCTGAGCTCCAGCCGCCTGCTTCCTTCACCCGTCCGCTTGAAGCATGTGGCAGACACCAGCGTCATGGCGGGCCACGACGCAACGAGATCGCCGGGCCGCCTCGACTCCCGCTCCGGCCTTCCAGCTCCAGAGAGTCGGGCCGGGTACAGGAATAGCTACGATACGGGAGAGTCGAGCCTCAGCGGCGGTCGGCGCGAACTCGCGGCAGGCTCCAGTCCTTCGCCGAGCGACGCCGGCGGCGGCCTGCAAAACCTTGGCCCGGGTCTCCCGCAGGCAGGACACAACATTCGAGATTATCCGCAAAGGGGGGGGAGCACACGGAGAAGAGCGAAATACAGATCCGGGGGCGGCTTCTTGCTCCACGACTCAATCAGTGGTGACAGGCGGCATGCAAGTCGGGGGTCTGCGAGGGACAGTTCACAATCGAACGGCAAGGCGCCACAGTCACCACGTACACCGCAGTCCTCACGGTCGAATAACGGGAATCTGCGACAACCAGACGAGCGTCCTTCGGGAAGCTCGCGCGATAGGAGTAGCATATCGCCTCAGGGCGCAGAGGGTCGAAGTGGCGGGTCTGCTGACAGGGACGTCGCGAACAAAGGGTCGCGGGAACTTCCGCAGCCACCCTTTTCTTCTGGAGAAGCCCTCGATGATGCTGATTCGACCCGAATCGTGCAAATGGCCTTGAATCTGAGCGAATCTCGACGCATGGCCTCGCGACGGAATGTCCCTCGAAACAGCCCTCCGAGACTCGGCCCATTGCCTCAGGGCACTCCAGGGAGTAACCTCAGACAGCACTTGCAGCAACAACGGAAGTCTTCATACAGTAGTTATCCCCGATATCAAAGGACCCAGTCTCCGAGACCCTCTTTTGGGAAATTCGACTCGAGCTTCGACAGTGGTGGTCATGATTCACACCCTGCATATCATTTCTCCTCCTCGACTTTGGCCAGAGCCCAGAAAGCCAAGGATCATCTGGAGCTGATGGCGCAGTACAGAAGGCTTCTCCATGTTCTGCCCCCTCTAAAGCCTGGGTCTGAGCGGACGGTTTCGAGCCCTCCGGTCTCTCCGGTAGGAAGTAAACCCTTCAAATTCAGCCTTAGGGACAATGCGCCCCTCGGGCGGCAGTACAATCCGCTGCAATACATTCGAAATAGGAAAGTCCGGGCCCGCGAGCGGAAAGTCATCGATGGAGAGAGACAGGGGTTTGGCGACGTGCAGTGTGTTAAACCATGGGTGGACAAAGTGGTTGAGCGAGCGACATCGTTTGCAGCACATCCGGATGAGAACGGGTCTTTCCTGCCCGCTTTTCCTGGAGCGGATGATCCGAATAGCGAACCCTGCCCGGATAACAGCTCAAGGGCAGCAGCTCGAGTGAGGAGGTCGCGGGTGGACTGGTTCATTGAGCCCTGTGATATAGTAGCCGACGCGTACTGGCTGGAACAAGAGAATCATAAGGAACTCATCGAGGACCGTGCCTGGCGCAAAATATTCCCCCCAACCACAAATACTTCACGGCCCCTGTCTCGCGAAACGGCTGTTGATGCCCTCGAGGTCATCCCTCCCTTCTCAATGCAGGACGATGCTGCAGTTGGCCCCCCAGTTTCGAGCATCTCCAAAGTCGACTCAGCAAAGCAAACCATCCAAAACATCAGGGCTTTCCCGCATCGCCATGGTGGCCCGATTCACAATATCCACCGTGATCTTGGGTGGCATCTCAAGGATTCTATTTCCGATATTTCAAGTAGCGAAAACGATACCAAGGTCCCAAAGAGGACGTCTGGCGAGGCAAAAAGAAGTGGTGGCGCCGGCACAATGCTCAAGACGGCCAAAGATCTTCTTCAGGAGCAGATGCTCGAGATGATCACAAAGGACGCGCGCGACGGAGACTTGTCCGATGAGGTTTCTGATCAGGAGCTAGTTGTTCCCCCGACAAGTATCAAGACACCGGAAAAGAGCCCATCGTCACAGCCGCCCAGTCGCCTCCACCGCAGTAGCAAGGGCTCATTGATCGACACAGGCGGTTCCGATAGAAAGCCCGTCCTAGACCGATCCCGCCCGGGCTCTCCACCCCGGCATGTGCCAGGGAGGCTAAGTCTCGACGGCACAGAAACGCCTCGAAATTCTTCAGTCGACCAGGGCTCTTCTCTGCCAACCTCTCCCAGCCTCAAGCCTACCCGGGGGAGCACGGAGCTCGCCCTAGGCACCAACCCTTCCTCAGCATGGAGTCGACCTGGGTCCCCAACGAGGAATCCCATTACCAAGATCAGGCAGATCATTCGTGACAACAAGTCCAGTGAACCGGGGCCAGAGCCAAATGACAGTCATTACGTGTCTGCCGCAGAACCGGGTTCGCCTTTGGAGAGGCCAAATTTGCCTGAGAATCTGCAATCCAGTCCCTCCCGGACGATGGCATCAGAGCCAACACCGTCCGATGCGACCAAAATGCACCGTAGGCCGGGAAACACTCGTCTTCGCGCTGAGGACCAAGGGGCTGGGCTTCGTGGCATGTTCAAAGGCCCGCGAATCGACACCGTTCTTCGGGGTGGTGTTTCCAAGCTAGGCGATATGTTGTGGAAGAGAGACGCGGCGACTGAATTTCAACCCGACAACGAAACTACGGATGATTCGGAGAGCGAGAAGGCTCGCGGTCGGTCTAGGTCATCTACCGGCGTGTCACGAAGACCCTCCAAACGCGCCACTTCAGGTGTTCAAAGTCAGCCGAAGCATTTTCTGGATTCCATGCCTCAGTTCAGCAACATGCAAGACCCTAACCACGCACACAGCACGGATATCAGCAGAAGTGATTTGGGCCACTCAGGTTCTACGAATCGTAGCCGGCAGCAGTCTCGAATTGACACGCTGCGTCCGCCTCGTTTTGATCCTCGAAGCGCGTCCTCCTCCTCTGCTCTGCTCGGAGGCCGGTCTGCCAGGGCAGGTGATTCCGACACCTTGGGATCGAAGTCGCGACAAGGCAGTGCGCCAGAAGGCGCCGGGGACGCAGGCAGCCGTTTGAAATGTACGCCTGGCTCGTCCAGACCAGAAGATGACGGCCGCTCGTTCAGGAGTCGACACTGGTCCATCGCGGACAAAGCCTGCACGCCCACAGAGCAGACTCGGCTCACTCGTCGCGAGATTGCCCGCATGCGAGCGCTACTTCTCAGTACCGGCGTCAAGGCAATGGAGATTAACCGCCGGGCACAGGAAGCACCCGGGCCCTTGTGCCCAGACGGCTCAGCAGCCGCGGGTCCATCGTCAGGCAAGAGCCGCGCAAACATGGCATGGGCGGACATGGCCAAGATCTGCCCCAGGGTAGTCCAGCAAAGCGGCCGGGAAACCACACACCACGAACTCTACGCACTGGCGGGCCGCGCCCTCGGCACAGCCATCCAAAACTCTGGCCGACAGTGGCAGGCCTCTGCTGATCAGTTCGCCCACCGAACAAGCCCTCGGCTCCAGAACCGCATCGGTGACGTTCGGTCCAGCATTGCCGACAATCTCTCCGAACGAAGCCGTCAGGCGGCTGATTTGGCAGACGAGACGAATCGTGACCTGGCACTCGGTCAGCCCCTCAAAGTCAAAATCGTGGTAGACATTATCGAGAAGATGCTCCGCCGACGAAGACGGCGTCTACGATGGATCAGGCGAGCGCTCTGGTTGACCGTGGAGTGGATCCTCGTCGGGTTCATGTGGTACGTGTGGTTCATGGTCATGATACTCCGAGTGTTCCTGGGCATGGGCAAGGGCGTGTGGAATGGTGTCCGATGGCTTTTGTGGCTCTAATCGTCTTTTCGTCGACGTTGGATGATAATCAACCGTGTGCTCGTGCTGTTTCCACGCATGCGTCAAGGCATAATTCTTTCCTAGTATCGAGGTCGTAATTTGATACCCCGGTGTATTTCCCTCGCCTTTTTTTTTATATACTTGGTGCTTGCATAGCCGGTAGATTGAGCATGAGCGAGCTTCTGAAAACAGACAAGAGTAACTAACTTGACATGTCGGTTTGTAATTTCAAAAGGCGGTGCTGGTATCGACATGCTGCGTCGTGTGGTCTGCAGGGCACGTAGGTGACCTTCTGCTCATTTTGAAACAATGCCCAAGATGGCTGTCAACTCAAGGTCAAGAAGAATTAATGAAACACGGGCCCTGATTCCTTTGACTGATTAAAACACGCACAAGGCGCAGGCATCTACTTCTACTCAATCCTCTTCTTGCCCTCCTCCGCATTAAGATATCTCGCCGTGCTGAGACCCCTCTCGTGGCGGGCGACAAATGTGCCAATGATGGCGTCTTTGCGCGCTTTGTTGTAGTGCTCTGTGTAGCCGTCGACGGCGAAGGGACGGGGATTCAGACGCGGCCAATTGACCTGGGTCGTGTCAGCAAAGGGTGTATACACGGAAAATTTGAGATTGAAGGACGGGTTTCATTGCGTACGTAGAGCATGCCATGGGTCCAGACAAAGTGGAAGCACCACGCTGCGACAGCACTCCAGAACAGAATGAAGAGTCGCATGGGGAGGGCCTTGGCATCCGGCGCTCGCTTTGTGACCATGGCGACAAGGACGATGAAAATACTAAAGGCGAGCACGTAGGGGATGGCCTGGATGAGAGTAGGCCGCCTGTCGACGAAGATGAGGCTGGTAGCCATGTTGGTGGCGCTGGGATCGTAGGCGCCGAGGAAAAGATCAAACGAATCTTGACGAGGTCCGTCGCGGAAGTTGTTGAGGAAGTATCTGGTGAGGCCGATGCGGCCGTCCTGCATGGCTCCCAGCTTGGTTCGCTTTCCTGTGCGAGTGACATCTGTCTTCATGGCGCCGGTGCCGGAATACGCGGTGGAAACGACGTCGGCGTTGTCAGCCCAGATGTTGCGGAAGACGACCTCGAAAGCTGGATCTTGGTCGCGAAACTGAGCGCCGCGTGGCATCAGACCCAGCTCCTCGAAGATGCGGTTGAGGGTGTAGCGGCCAAAGATGCTCTGCACGACGTTGGTCCGATCCAAGCAATCCATGCAGTTGGTACGCATGACACTGGTCTGGAGGCTGCGTGCGTCAACCTTGCCGTCCACGCTGGCGGGCATGTCGACGCCCCGGAAGTAGCCCTGGGTTATCAACTCCTCGCGCAGCCTTTCTGTGATGGCGTACGCTCTGTGCATCTTCATGCCCTTTGTTTCGGCGTGGTAGTCGAAGTAGACGTAGTGCAGACGGTCAAATTCCTGGTTTGTTGATCCGGGTTGGATGGTGTGGAACTTCTCGTCGGTGAGTGTGTCGGCTTCACGACGCTCTTTGGGCGTCGTGACAAGGGAGCGAAACATTTGCTCATATGAGTCCTTGACTTTGCATTCTCTGCCTTTGGAGTTGACCAGGTTGACAAGGTAATTGTCGCCATAGATGCGAATCTGCTCGTCAAAATGCTTCCTCGAAGCGGCTAGCGCAGCTTCCGTGCCGCGGACCTGGATCTTTGGCGTGTACTTGAGGCTGTTGATTTCGGACCAGTAGGTAGGAACGCTGCCACGAGTCTGCACGTAGGACATGATTTGCATTTCCTGACCAGGGCCGCTGCCAAGCTTGCCGCTCTGCATATCGCTGCTGCCGACGTAGCCTCCTAAGCCCGAACTACTGTCGTTGAGGACAATTACTTGCTCCGTCTCGTTGTAATTAGCAGCATTGCCATCCTCGTCCAGACCTCTGGTGAAGTATCGGGTTCCGCCACGATATCTTGACCGGCGAGAAATAATAATGATTGTCAGGGGAGTGTCCTTGAATTTGGTGGGCTTGATCTCAAGCATGCCGAAGATGCAGGGGAGGATGTATGGGTCAATGGCGGTCTGCTTTCCTGGTTGGCTTCTGGAGCCTCGGGTACGGAAGTCCATCATGTCTGACTGGAGGTGCTTGTTGAAGAAGAATCGATCGTCAGCTCGCATCCAGAGGGGGCTGGCGATATCGGCTTGCGACTGGCGCTGGAACGAATTGGTCAGGTCGATTGAGTACGAAAAGTACATTGGTCCCCGTTGAAGGAAGCTGTCGAGAAGGCTGATGAAGGTATCCTCGTCGGGATCGTGGATCTGGCGTTCACGCATGGGAAGGATCTCCGCGGCGACAAGCTTGTACACCATGTGGCCCTTGAGGCGGCCCACGGGTTGAGCCTTGTTGACAACGATGACATATCTGTCTGTATCCATTTCGCGGTTAGCAGTGCGAGGCTTTGACTTGCCGTGAAGCGTCAAGGGGCAAAGCATAGGAGAGTAACATACCGAGTCTCAGCTGGATGATGCCGAGGATGCCGGCGATGCTCGACACTCGAGTCGCCCGCTTGGCAGCTTGCGGGCTAGAGTCGCTGAGGCGTATATCACCAGCGGGACGGTCAATTACCAGCGCAGGTACGTCTGGAGATGATGGCGAGGTGAACGTATAGGCATCGCTGGTAACCCTGAGGTTGATGTCCCGGAAGGGGAACTTGGGCGTTGCGAGGGGTGGCATCGCTGGCAAGCTGTCCCAACCACAGAGCACAACGAAAGGCGTAGAAAGTAGGGTTTCTGTGTAGGACTCCGGTGCTGGACTTGATGAGCGGTTGAGCAGTCGTGGCCAGACGGAACAAGAGCAAGCGGAAAGCTGGGATTCGGATATTTGCTTGGGAATCGGGATGGCAGGCAGAGACAGGCATGTGGTGGACACTGGACAGGTTGAAGGGACCTCGGGAGGTACCCGGGGACCCTGGGTGCCTGCGCGCCCCACCAAGTACTTAAGTAGTCTGGGGCCCGTGGTCGACGCTACTTAAGTACCTAGGTACCTACTTACTTCTTAAGAAAGTACTTACCTAGGTACTTAGGCAGGCACTTCCTCCAAGTGCGTAGTGGAGTAGCCCCGTCCAAGCAAGTTGCCATGTGCAGAGCCTGTAGCTGCGTCCCTAAGTACTTGCTTACTTAAGACTGTGTACGTCAGCACTTGAGAGAAGCAACGGCACGAGCAATATGAAATACCTAACTTATTTAAGTACTTGAGTGCACATCGACAATAGGCCTGGGACTGGTATCTACTGAAGTACTTAGGTATTTAGTACTTTGGCAGGCACTTGGCCTACTGGCGCGGGCGGGGCGTATTGTGAAAATTGTCCTCGGCGTCATCGGTCATTACAAGACAGCTCATGAAAAGTTTCATTTCTCCATGACAAGATTTGCCACTGTTTGGAAGCAATGCGGTCCTCAGGAACAGGGGCCGCGCAGGTACCTCACTTCCCAAGTACCTCAAGTACCAGACCGAGGAACGCAAATCCCACTGCACACGTCCATAGCAGGGTGGTATCAGCAAGTAACTATGCTTGGACCGCCACGACATTCCACAGTGGGTGAAATGGCCTGCAACAAGTTCTAATTCCATTGCCGGCACCGCGCTGACGTCAATTTTTGGTGTTTGGCGTCCAGACATAAACCGGCGGATGGGGGCCGGGGGTGCCGGGTAGGCTGGTCTCAGACCTAAGTCGAGTACTTTCGAGGTACCTAGAGGCTTGGTTGGCGTTTCGGGTGTTCACGCTGTACCTGCCATGTCGACGCAACCGGACATCGGAGCCCAAGTACTAGGTCGGCTGGCTGGCTGTCGGACCTTCTCCCTCTTACTCCGTACTGGTGTGTTCTGGTTCTGTCCTGTCATGCAGCCCACCACCATCACGCTTCACAACCTACATCTGTCTGCGTTGCGTCGGCTTTCCACCTGCTCGACTGCTCGATCCTGCGCGTCTTCCGATTCCGCTGCTACTTGCCTCACATTCCGAACGTTCGGGACATATCACCTGTCAAATCAAGACCCAAGACCCAAGACCATCCGTCGCTGAGCCGCCATCACATCGCATCATCTTGAAGACCGCCGCCTTCCACCTCAACTCTGCCAACCGACGTCTCCAACTCGCTAGCCAGCCAGTCGCCGCAACCATGTCATCCCGAGGCCCTCCCGCTGGCGCCCGCGGCATGAACAACCGCTTTGCTCAGTTCAAGCTCGTTCTTCTTGGTACGAACCCCAACCCGATGATCCCGTCTCACTTGGCCCCCCTGCTAATATCGTGTCTCTTAGGTGAATCCGCCGTCGGAAAGGTGAGCACCAACGCATCATGTGCTGCGTAGGCGTTGTTGTGATTGCTAACATGACACCTGCAGAGCTCAATAGTCCTGCGGTTCGTCAAGGTAAAATAGAATCTATTCTCCCGGCTCCGCCATCATAACTAGAAGCTAAAACCTGTCATGCATAAACTGTTCCGCTTCGCTGACTTAGTCTGCAGGATCAGTTTGACTCTTTCAGGGAGTCCACCATCGGCGCCGCATTCCTGACACAAACCATATCCCTCGACGAGAACACCACGGTCAAGTTCGAAATTTGGGATACTGCTGGACAGGAGCGCTACAAGTCCCTCGCCCCCATGTACTACCGCAACGCAAACTGCGCCGTTGTCGTCTACGATATTACACAATCCGTACGTCATCTATCAGTCCTCCTTCTGTCACCACAATTCCTCGCTATGCCATGTTTCTGTCAGGCGTAATCGTATTGATAACACTGGTGTGTGTAGTCATCACTAGACAAGGCCAAGGCTTGGATCAAGGAACTTCAGCGTCAGGCCAAGGAGGATATCATCATCGCCCTTGCTGGAAACAAGCTTGATTTGGTTACAGAACAACCCGATAAACGTGCCATTCCCACCGCCGACGCGGAGGCCTACGCCAGAGAGGCCGGTCTTTTGTTCTTCGAAACCTCAGCAAAGACGGCCGAGAACATCCGCGAACTATTCACTGCCATTGCCAAGAAGCTTCCTATAGATCAAGCTGGGGCTCGACATGCTCGTCCCGGTCAGCGACCTGGCGTCAGTCTGGCTCCTGAAAACGCAAACACCAACGTGAGCGGGCCATGCAGCTGTTGATTGTTTTAGGATTTCTCATTTGCCGACTGGGGCCGGCTAGACGTGCGGGGTTTACACGAGTTGGAAGGAGACGTCGCCAAACAAATGGCCATTGGTCGCAGTCAGATTCCCATTGGCATGGAGAGAATAGTACGGTACTGACAGTGGCGGTTGGGTTGAGCCTTTTTCTTGTGCCTGGCAAGCTTAAGAAAGTTGTATCTTCGTCTTGGAGTCTTGGTTTGTTTTTGAAGGGGTGCTTTCAGAGACACTTTTCACGCTTGGTTCTCGTTTTTGCCTCTGCCTAATATCATATCATATACAGACACGCACAATCTTGTATCTGTGCTGTCCCTGGGCCGTCCCACAGCCTTGCATCCCTTTGCCTCGTTGCCATCAGAGAGTATTGGTGGATCAGCAGTGGACAGTTTCCTTCTGCTGGAACATCAGATAGTTTCTACATGTATCCAAAGTCAGTCAAATAGAATCCTCCCCATCAGATGAAACTCAGCCAGATATGAAGGTTGGCAGAAGTCCATTCTGCAGCCCGGAGCTTGATGCTCAGGTGCATGAGACAGTTGATTACGCGTTCAACATTTAATTTGATTTATCGCTGGGGATAACTGCCATGCACTTCAGCTAGGTGAGGTAATACTGTTGGGAGCAACGGTTCGATGCCGCACGATGATCGCCCACTTGCAACATGATTGAATCTTGTAGATTTCCATCCTTGTAACGCTGTTTTCAATTAGTCTACATCTCTTTGTGCGAATGAACGTCTTCAAGTCAAGAGTTTTGAGGCGCAAACAATGTCAAGTTTGAGTATAGATATACGTGCTATATCCTCATGTGACAGCATCCCTTGCCTTTTTTTTTTGCCGAACTTTAACCTAGCGTACATCGGTCCTTCGCAACTCCAGACCATCACACAGTCCATCATCACCATCGTCGCCATCACCACGTGCCCTGCTGGCCTACATCCTTCCTCATGCTGCTATCATCGCTTCGGTCAGCGGGGGCCCTTGGCGGCAAGCCTATTGTGGCCGTTGCCGGTCGCCAATGGCCCAATGTGGCCTCGCGACGAGCCGGTTTGCTCGGAGCTGTACGAATTGAATCCCCTCAGCATGCGCAGCGATGCAAACCCCATGACTCGGAAAATCAATGGCGGCTGACACCAATTGGCCCTTTAGAGATCTTTCGCCGATGCTAGGAAGCCAGATGCCGACATTCCCAAGCCTCCTGTGATGCCGACATCTGAGACCCTGAGCTCCGAAAGAAGCCCACCTCCATCAGCTGCCGAAGTTGTTGATGCAAATATCCCGAAAGCCGACCAAGTCCCCTTGACGCCTCCTCACCCTACTCGTCCTCCTAATCACACTCCTACTCCTCCTCCCCCGACTGGGGCTGCCAAGCCTGCCACCAAGACTCCTCCGCCGCCTCCCCCGAAGAAGAGCTTTTCACAGAGACTACGAAACTTCGTCTTCACATTGATGATTGTCAGCGCTGTTGGTTTTGCTGGCGGTGTTTGGTACTCGCGAATCAACGATAATTTCCATGACTTTTTCACCGAGTACATTCCGTACGGAGAGCAGGCTGTGCTTTACCTTGAGGAGCTCGAGTTCAGGAGGAGGTTTCCCAACGCCGTGAGCCACGACTCCCGACCCCGCGAAACCGGCAAGCAAGTCAAGATTCCCGCACAAAGCGGCGCTTCTTGGAGGGTGGCTGAAAGCTCCGACGCCTCTACTCGCCATTCAAGTGCCTCTCCTGCTGCCACGAACCCCGTGACGAAGCAGCCAGAGAACAAGAATGAGGCAGAGAGGACGTCATCTAACCCCGTCCTTGCGCAATCCAAGCCAGCCGAAAGGGCAACGCCCAAGGTTGTTCACGATGAGCCTAGCGCCAGCTCACCCCAGTCATCTCCAAAGCAATTCAAGGCGCCTGAAGTTAACGAGCCGTCTCGATTCCCGCCTCTTGAGCCCATTGATTTGATGAAGCTCCCTGACGCCAAGGATCCCATCGTCCGAGATCTTGTGCACATGCTCAACGACCTAATTTTGGTTGTGAATGCTGACGGTGCCCACGGTCGCTACTCCACCACCATTGACAAGGCTAAAAGCGAGATTCTCCGCATCGGCAGCCGTCTCCAGGATTTGAAGGAGGGCACTGAGAAGAAGGCGGCTGGCCTGGTCAAGGCTTCAATCGAGGAGTTTGACAGCGCCGCCACTGAGCTCATCAAGCGCGTTGAGAACACCATGTTGTCTCAGGAGATTGAGTGGCGCCGTGAGTTTGAGGAAGAAATGAAATCTGTCCGCGACAGCTACGATGAACGGATTCAGCTGTTGATGGAACGAGAGAAGAAGCTCAACGAGGAGAAACTGCGGAACCAGCTGTTGGAGCAGGCTTTGGCTCTTAAGAAGGAATTCGTGCAGGAGGTCAAGGACCGTGTGGAGAATGAGAGAGAAGGTCGTCTCGGCAAGCTCGCGGACCTGAGCTCGGCAGTCTCCGACCTGGAGAAGCTCGCAGTTGGCTGGAACGGTGTCGTTGACGCCAATCTCAAGACTCAGCAGCTCCACGTTGCTGTCGAAGCCGTTCGTGCCCGTCTGGAGAAGGCCACTCACCCCGAGCCATTTATCCGAGAGCTGATTGCTCTGAAGGAGATTGCCGGCGACGACGCCGTGGTCGACGCTGCCATTGCTTCTCTCAACCCGCTCGCTTATCAGCATGGTGTTTCCCCTCCGTCTCTGCTGGTGGACAGATTCCGTCGCGTCGCAGCCGAGGTCAGGAAAGCCTCTCTTCTGCCTGATGACGCGGGTGTTGCAAGCCACGCCTCCGGCTGGATCCTCAGCCACGTCCTGTTCAAGAAGAAGGGACTTGCCGAGGGCAACGATGTCGAGAGCATTCTAACACGCACACAAACATATCTAGAAGAGGGCGACTTGGATTCAGCGGCGCGAGAAATGAACAGCCTGCGAGGATGGGCCAAGACGCTCAGCAAAGATTGGTTGGGGGAGGTGCGCAAAGTCTTGGAAGTTCAGCAGGCACTTGACGTAAGTACACTCACATGTCACGCTGACTTTGAAATGCCCGTCAGCAATGCTAACAACGATGTCAAGGTTATTGCCACCGAGGCTAGACTCCAGAGCTTAAGGGTAGATTAATTACTCGTTTTCTTTGTCCTGCATATAGGTGGATGGGCCGTAGAAACAGACTGTCGCAGACTCGCGCACTAGACATGAATAGACACGGGAAGCGATCTCAGAGGCTCCTGTACACGTCTCGACTCATAGGAGCTCCGATGATGGCCCAAGGTGAAGTATGGCGGCGTCGGGCGTCGGCATGCGTCGTGCCAAGACCCACAATGCGAATGCGAATGGGAACAAGTTCACGTCTTTGTCTCTGGGCCTTAGGCGCAGCAGCCTGCGAGTTGCACGTTGCATCGGCGGGGTTTGACGCGGCGGTCGTTGCACGCGTCGGCATCATGTATCCATGTATCCGTGATTTTTGTCTTCACGGCGACTCGTCCGGCCGGGAGACGAACACGTGAGCCCCCGCTCCGCCGTCTCGCCTCACCTGCCCACCACGATTCGCCATCGCGACGTCACGATCCACCACGGTCAACGACCAATGGCCACAGCCACACGCCGTCTGGCATCTTTCCATCCGTGCCCGCGCCGGCCAACGACGCCGTCCACGGCTCTCCGCTTGCCCAACGGCTACCGATCCATGAGCGCCGTCGTGTCCCGCAGCTACCCCGACGCCCTCCGGAAGCTCGCCGAGCTCCAGTCAAACAGGGCCGTGACGCAGCTCTTCGGCAGCGCTCCCGGGCACACCAACACCAAGGCCCGGGACCTGCACGCCGCCGCCATCCCAGAGGTCATCCGATGGCTGGGCCGAGCGGGCTACTCGCCCGACGACCTCGCCCGCATGCGTCACATCCACGTCGCGGGCACAAAGGGCAAGGGCTCCGTCTGCGCGTACGCGACGTCGCTGCTGCGCCGGCACGCCCACGCCCACGGCCCAGTGGGCACCTACACGAGCCCGCACCTCGTCAGCCCCCGGGAGAGAATCGCCATCGACGGCGAGCCCATCTCCCAGGAGCGCTTTGCGGCGGCCTTTTTCGACCTCTGGGACCGCTTCACCGACGCGGCGAGGAGGGAGGGCGAGGACGCCGCCGCCGCCGAGGGGCCGCGCTGCAAACCCTTCTTCTTCAGGTTCCTCACCATCATGGCGTGGCACGTCTTCCTGCGGGAGGGCGTGAGGAGCGTCGTCATGGAGTGCGGCATCGGCGGGGAGTACGACGCGACCAACGTCCTGCCCGCGAGGGCCGTCTCCGCGGCCGTCATCTCGCAGCTGGCCGTGGATCATGTCGCCATGCTGGGGGACACGGTTGAGCAGATTGCGTGGCACAAGGCGGGCATATTCAAGGCCGGCGTGAGGGCCTTTACGGCGAGGGCCGAGCCGAGCGTGATGATGGTGCTGAGGGAGAGGGCGGCCGACAAGGGCGCCACGCTCGTTGAGCTCGATCCCGGGGACGTCGAGGCCTGGGGTGGGGTCGACGGGCGTCTGAAGGGCCGGTTCCAGAAGATGAACCAGGCCTTGGCCGTGCTGGCTGTGAGGGAACATTTGGGCGTGGGCGACGGCGGCCGAGGGTTGCGAGACCTGCCGGATGACGTGGTCGGCGGGTTGAGGGAGGCTACGCTGAGGGGACGCTGTGAGGTCCTCCGCCACGGAGGACGGACCTGGCTGCTCGACGGGGCGCACACGAGGGAGAGTCTGCGCGAGGTGGCCAGGTGGTTGCGTGACAGTGTTGAGGACGGCCAGGGCGCGGTGCTGGTGTTTAACCAGCAAGAGAGGCGCGCGGACGAGTTGCTGGCTGGCTTTGTGCACGAGGTCGGTCAGGTCGTCGGGCGGGACGTGTTCAAGGCTGCCGTGTTTACGAGGAACGAGCCGAAGGGGGCCGGAGATGGAGATGTGAGCGTGCAGGAGGGCGCTGCCAAGACCATGAGGGACCTTGTGCCCGCCTGCGACACGGCTGTGTTTGACAACGTGGAGGATGCGGTCCTACATGCCAGGAACCTTGTGCGTCGCATGGGAAACGCCAAGGTACTGGTGACGGGGAGCATGCACCTCGTCGGTGGTGTGTTGCGGGTTCTTGAACCCGACGGTCAGTTGTAGACAACGCCTTCCCATCATCTCTAGTACGACCGTTTTTGCAAAATGACACAGAGTCCACGTATTGGCAACCAACCCTGTCAAGACGCCGAAAAGGAGCACGAAAATCACAAGGCGTCAGCCTTGTCCAACATTCCCAACGCACCGCCTACCAGATGCAAACTCCCCGTAACGTACGCCACCGCCTTGGTCCCTTCACCTTCACCCACGCGTCTCGCATAATCCAACGCCTCCTCAATGGTAGGCATCACAACAACCTTGGCACCTGGGTCAATCTCGCTCCACTTCTCCGCAAAGCGTTTCTGCACAGACAGCGCCTCAATCTCCTTGAAGTCGACGCCGCGGTTAACAAAGTCCCGCTTGTAACCCGTTTTGGCGTACGTCACGTTTGTGCAGAAGACCACGTAGTCAAAGGACGGGAGGGAACCACGTGATGTTGCCTTTTGAAGCGGCGTGAGGAAGTCGACTGCTTCAGTGCGCCCTTGCTGGTTGAATATCATGACGCGCGGGCCGGGGCTGGAGGTCTCCTGTTAGCTTGGTGATGACGAGGGATGCTTGACATGGCACGATACATGCGCGCACCAAAGGAAACTTGCCTGTTTGAAGTTTCGTCGGAGAACCATTTGGCCGACATTTTCAAACTGTCAGCTGTGTGGGCGCCGTCGACGAACCATGTTACGCTTTCTTCGTCTTTTACTTCGCACCGGCCGCGGAATACCGTCTCTTGCAAGCCATTGGCGAATTCCTTGGGCAAGGACGTCTTGGTGTCCCCGACATGGACATGCAGCTTCCGCAATGCTGATTCTGCCAGAGCAATTGCCAGAGTAGCGTTCTTCTTCTGAAACAAGGCATCGGGTCGAATCTTGACTCCAGCCAGCCTCTCATCCACGCTCAGCACCTTCAGGTCCACGCTCTTCTCCTTGGCTCGGGCCTGCAAGACTCTTGCGGCAGAGGGGTCCTGCTCAACCGTGAAAGCCGGACTGCCCATCTTCATGATTCCCGCCTTGTGCCAGGCAATCTTGTCCACGGTATCCCCCAGCACAAAAACATGGTCGATGCCGAGGGTGCTGATTCCCGAAGCAACGGGCCGCTCGACAATATTTGTAGCGTCGAACTCTCCTCCTATGCCCGTCTCGTATACCGCACAGTCGACGCCTTCTTGCAAGAAGGCATGCCAGCTCATGAGTGTGAGGTACCGGGCGTACTGGGGTCGGGAGCCGGGAGCCGGGCCATCGGGGCATGCGTTGGACTCGCCCAGGCGATCCCATACCTGGAAAAAGTACTTGGTGAAGAGTTCTTCCGATATGGGCGCCGAGTTTATCCTGATGCGTTCCCGGACGGCAATGAGATGGGGGGAGATGAAGAGCCCGGTCCTTCTGGGCGTGGACTTGCTGCGTCGGTATTGGGAGAGAATGGATTCAACAAAGGCGCAAGTGCTACCTTTGCCTTTTGTCCCTGCTACATGGACTATGTTGAGACGATCTAGGTCGGCGGGCTGGTCGGCCATCGGTTAGTCATGTAGTTGCCGTGTTGACGTTGTATAAGGCAAGTGCACATGCCGTGTATCCTATCCGGGCGAGATACGCCCTCATCTCAAAAATAGACGACACATCGGGTTTTATGCCCAGTTTGCGGCGCTCTTCAATTACCGCGTAAGGTGTTTGCAGTGAGTTGAGAGCATCAATCGCGTCCTAGGGACCCGGAAGTTAGACTCGGCTCAGTGGGCTTGAGACTCGAGAGGCAGCGAGTTCACTCACACTGTAGGTTCTGTTCGCCGTTGCCATGGTGCACAGGCTGACGCTTCGTGCTATGAGACGTTGTATGGCGACGATGGGCCTTCTCGACACATTCTGCATCGATTTGGTTGATCTTGTTGACGCCTCTGCGAATGGACGGCCTGTGGGTGAAACAAATTTATGATGCGACAACGCAGCTGAATGGAGAACCAGAAGTTGAACCAATGGGCTCTGCGCCAGCGCCAGAAAATGAGCGTACTTGGTTGCAATTGATGTTATTCACGTTTTGAAGAAGCGTGACGTGCACGATGTCTTTTTGCAATCAATCCAATACGCACCTAATGAAGTAGTCAAGATGATGATGGATGGACTAGCGCATTGCGCAGGTGCTTAAGAAGGAAGGAAGGAAGGAAGGAAGGAAGGAAAGGCCCAAGGCCGATGTCGCAAGGTTGCACATGGGCGAGCCAAGGAGACCTGAAACAATTGTACAATTTCGCAATGCTATTTGAAAAAAAGGAAAAAAAGGGGGGAAAAAATTACATCAAACTGCTTCATTCAACTCATTAATTAACTATTCATCATCGTTTCTTCACATTGCACCCTCAGAACTGCTGCCCAATCCACTCTCGCTTTGACGCTATAAAGCCAAACACATCATCTCCCCTCGTTACTCAATAGTCATCGTCAACGCCTCACCATACCTTTCCTCAGACCAAGCCTTCATCCCATCTCTCAGCGCCTCACTGAAGCCCTTGTCATATCGAATGCCCGTCTCCTCAAACGCCAGTCTCGCCCTCCACGTAAGCCAGCCCTCGCCCATAACACCCTCGGGGCACCTCAAAATACCCGTCGCGATATCAACAACGGCCTGTTCCTCGGTAGGCGTTCGTGCAGCGCAGGAATACATGACAGTCGCACCACATGTTCCACAGAATGACCGCAAGACACCTTCTGACGAGGCGTACGTCCTGGCTGTGCCAATCCTCAAGTCTGTCTTGATGGGCGGCTGGCACAGTGTTAGAGGGACAAACGTCCACCCTGCGACATGAGTGCCGTTGGCAAGACGGCAGTCGTCGCAAACGTCGTATGTGGCCAGCCATGTGTTCTTGTCACGTCGCGACACGTACTTGGACATGAACGCGTCACTGAGGACCTCGTCATTGGGCCGACTGAATGTGAATGACACTCCGCCGCAGAAGCACTGCGCTCGCAGGCGGCTCTCGCCATTTGATCCGACCTCTGCTGTTGGCTTGCTGACTTTTGCCCTTGGGTCGTCGTCGGGCGGGTTCCATCGCTTGATTTCCCGATCACCGATCCTGGATAATACAGCTGGTATGGCTCCGCCCGGGGCAGACTTGGAAAAAACGTGCGACGTGATTTGGAACAAGTCCGGCCCGTGGTCTTTGAATATTGAAGTCGCGATAGTCCATTCCTTGCGGTCGAAACTGACGCCAGCCACATGGCAGCCGCATGTTGAACAAAAGTCATAAGTACAGTCTTGTGCGGGCTTGAAAGAAGTCAACTTCTTCTCACTCGAGGGAGAAATGAAGTTTGGCGTTGTGTTCTTGGGCAGAACGGAGTGGAAAACCGCTGGTGCGCCTGTTGAGTGTCGGCAGATGCTGCAATGGCAAAGGTATACTGACAGTGGGAGGGAAGCCACTGGGATATCAAGTGTGAAGTGAATCGAGCCGCAGAGACATTTGGCTTCAAGAGACCTCGTTTCTTGGAAAGTCATCTTGGTACATCAACATGACCACGGCATCAACGTTTACGCCAACAGGTTGGTCTTGAGCCTTGGCTTGGTTGTCAGCCGGACTCTTTCATGGTTCACGTTTGGCCTTTGCATACATACAATACGATCCATACAAGCCAACTCTGTACAGTGGCAGTCTGTCAATTACGCCCGTGGTTGATGATGCCTTGAGAAGTGATGAGTCTGTCACAAAAAGCCCAGATGATGATGTCAATCAAGTCGTTTATTAGCAAGTACCTCGGTACCCAGGTAGCCTAATTTGCGAGGATCTGTTAGCCGGTGTTCAACCGCATCGCACGTTGCCCACAATTCACGCCGATGAGCTCGCACCCCTGCCAACTCCGACGAAACAGCTCACGGGCGTCTGCAACCTTTTTTCCTGAGCCTCTGATAGCTCCATAGGGCCTGTCTGAACCTTGGAAGACGGCCATGTCGGGCGTCAACGACAGCCCTCCAGACCTTGAGAAGCACCGCCTACAGCTCGAAGAAAATATCAGTCGGCTGACACGAGCCTTGCGGCATTGGCAAACTTGGGATGCCGAATACGAGGCTCTGAAGGAAGAGATCGAAGCTGTTGGGGAACCATGCAGTCCCGACGAACTACGCCGCGTCCACGATGAGTTTGATGGTGAGCTGTTGGTCGGCAAGGAGATTGGTGAGGTGTTTGGTGTTCATGAGTTGAAGCCTAGAAATCAGATTATCAACGTGTTGCAACGGCGCATCGACTACGTCGGGAAGAATGTTGTGAGCCTGGAGAAGCAGTTGGAAGCAGCGGAAAACAAGTACGCGGCTGCTACGGCTGGAAGTCAGCTTGATGCTGTAGATGAGGCTGGGCAGCCCATCACCGAAATTATTGAGGAACTGGACGATGAGGACAATGTCGTTTCATATCGACTCAACAACCCTGGAGCGGCTCTACCCAAGGTCAAGGAAGCCTTGGAAAGGGCGGGGGTTGACGACCTCGAATACCAGACGCCGGAAGCAGAAGAGAAATCAGGAATCTCAGCAAAAGAGCCCAACGAAGTGTCGTTGAAACCGAAACCCGCAGCTCCAAGACAACCCACCCTTTCGGGAACACCTCCAGCGCCGCCAGTCAAGAAGAGTGTGTCATTCTCAGAAGACGTCAAGGCTGCAAATCCGCTGCCGGAAATGTCAGTAAGAGCGAAGCGCGTAGACCGGATAATGAGAACTGCCAAGGAACAAGAAAGCATCAGCCATGAAACGGCCATCATCCCAGAGGATGAGGATCCTGATGATGCGGCTCTTCGACAACAAATGTTGCAATATGGCATGGGCGAAGTCGGGGCCGTGGTGGCCGAGTTGGAGCTTGAAGAAGTCGACTCGGATGACGACAGTGGCTTCGACTACGGCGATGATGATTTTGATGATGACGACAGTGAGGAAGACAGATTTGGGCGGTCCACCGGGGGGATTGTGACTGATAAATACCGTCAGCGGATGCTCGAATTGGAACAGAAACTGGGTATCAAATCTCGTTTCACCGAGCAAGCGGAGCAGACAGCCCAGGATGAAAGGCCAAACGACGACACGGAAGGGATTGGCCGCATCGTCGTCAAACGAGAACCCGACACCACACCATCCGCATCGAAATGCGCGCCTCCGAGATCTCACAAGGGGGGGGAGGGCGTGCGATTTGCACAGACCCTTGATATCGCTCCAGAAAACAAACCACCAGCGTCAAAGCCAGCGAGAGAAGCCGCGGGCGTTGAACCTCTAAGCGATGTTGTTGAGCGAACAACTCCCACAAAGACGCCCGAGACGAAGGCGACTCGGAAACCGTCGAGATTCAAAAAGGCCAGAGGTGAAAATGTTTCATGTGACGCGATTCCGAAAGGACCCTTTGACGTTCCCTCTAGATTTCTACAGCAGGAGCCTCGAGTTGTCCCCACCGGGCCAGAGGGTTCAACCATGGCCGACAAGTTGATTGAGCGGGACACACCGACCAGTGTTACTGCGCCTGACGAGCTCGATGACTCCATGGCACACCAAGAAGTCGCCGATGAGTATCAGCGAATGCGGAGAAAGTTCATCCATCGTGATGGCGGCTTCTTGAAAGCGGACGAGTCGATCATCCAGCCGCTTGATGAAGCCGACGGCGGAGAACCCATCAGTCGCTTCAAGGCTGCCCGTCTTTCAAAACAATAACCGTCATTTTTCACGGGGTCGCGGCTTACATATACAATATATATCCTTAGGTCGCCAAAATATTGGATTTTCAGTGGTGATAAGTCGTATGGCACTAGGATCAGGTCATCCACCGCAGTTGCCGGTTTCTCTCCGCATTGTAGCGTGAGTATGTCGGCTTTGTAATGGTATATCTTTAAGCATCGTGGAACGCGCATATCTGACAACCGGTGCGTTGCAGCATCCATCTGCTCCGTATTACAGCGCTGTTCCGATATCAATTGCTTCTGAAGGGCTCTCTGACGCTTTATCTTGAGACGGTGGTAATGGCGCCTCGTTTCACCCTTTACATCTTTATCGAGAGTTAAAGCCTCGCTAACACCATCCACCTAGCTTGTTGTGCTTTGTGTTCTCTGTAAATTTATATATCCAAGTTGTCTTATTTCCTGCAGTGTGCAACCCTGCGGGAGCTCTCGGCATTATACCCAGGACTATTATAGCCGTTGCGTTTGCTTGATGGTCGTCAGCAACCTACAGAAACATAGTAATGCAGAAACAACTTGTTACTCAACATGAATAATCCAAGCGCCAACATTCAAATACAACACCCCGTACATCCAGTTCCGGTTCGTACTTGAAAGCGCGAAGTTCTATGTTAAGGGCTAGTGTAGGGTAGCGAATAGCGATAAAACGACCAAGAACTTAACCACTCAGGCAGGTAGTTAATTCTATAGTCTCTGACCTACAAGAGACGAACAGCAACTAGATGGAATATCAGAATGACAAAAAGCCAGATCGATTTGTAGCAAGAGAAAAATGCTGAATTTACAAAAAAGAACATCTCGTGGTTCCGCCCGGGCTCGAACCGGGGACCTTCTCGGTGTTAGCGAGAAATCATAACCAACTAGACCACGGAACCATGGTTAATAAGAGTGCTGGTAACTCCACGTGTTACTGTCAGATATAAAGCCAAAAAATGGCGTGAGGATGAAAACCCACTGTCCGTTGACAGGAGCGCACAGAGGGCGAGAAAACATAAAGTCAGCTTACAAAATCGTCAAAGAGAATGATACGGAGGGCATTCCTAGTACTAACTGATTGTTTGGTCTCCAACATGATCAAAAATTTCCATCTTGGCCCTGCATTTGTAGCCTCAGTAGCTTTCGTATTGTACATACTATACATTCTATACTATGATACATTCCATCTGCATCCCCGTTGCATTTACTTTGTTCCCCCGCCTCTTCCGAAAATCGCAGACAGCGTATCCCCAAACGTAGCCTGCCCATTCGCCTTCCTTGCCTCCCTCTCTTCCTTCTGCGTTGCCCATATCTGCTTTACATTCTTGCTTACATCCGACTTGGCCTGCAGATCTGCCCTCAGTGCAGCCTCTTCTACCACCCTCTCACCCTCCGGTAGCTTGTCCAACTTCTCCCTCCACGTTTTCTCGAGCTCTTGTGTCGGCACGACCCTTGCCGCGCTGGCCTTTGGCAGCGCAGGGTCGAAGATGGGAATTGGTGTGCCGTCCTTCTTTGCTTGCTCGACGGCGGTCTCGTGTACGAGCATCCTGTCGTACAAGGTGTCGGCGTGCATTTGAATATCTTCGTCGACTTGCGGAGGCCGGCCGGCTACGGAGCCATATCCTAGGGCTCTGAGGAATCGCTGAGAGATTTTGGTCAGTGTTGCGACACAAATATGTTTATGTGTGTATATATATATATATATATATACATAAACAGAAAAAAAATAGAGAGCCGAACGGAGACACAAAAAGTTTGTCCCTGTAACGTACTGATTGCAAAGTGTAACACCTCTCGAACCGTCTTACTTGATGCCGACACATTTGGAGCTGGTCTTCCCAGCTGCCATTTTTCATGCAATCAACCCATTGCTCCTGTTGGATGGCACAGTTTTCGAGTGCTGCGCGGCCGATTGCCGCCTTGCGCTCTTTGAACCCTTCCAGCACATCCATGAGCTTGTCGTGGTCGGTTGCTGCTTCAGATTCGATTTGCGCCAACGGCCGGTAGTTCTTCCAGAGGTGTGCGTATCGGCCATCTTGGTATAAGCTCTCTGACGGCACGACTGACGTATCGCGTGCAGATTCTGCTTCATCTGCACTCTGGGCTTCTTTTGCTTGTGGTTGAGGTGTAGCTGAAGTTGAGGTTGGTGCACGGGTCGGAGTATATTTTACGGGAGCTTCTTTCTCGAGGAATTCGCGGAGCTTGGGATCGAGTTTGCTCAAGGGATCAGACGGTTTGTCCGAACCGAATATGGAAGGGAACCAGCCCATCGTGACTACACTATGTGTGGATTCGTCTGCAGGTCGAAAGGTTTCCGTCTTTATTAGCTGGGTCAACATGCGAATGGATAGATACTGAAGGAATCAGGCACAGTGTGGCTATAGAAACACTGTGAAAGGCACTGTCTGGGAACCAATATGGCATGCGATGAGTATGACGCAGCACGTTGAAGGCGTAAAATGTTGCAGCTGATAGTCTTACACATATAGTCTTCAGAAAATAAGGCAAACCCTACCCAGGTTCCTTCGGACAGTACATCGATGGATGACGCTCAAGCATTCAGCCGGCACCATATACTCCCACGTCCCATATTGACTGTTTTTTTTGATACACCCGATGAACTGTGGCAACACAATGAGAGCACCAGAAGATTTGACCGACTGTACTTCATCTTGTTGCATTCATGAAAACCTTTTTAATTCGTGACTGCAACTACCGGCACAATCTTTTGCCCAAACAACTTCCAGAGCCCGAGCCTCCTGTGGGAATGACCTAAACCCCTTGATGTTTACCACGCCAAAAATGCCAGAAGAAGAGCCCAATTTAGAACTTGCTGAATTTCTTAACCGCCTTGCCAGTTCGGGGCAGAACACGCAGAACGTTGAAACGAACCTGGGGCAATTAGCATACTTTCGACCAGCCCAAAAACGCAAACTCCAGCGTCATGAATGCCAACATACAGTCTTGGAAAGAGGTCGGCACTGGCCAACGGTGACCTGGTCACCCTCCTCAACACGGAAAGCGGGAGAAACGTGGGCCGCAAGGTTCTTGTGGCGCTTCTCATAACGAGAGTACTTAGGGATGAAGTGGAGGTACTCTCTTCGGATAATCAGAGTTCGGTGCATCTTGGTGGAAACGACGGTACCGGTCAGGATACGGCCGCGGATGGAGACGAGACCGGTGAAAGGGCACTTCTTATCTGTCGGAGACAGTCAGTGGACTGTGCATAGTAATGTGTTCCAACACGTCGCAATTCGATTCTTGATTCCTTCTTTTTTCCCCTGCTCCTCAAAACGACCTTGTTTGGTGGCATTTCGCCAGTAAATCCCTCCTTGCCCTTCCCCCCCACTCATCTTGAAGTTTCGAGAGCTCGAGTTTGACGTCTACTTCGCACGTACCGATGTAGCTGCCCTCAATGGCAGTCTTGGGGGTACGGAAACCCAGACCGACATCCTTATACCATCGTCGGCCGCCCTTGCCCGGTCTGGCGCTCTTGGCCTTGGTCTTGGAGTTGAGGAAGATGTGCGGCTGCTTCTGGAACGCACGCTCCGACTGGACAGTCAACTCGGTGGCCCTGAAAACCAGTTAGCGGCCATGGACAGACATAATCCGAGTGAGCGTCTCGAATAGGACTGACATCTTGATTGATCGTTCTCCGGAGAGGTGTCGTAACAAGAGGGCTGTCGTTGAGGGTGGTGAGGCAAGAAGTTGTTTTGCGCGATGGAGGAGTAGGGCAACCCTTTGCACACTAATATTTTGCAGCCTCCTTTCAGACTTAGGGCTTGCAAAATTTAGATTGGCTGGGTAGGCGAGAGCCCCGCCTAAAAACGCACAGGATACCGCTTGGCATCACGTGGATTCTGATTCGTACGACACGTGATCCCAGCTCTCGACTCCGGATTTCGGCTGGCCCACTTATTATTGCATTTGGGACCCACTCCGTCAACCTCTAGGACCGAGGTACGTACTGTTTCCCGCTCCTGGAAGTAAACAAACAACGGCGAATCGCGACTCATCGTATGGACTGTTCGCGATAACTTCACTTACAACGGCGCCGCGACAGGCCCCGACGCGTCGTCATAATGGCACCTCCAAATGAGGTCACAGTGCCTTCGATGCGGCGAGTTAGGAAATCCGTCGGAGCCAACGCAGAAATGAAACGCACTGTTGACAAAGAAAATGCGACAGTTGACGTTGCCCGCACGCTGGCTGACGATCGCAAGAAGTCAAGAAGCAAGAGTATGGGCCCTGGGGGGCTCGATGCGTTGAAACATGCAACAGGGAACCGCCGCGCAGTGAGTATGCCACTTTCGCATGAGATTCATGGAATGCATCTAACATGTAGCTTAGTCTATCGCTGCACCCGCAAAGCCGAGGTCGATTCTTAAGCCAACTATATACTCCGTGCAGGATATTCCACCTCTAAAAAATGAAAGCCGGCGCACGAGAAATCCAAACGAGTCTCGAGACTCAACGAAGTCTTTGATTTCCTCCAATGATGACAGCACAAGTGGCTCCAAGGTGGCGCTCAAAACCGAGGAGGAGCAGCAAGCCGCTGCGCGAGAACGAGATGAAAGAGAGCGAAGAGACGCTCGGCGCAAGTCCTTGGCGAACAGGAGGGTATCCTTTGCTGCCGAGGCTACGTTGCATACTTTTCACGAAATAGAATATATGCAAGATTCGACTACTTCTACAGACTCATCGCGAAGAGCATCATCATTCAGGGGAGCCGAATCATCAGGAGCAGTAAAATCGCCTGATGATCAAAGGTCCAACAGAAGAAACTCGGAACTCCCACCTCTAAACTTCCATAATACCGACGATGATACCCTCACATCAACCATTTATAGTTCCGACTCAGAGCCACCCGACGCCGTAGAAGAGATTGAGGAAGACAGTGGCTCTAGCGGTGACTCAGATGACGGAACAATGATGACAATCGAGACAGAAGAAGTCACTGGGACCACTGTTGCGTCTGAGCGGTATGGGTCTGACGACGAATCGTCGACTCTTGATCGCGCTCTGAGAATGGCTGCACAGAGGGCCGGTACGCAACGACTTGATGATGACGATAATGACAAGCTGGATGATGATGAAGAGGTCATTCCATCTTTTGGCTGGGTAAAGAAGAGTAATGCCTCGACTTCTGCTCAGGGGGCAAGCGATTTGATGTCTCAGCAAGAGGAAGGGATAGAAATGGACGTGGACATGGACATGGACATGACAGGCGCTGTGGGACGAATCATCAAGTCGCAAGAACCGGAAGAATTTGATAGCCATGAAGGTCTAACTATGGATATCACTCAGGCACTCGGGGGAATCTTGTCGGAAGGAAAGGGCGAGCCAGTTGCCCAAGACGACGCCTCAACGGAGGCAGCAATGGAATTCACAACTGCAGTCGGTAGGATTTACCAACCGCAGACTGTGTACCAAGATGAGTCTGATACGAACGAAGATTTTTCAATGGAGTTTACCGCAGCTATGGGCGGTGTCCTCCCGTCAGCAAACCCATCCAGTGCCAATACTGGTCGACGACATACTCTGAATCGACAGGGGGAAGCCGGAATGGAAGATGCTACCATGGATATGACCGTTGGATATGGCAATATCCTTCCCTGTAATATGCATGAAGGCGACCATACTGTTCAAGGAGACGAGACTATGGGTATGGATATAACGACTGCTCTTGGGGGGATTATTGCCAACGGTGATGCCACCTCCCGAAGTCTCGAAAAGAGAGCAACGGAGGGAAAAGACGACAAGCCAAATAGCCCAAAGCGAGGGATCATGGCAGTTATCTCGCAAAAGACACCGACTCGGCGAAGTTCTCGATTATCTGGAATGTCTCAAAATGCGTCCCCGAGCACCAAGCTTGAAAGCCCTGGTTTGACTGCCTTCGGCGGGAAAGAATTGCACCGAAGCACTGGGCCGCAAACACCAGACACGATATCATCTCCGCTCAGGACGCCAACGCCATCACCACCTAAACCCTCACCACCCAGAGCCCAAGCCGCAGCCGCTAGGGCTATGGCACGTGGACCTAAAAGCAAGAGCCTAGGATCCACGACGCCTCGAGGTAGGGGAGTTGCCCAGTTAGACCAGTGCCAGTCGCCAACCAAATCTTTGACGCCAAGACACTCATTGTTTCGAAATGATGGGAAAACTGGAGGAAGAACGCCAACTATAGTGTTGACACCACAGACTCGTCGTTTGTCAGGAGTTGGAGCTGACAAAAGCGGACTTGGATCACCGAAAGTGACCGCGTTACTTGAGAGACGTAGCTCCATTAGCGACAGCGCTACAGATTTTATCCCGGGCAAGCGAGAGGGGGCATTTGAGGATCCTAAGACGATGGAGGAAGAGATTGATAGGGAGCGTAAAGTCGAGGAAGAAAAGGAGAACCGACGAAAGATACTTGAGCGTGAAGTCGATGGGCCACAAGAGGACAGAGAAGCTACACTCAATCTGAGAGAAATGATTGACAGCTTGAGCCCGAAACGAAATGCCCTGAAAGGGAGGAAGAGTCTTCATGTTGGAAGCGCCAAGGGTCTTCTGGGAAAGCGACCACTAGAACTAGACGATGATGAGGATTCGGAAGAGGATGACGGGGTGAAAAGGCTTAAGGGGCACAATGCCAGTCCTGTCAAAAATATTAAGCTACAGCAACCGCCGTCTGTAGCTGAAACCACCGGAAGACTCACGAGAGCGCCTCGGAAGAGCCTTGAACCTCAAGGGGGTAACACAACGTGTTCTCTTTCCTCACCACTGAAGAAAGATTCAGCCACGATGCCACGACGACCAGGGCTTTTCCAAAATCTAAGAGAGAGCCAAACTGTTCACGAAGTCAACTTTGACCAGTCTCATGGTATAGACACCGAAATACTGAAGCCGGACGTTGACAATGAGAGGATACATCTTCAAGACTTCTTGAACATGACATCAATTCGCTTCATGGAACTGACAACAACCAAGCGACGTCACACAGTTGCGCCCAAGAGACGCCAGGATGGATCATCTGGCGATGGAGAGGATGACATGTCGCTTGAGCGTTGCGTCGTTGCAGGTGCTTGTACTGTCCCTATGCTGGAGCTATACCAACACTCGTGCAGAGAACTCAAGAACTACATAGCTGAAGGCAGACGCATGGTGAAAGAGATTGAGGAAGAGACTTTCGAGGTCAATCCGCCATTATTTCACGAGTACATGTGTGCCACGTCCGATGTCAAAGCGCTTATGGACAATCAGTTCAAGAACGTCAAGACGCATGCCAGACTGCTGAGCAAAGCAATGTGGTACGAGTGGAGGATGAAGCTTCAAGAGGGTCTGAAAGAGGGTCTCATGACTATCGCTCAAGGTATGGACGCCGATGAAAAGATGATCAAGGAAAGAGAGGACTTGTTATCAGCAGTTTTGCCCGGTGTGTTGGAAAGATACGAACGATTAGAAGAAGAGAGCGGCAATCTGGATGAAGCAGCCAAGGAGCTTGCGGATTGTGATCCGGCTGAGCTGCAGGCTGCGAGAGATGAGTTGACGGACTTGGATGCGGATATTGACGCCAAGAAAAGACTGATTGAAGAGTTCCGAGAGCAACTCGAGTCCTCTACATCGGAGGTCGAAGACGTTGCTGCAAAGAAGCAGAATCTCGTGACTAGGATCCAACAGTCCGAAAAGGTTCGAGAAGCATGTCGTGGCTGGACTGGCAGCGAGGTCGAAAACCTCAAATGTAAGTTGCGCTGATATGGATGATGACCAGGCGCGAAACTCATTTACTGACTTGCAAACAGCTCGCGTCGATGCTCTTGAGAAAGAATATGGCTGGGGCGTAACTGGCCTGTCAGGTACAAATCTTTCCATGACTTATAGACGAGAAATCGAGGTTGTTTTCGACGTTGCCTCATTTCAGCCGCATCGAAAGAATTCTCGAATCGATCTGTGGTATATCGGGGACAACATGAACGGCCGCCTGCAATCAAAGACGGCAGAAAAGGAATTCTTCCTTCAGTGTATTAGAGATCACGTTCGCGCGCTGCCACAGAGTCGGACAAAGATTTTGGATCTGCTGAATATTGTTCGCAACGCCTGGGACAAGGCGCGCTTTTTGGCCTTGCAGCTTCATACGGTGAACATCACTTTCCCGACCTACGTGACCAAGACGTCTGATTCGAGTGTTGCCGTAACGAGCTCATTGCTGTTGACGCCACTTCGAACAAGAATTGAGACGACCCTGCATCTCCATGGTCACAGCGCAACTAAGGGAGTTGATGTCGAAATCTCTGCGCAAGTCAAGGTTGTTTACGGCGAACACTTCAACGTGAATAAGGTGGGGGAGTTCCTGTCGAGCAAGATTGGCGATAAGCTGGGGGACAAGGGGGATGATTGGAGCGATGTGCTGGTTGAACTTCAGCAGAGATTAATCGCGAGAGGTAAAAAGCAAATGTCTAGCGTGACGCAGTAATGACTGATGACGGGTTGGGTTGACATGGAAGTATTATATTTTCGGACGGGGACTCGGGAGTTTTCGGGATAGGCATACGTAACGGGGAGCGCATTGACATGCAAGCGACATACCAACACTACTGTTCTTATCATATATCTTTATTGAAGCTATTCATTTGTCTCCTGCGAGCGATGGCCCAGGCACGGCGGGTGAGCATGTGAACATCCGTGTAATGTATGACTCTTCACGGACCCCGTCTAAGCCCTCGTGGGCTTGTCTCGAACTTTGTCTGATTTTCTATCGCCCTCGCTTGCAAGTGTAGCAAGTCTGGTGATCAGGGTGGTTGCTCGAGAGTCCTATTCGGTGGCGAGTTCGTTCACGACTCTAATCGTTTGCCATGGCAATATGTCGGACTTCGGATGACAAACTACTGTGGTGAAAGGTGCCGGCGCGCATTCTTCTATGCAACATGGAATCGATCAGTGAACATTCAGACATTCAGACGTTGAAAGGTCGACGTTGGTGAGGGAGACTGAACAAGAAAAGCCTGCGTACTTAAGCTGGCCCTATCTACTGAAGTACATAGGTACTTATTATGCAGCTCTTTATGCAGGCCTTTCTTTGTGCAGCCTTGGCCCTGGCCTCTATGTACTCCGTACTCCCGTATCGTCGGCCATACATCCAGATTCAAGTTGGGCAGTTCCCAAACACCAAATGAACAACCACCATCCATGCACGATTCATTGTCCCTGTGGTTTGTTGCCGCCCTCCTAAAGACTAATGTATCCTTTGTTCGTCTACTTTTCACCCATCTAGGCGCTCGCGCAAACACCATCCAGATGCTGTGCATTGGCTCTGAACTCGTCTCGAGCTGGACAATCATGGCCCAATGTCGCTTGACTGTAACCCGGGTTCCAAGGTCTAATACGGATTTCTCGACCCTTCTCCTCCTCTGTCGCTTTGCATTTTTATTTTCTCTCTTGAAGATACCTCTCACTGAAAAACTCGACAGACAAGGCTACCATGATTGCCCAGCACCCGGCAATCTCAATACAATTCTACCCTTTGACTTTTCTTGCGCTGTCATTATGAACTCTCTTACAACATGTTTTGGAACGAAGAAAGCCCCCTCTTCGATGAGATTGAGCGGGCTGATCGATTGCTTAACAGCCTTCACATGGATCAATTACCAGAGACCTTGCCATGCGCAACTATACCAGTGGAAAAACGACTTAGTTTGAGAGCGATTTTCCTCCAAGTCTTATTTTTTATTGTTCTTCGCCTTTCGTGGTTGATCTGGAGGCTTCTGAACATCGTTTGGATTCCGCTTTACTACCCCTACGTTCGATATATTTTTAAAAGCCGCATCCCCATCCTTGCGGGTTTGGCCGCTTGGCTTGTGTTTCTTCCCGACCACAATCCCCTTGATTTCACGACGAGGGGCAGACCAGCTGGAGTCTGGTTCACCTCGGCTGATTTATATCAACTGTGGTACTGTCTCGCGGCACCAATCTTGTGCCGAACTGCGTATCAGTTAACAAGCCTTCCGAGAGGCCTATATGCGAAGGCTGCCCTCGGTTTCAACTATGCCTTCGACGTCGACATCAGCTTGTCGGAATATGTTGTCGAGTGCTATAAACCCACACCTCCAAAAACAGCTGTTGATCATGTCTTCCGTCTCTTGTTGCACGAAAGTCACCTCCATAATATTGACACAAATATCAATCGCTGGGCGAGACACCCCGTGTTGTCACGAAAGAATAGCAATATGCGTTCGGACTGGGATAGGTACTGCAGCAACCAGATGAAAAGGAAACAAAGGCGGCCCCTAGGCAACGAAAAGCTTTTTGGTTCACCATTTGTCGCTTGGACTTGATGGCCAACCGACGGCAAAAAAGTATGACGAGAACGGAAGACGAAAGCCGCCGAGGCATGTGTTGATTTTGGAGTATTACGATTCTGCTGGGCCCAATCAGCTGAAATTGGCGGCTGAGGTTCTGCGCAGCAAGGGCATACAGTTAAACTACCTGCCTGTCCCTATTTACGACCGAAGAGACTTAGTCGACGACTTGGGGGAGCGCTGTGGCCTCCACGATGAGTGTGAAATGATTGCAGGTATTCCATCGCCTGAATTGACGATTGAGACTCGTGTGGACAAGGGGACGGAGGTTCTTTCGTCTCCTGAGATTCTCAACTGCCAAAAAGGAGAGGCAACATGTGTACGAGCCTCTGAGGGACTAAACCTTTCAACTATCAATATGGTTAATGTAAAAATCGAGCTAAACGCCGATGATACTAGAGCGAAAGAATGTACGGAAGAGCAACACCATGTCTGCAAGGCCGGTCTCGACAAGCTGGAAAACTCGGCGAACCGTTTGGAAACCTTGTCCTTGTCAACAGCTCAACCAACACCTAGCCCTATAGAGCAGCAACAGTCCATTTTCGAGGCTAACCGATCCGAAATCAGGTATGTTTCGGAGGAGGTCTATGAAAATTCCGAAATTGAAGCTATACCTATTGAAGCACACAAAATTGTTCCCGACGAGATTCAAAATGCTGCACAGAAGTCATTAGCTCATTCCGCGGAGACCAATATCGCGCCCAAGTCTGTGCCTGACACGCTCAGAGGCGGCAGAGATCTAAATAGAGTCATAAAAAAGCAAGGAGAGACGCGGAAGGCCGCGCTGATCCAGCTGCCAGCTTCGCCGGGAGATATACCCCTTCCTGCTGTCGATGACTGCGACCTTGCCCAAGAAGACGTCTCAAAAAAGCCTGAAATTTGTTCAGAATCTGGTGAGATAATATCTCAGAAGTGGCCACAGAGCGATTTGGATGACATAGAGGGAGAAGGAGATTCCGCCAAGCAGCTGGAATGGGCCTTCCAGTTAGATGATGACCTAGGTATGACTGACTTTCAGGACCCCAAATTCCACGAAAAGAGCGATGAGATGAATATTGACGCTCAGACAGATTGCGAGATGCCTGATGCGCCGGATTGGGATCAGTATTGGGACTCAGAACGGGGAGCATGTGGTGATGCCATTGACACGGTGATACATGATGTTCAAGATGCGAAGCAGAACATCGAAATGGCTACCTGTATCCGCAAACCAGAAGATCTTGTCATCAAACCAAAAGGTCTTGTCATGGAAACGCCCGTGGTAGTTGATCAATCGGCTCAAAAGGTCACAATTGCTGGAACACCCGATGGGCAGCCCCTTGATCACAGTGCACCGCAGCAGATGAGCCAAATGGATTTACGTCACTCAGAGCAAGCCACGCGAACAACCAATGCTGAAAAACAGACGTTGACGAAGTTTCCTGAACAACCGGCTCCTGTGACAATACATCATGACAATGCCACTATCCACTCCGAGAAACAGTTCAATAATACTGTTCCAGTATACCAAGTCGACCAGAACCCGGGAGATGAATTGGATTTCAAACTCTCGCTGGAGGAGCTTTTGGTGCAGATAGGGGATGAGTCTGGCAAATGCGTACATGGACTCGGCGCAAAGTTCCATGATGGGCAAACTGAACCACCGGAACACATGGAAACAACCCGAAAATCTTCGAAAGAGGCAAAGGAGAATGACATGGCACAAGTTCATCCGCCTCAGAATCCCAGCATGGCCCTCAGCCAGGATAGTCACACTCAACCGACGGGTGCTGAAACAGTCGTCATAGGCAACATTGATACAGCCGGTCGAGATGACAAGATTCTTGATTTCAAAAATGGAAAGAAGACATTGACAACCATTGGTGGCGAGCAAGAGGCCCTGTCTGCTGTACGAAATCCTGAAGCTCGTAAAAGTCGGAAACCAAGTCCGATATTCGATTGGACCATCATCAATTCGCTCCTCCCCCCTACGCTTCAGGAAACAGGCCTTGATCAAGTCAATGAGAAGACAAGCTTCAATTTCGAAAAAATTCAGCGCCAAGAAGATGAATTGGTGCGAAAAGGACTCAAGTCAGCATATCGGGCAGATTCTCGCATACGGAACGTGCCGAACGCACTGAAACAAAATAAGAGGAAGGGGAATATCATCTTACGTCGTCGTAAAGACGTCGCGGATGATCTGGTAAGCAACGACGAGGTAGTCAAAGCAGGTTCTTCGGACAATGTCTCCGACCGTTCAAATTATCCATCTACGTCTCATGGCCACGATATACAAGAAAAAGACGATGGTTCTAAGGCTCGCAAACAGAGGCGCAACTTTAAAAAGAGTACGGCAGAATCTGATGATGAATTGGCTCTATTTGCTCCGCGACCGAGCGATCTTGAACTTCGGGATAAGCCTGGCCAGAGGCCGGGGCCATTCTCTGGAGAAGCCTCCGATTCTTCATCCTCCGATTCTTCATCTGCACGAAAATCAACTCCGGAACAGGAGATCCCAGAAAGATCTGTTAGAACCCCCAAAGAGCACGTGGTTGTTTCATCCTCTCAAGAGAATGTCAAGCCAATAGGGCCAAAGGATAGAGATTCAGTCAGTCCCGTGGCCGTGGATTGCCCCGTGACACCCATTGAAAACACCTCCCGTCCTGCCGCGCTGCAGTCATCGACAAAGACGCCGGAGCCTGAGCAAGACGAGTCTACTCAGCCCAAGTCAGAAGGCGTCATTCTTCCCAGTGGCAACTCTATGCACAATGGGTCGCCTTCCCAATCCATTGCTGACCTGAATACATGGTCGCAAACAGCTAGGTCACCAGTTGCCCTGGGGACTAAGGGACTACAGAGGAAGAAGGCTCCAAGGAAGAGTAAAAGCCGACCTCCCAGGATATTCCATGAAAAAATAAGAAGAGCCCCCCCATCGCCGCATGGAACTCCATCTAGAGGGTCTACAGAAAGGGATGAACAGTTGAGACCGCATGAGAGAATGGCGAACCTAAACCGACCATGCTCTACAAGTACACAAACGACCAAATGGGGAGAGAATACAAACGAGCGGAAAACAACACAGATTATTCCAATAAAGGAGCTTAGAGCGAGGCTAAGAGCGAAAAAGGAGAGCGAAGAAACCGCAGCTGATGACACGTGACAGTAATGACGGGATCTTCGATGTATTATGCACAGAGATGGCACTGTCGGGAGTATATAGAACGATGTACCTGCTTTCATTACACTCATGCAGGGCTTTCGCATCCTGTATGCCATCATCTATGCTTAACCTTGGTCCAACCATTGGTCCCAGAGCGAGGAGTTGACTTTGCATGGGTAGACTTGTCCAGGACATTTTGAGCACTTGTGGCACCAGAATCAGCCCCCGGCAAGTCTTCGATTTTCCAGGCATCGTCATCCAGAATCTCCCAATCCGGAGCTGGCGCGTCCCCAACAAGCTTCTTCTTTAATCTATCTGCCAACTTCATCGGACTTGGCAGCTTCAAACTTCGAATCAACTCGGTTCCTTCGTGACCACCCAGGAAGTAGAATGTTGCACCGTGGGAAAATCGACCAAGCCAGTTCCCCTGGCTTTCTTCTTCCACCTCCTCACCGTTCGGTCCCCAGCCCGGGACCTTTACATTAATAGGATGAAAGTCGTGCGCCTGGGCACTCATTAGAAAGCTATAGAGATTACGTCCCATATTGCAAACATCTTCGAAATTACTCGGATCACCGACAGACACCCCTTGGCAGTAACATAGCCAAGCTATGTTGTACGCCAACAGAGTGACACCTTCGAGAAAAAAGGAGTGCGTGGATGGATCTTCCTTTAGGAGCTGTGCCGGAGACCTGTCGACAAACAGCGGCCTTGGCCTCGGAACTCGTTGAGAGTCCGTTTCCCGAGAGTGAGATGGAGATCCTCCCGAGAAACTAGGAAATGATACATGAGAGTGCTGATACGAATTGTTGAGATTGAAAATTGTCGGTCGGGGATAATCTCGATGCGGAAGCGTTATTTCGGCTGGCAGCCGAATAGAGAGATAATGGCACACAAGCATCAAGATGTGAGTCACATGAGCAAGGGAAGTGGATATAACCTCTGGGGTGTAGGCTGTGAAGTGTCAGTCAAGGACATTCCCTCTTGACCAGAAAAGTCTTGACGACCTGTTAGAGAGGGCGGGGTGAATTGTACGTACAATCCATGGCAACCAAGTCGATAATAGGCACTCTACCAAGCTGGTATTCGTATCGGGCAGACCCCGCCTTCTTCGTTCTCTTGAGTCCGTATAGTCTGATTGCCTGAGTACACAGAAACGCGCGAGTGTTGGCAGTGGCTTCAGCCCTCTGAGCCCACCGAAACCTGGCCACTTGAGCCGACTTATCCAACTCTTGTTGCTGCTTTACCCGACGTTCTGCTAAGCCGCCTGAAGCGGATGCCAAGTCGGATCTTCTGCGAGATAGCGCGGCCTTTCGTGTTCGAATTTCTTCCCTGGCTGCCTGTATCTCTTCGTTCAGTTTGTTGGCCGAGGCGAGGATTTCATCAGTCCGGTCCTCCTCCATGTGCCGCGTTGCCGCACACTGTTCGATGTCGCCGTGGCTGTTCTTGCTCGACTTGGCGTAGAACTCATTGACCTGTCCCTGGAGACTTTCATTTTCAAGAAGGGCTTCCAAACTATTTATGCGAAGCTCGTACAAGCTATTGCGAGCATCGAATGCGCAGAGAAATGGAAGCTTCTGGGCATCATGGTCCCGGTGACAGATGTCGCACTCCATGCTGAGGTAGTCTTCGTCTCCTGCCACCTGCTGTAAAGAGGCTGTCACGGACTAGATAACGGCTGCATTTGGAGAGGTCGGGCAAAGTGCTCAATGAGAGAAAGATGAAGGCTCCACCGAGTTGTGCGCGCGCGATGCTCATGGGCTGCTAAGCAGGTGAGTGGAAATTTAACTGAGGCGGTCACGAGGTGAGAAGTGAAGGACAAAAACGTGGGGTGCAGGCCAAGTTCGGGATGACGCCACAAGGCAGGCACGACGCCAGCGTCCTGCTGCGATGGTGCAGCGGGGAGGCTTGTCGCTCTTTCCAGGAGCATTGGGCCAAATGCTCCGCTAGCGAGAATGGTTGCTGCCAGCCAATCACGGCGCGCATCATCAATGCACTAATCAGTCTCTGACCCTTTATCATGATCAAACGTTGACGGTAGGGCTCTGCTCTGTGAAGCGTAGACAAAATCCTTTTTCCCTTGTGAGCTGCCGGTTAACGCCACCCGCGACGCGGTCATGAGATTGGAACTGGCTTGATTGTGTTGGATCTTGTCGGCTCGCGCCTTGAATCCCATTCGTCTCCATAGTAGGCGAGCCTTTGAAACATCGTCGCTCCGCCCAGAGCTTTCTGAGCATCGCCTCTTTATCATCAACATGTCATCACCTCACTCACCACCCGGGTCTCCGGCCAATGAGTCCATCGAAGCATGTCCCGTTGAAGACCAAGACGAGCAGGCTGCTGGTGGTGGTGACGATACGATAACTATATCGGACGTGGCAGCGCAGGTTCAACCGCAGGCCCAACCGCAGGATCATCCGACAGAGGAGCGGAAAAACAATCACTACAGCACGTCTTCTCCCAGTCCACCTCCAGCGGATGTGCCTCCTTTCGACTGGGATTATTTCGAGTCAAGGTACGAGAAGGCATTGCAAGAAGCCGACGAGGAAGAAATGGAGATTCTCAATGAGGCTGAAGCTCTCGCCAAGGTAGGAGCCTCACCATGATTGATATTCCCCATGGCATGGTTAATTAATTATGCATGGCCAGTATTTTCGAGTCTGGGCATCTGCGGCGTCAGCGCACGATAATGATCGGGCTGTCAAGAGACTGCGCACTAGAGGGCGATTTGTAAACCTGGCTGAAGAAAAAATGGCCCAGAAACAAAAGCACTGTAAGTCTCTACTTGCCAATGTACCTTCAAAACTAACCTTGGATTCAATCAAGATGAGGAAGTAGTCCGCGCATTCGAAAGTGCTCTCGCCCTCCTAAAGTCTAGCTGACCGCTCATCATCAGTGGTTTTGCACCCAACACGTTTTTTCCCTTTTTTTTTTCTTTTTTTTTGCCCCACTACACCGTCATATGCTCCATGCATGGACGCGTTCCGGTCGGTCGGGTGACCATTTTTTGATCCATCGCTGCTATACCTCGTTTTCACGCGACACCACGGGACTCTTGAATGTTCAAGGATGCTGCCATTCTTGCATGCGTTAGAGATCCTCCGTCTGCGCTGCATACGATGCCACTGGCAGATGCCAGCCGAGAGCTCAGGCTTGGCATTGTCGCCATTTCTTCCATCGGTTGCTGCCGACTTGAGCCTTGATATTAGCATCGATTATGCACACTAGAATGGCGGCATCAGGGGACGAAAATTGTCAAGGCTTGGTAGGCAGCTTGCAAATTTCGCATGTTAGTATACCATTGACGCGACGGCGAGCGCTGCTAGAGGTGCTAATTCTTGAAGAACCAACTGCTCGACTTCCATCAGAGCCACTTTTCCGCCGATGCTGTAGCCAGATTTGGCTCTGATTTTTTGAATCTCACAGAAAGGAAAGAGGTAGATGAAAATAATGACGAGGAGGGCTGGGAGGGCGAAGTCGATGACGGCCTCGGCTACTATGAGGACGGAGTGAAGCGCACCTTGACGGACGAACAAATTGAGATATTCCGGCACTCCGAATTAAGAGACCTCGACCGTCGACAGGAGCAGGCCAAATCATCAAAATTGATGGGCAATAAAGGCAACGTGACTTCACAAAGTCAGGGGCCCTCAACGGAACATGACGGCGTAGCCACCCACGCAACGCGCAGCAGCAAGAAAAGGAAGAAAAAGGCCAGGAAGGACAAGCAAGAGAAGCCTAAGCCTGACTTGAGGAAACGTACATGGGACGTTGTGGATGCTGGACTGGATTCCTTGGATTACGATTGAGGCAATGGCTATAAATCGAGTCCTGATGCTGAGGTAAGTCAATGACGCCCGCATATTCATGTCTACATTGATATTTTTACACACTTCTTTTTGCCGAGTCCAACATGATGAAACTCCTTGTATCGTCATCCTTAGTCAGATCCAGATTGCAGACAGATGATTTATTTGTACTCTTGTTCAAATGAAGATGGCTGCGCAAATCAGGACATGACGAGTGATTTAATCTTCTCTCTGAGGGCGAGTATCAGCCAACTGCGTCACTACACATGCCCAAAGGAATCTGCCGCCTAACTATTTTTTACTAGGAACCACTGAATGAAGGAGGATTCGGAGGACGACAGTTATCCTCATTGTGTGATTGAAAGGATGTGTCGATGCTCTGGTTGGGCATCATGTGGCAGAGGCTTAGAAGCTTCCTCGTTGCGTGAGCAGACGATTGAAAAGCCACTGCGCGGTGTATGGAATAAATAGTAGATGGGTTATGAAAAGGTGAATAATGATGACGATAAATCTCTATGCTCATTCCGAGCCGCGCAATGAATACGTTGGTGTTTTTGCAAACCACGCGGCCGAGTTCAATCCAAGGGCAACCTTTTTGCTGCAGCGGCTGTCGCTCCGTCAATCAGTGGATGAGGCGGCGTCGCAGCCAATTAAAGGAGCGAAGAGCGGCCGAGAGTGGGCCCAAGTGGCAGGACTCAGGAGTGGCAGGAGTGCCATCCCACCTTTGCCTCGCTGTTGCCCTTCAAACAGTGTGCACCAAGGTCGAAACCTCCAACGCCAAACCTTGAGCCTCGACCCGTCCAACCTCCTCCCTCCTCCACGCATCTCGCGGCCTTTGAAACGGCACTCGACGTCGAGGTTCTGCGCCGGCCATTCCTCTCGCACCATCACGCAGCACAGCCAGCCCTCGCCCCCTCATAGCATACATACATTCATTGTCAGCGCCGCACCCATTGCGACGCCTCCGCGCACAGGCAGCATGGCGCGCGTCTACGCAGATGTCAACCAGAACATGCCCCGCAGCTACTGGGACTACGACAGTGTCAATATCAGTGGGTTGCCATGATGTACTTGATTGTTTTACAAACCCCCGGCTTCAACCGCTGACGTGCGCGAGACACAGGCTGGGGAGTCTTGGAGAACTATGAGGTCGTGAGAAAGATCGGTGCGTCCGTCCTTTTTGCCGTCTCCCGCCGCACTGCTGCATTGCATGGCTGCATCGTTAACCTCATCTACACAGGCCGCGGCAAATATTCCGAAGTCTTCGAGGGCATTAATGTTGTCAATTATCAGAAATGCGTCATCAAAGTTCTCAAGCCTGTTAAGAAGAAGAAGATCAAGCGCGAAATCAAGATTCTGCAGAACTTGGCTGGCGGCCCCAATGTCGTGGCCCTGCTGGATGTCGTCAGAGACTCACAGGTTAGATTTTTTTTTCCCCCCGTCATCTTTTTCTTTCAAACCCCGATTCGATTCTGGCTCTCCCTCTCTTCACCGCGCTACGCTGCCTCGTATCGTACAGGAATACTTTTGCGAATTTTCGCTGACGCATTGGGACTTGCTTTCTCTTCGTCTTGGCAGAGTAAGACACCATCTTTGATATTCGAATATGTCAACAACATCGATTTCCGCAGCCTGTATCCCAAATTCAATGACCTCGATGTGCGGTTCTACATTCACGAATTGTTGAAGGCCCTGGACTTTTGTCACAGCAAGGGAATCATGCACAGAGATGTGAAGCCTCATAACGTTATGATCGATCATGAAAACAGAAAAGTACGTCTTGAAGGATTCGTCTGCTCGGCCGAATCCCAGGCAGCATAGCAACACTTGTGGACCATTGGAGACTGATCCTTTTGCTAACACCTTTTTTTTTTTTTTTGCTTTCCCTTCTCGTCTAGTTGCGTCTCATTGATTGGGGTCTAGCCGAATTTTATCACCCTGGGACCGAGTACAACGTGCGCGTTGCTTCACGTTACTTCAAGGGCCCCGAACTCTTGGTCGATTTTCAGGAGTACGACTACAGCCTTGACATGTGGAGCTTGGGCGCCATGTTTGCCTCCATGATCTTCCGCAAGGAGCCCTTCTTCCACGGAAACAGTAATTCGGACCAGTTGGTGAAGATTGCCAAGGTGCTCGGAACCGACGAGCTCTTCGACTACCTTGATAAGTACGAAATTGAGTTGGATTCACAGTACGACGACATCCTTGGCCGGTTCCAAAAGAAACCTTGGCACAGCTTCGTGACATCCGAGAATCAGCGTTTTGTCTCTAACGAAGCCATCGACTTCCTCGATAAGCTGTTGCGATATGACCACCAAGTAAGTCCCTCTCCGCCCGCACACCCTTCGTGGAACACGTCATGGATAATCCATTCTAACTACGGCTGCTGCAGGAACGGCTCACCGCAAAGGAGGCCCAAGCCCACCCTTACTTTGACCCAGTCCGGGATCCCGAGGTCTTCAAGCAGCATCTGGCCAACCCCGGTCCCAATGGTGCATATAAAGCCTAGGGCCTCAACTGCACCCAGCAGTCATAGCTACCACCACCAGGAACTCCAGCTTGGGTCTCGGCTTCTGAAACTCTCATGCTCTCTCGACATGTCGTCCAGCTGGAGCAATTTATTGGACCTCGCCATCTCCTTCCTCTTTCAAGCAAGGATAGTCACATAAACTTGCTTGAAGAGATTGGACTTTTCCGACTCGAAAGATCAAAGTCGAAAATTACCACATTGCTTAGACGACTGACGCCTCGGGGAACAGGATATGAGTACCTATAGTCAGCTATTTATAGATGACATACAGCGCACTAAGAGCATGGGCATTATATCAGTAAGGGGCTTCTTTCTACACCGAAGCGGTAGGGCAGGCAGAGGAGTCACGGGTTTTATTTCCATCTTGCCCCGGCAGTCGCAAGGCGTTACGGAGAAAGTAGCAAAGAAAAAAGTCCAGAATGTGAAATAGCAGCGGTGGGGAGGAAATAGGGGTATCCTGTTTCCCCCTTTTATTACTTTGTCAATGTTCTATTCAGGGCGTCCAGGCCAGCCCTGGTGTTTTTTTTAGTGTTTTGTTTACTGATAGCAGTAGCAGCGCCCGCCATAATTGGCATTGGAAAGAACATTAAGCGTCTGCAATTGATCTAGTTGTGATGATGTCGACTGTCTGAATACTGATACCTTGAAATAATAACTTTAATCAATTGCGATTGCCCACTACCAAGTACACCATTCCTATGCAATTGTGCTCCATGTGAGACCCAACATCATAGGCAAGTAAAACAAAAATCCCTGTTACAGGTATATCCATCAACGCCGCACTCCTTACTACGACCAGAAGTTGATGCCGACTTTGAGCGCGACCCATCTGTACGGCGTCGTTTCTGCTTTTTCCCTTTGTCCTTTTCTTGCCCGTCGATCCTATCTTTGGGAAGCTTCTCCTGCTGGAGCTTGTCCTTCTGAGGCCTCTCCCTTCTAGACTTCGACTCTGTGTCCTTGATCGACACCGTCGATTTCCCAATTCTGTCTCGAGACACATTCGTTTGGCAGGTTGAGTTTGACCTTGTCGACGATGACGATTTGGATTTTGCCAAACTGTCCAGCTCATCAACCTCGTCATCTCCACCTTGTTTGTTGTCGTCGCCGGCGCCTGAAACCAATGACAGGAGTGAACGTCTTGAATTTGGCTTTTTAAGAGCCGTTGAGCTCTTGTCCTGGGACGTCGATGTTTTGGACACTGATGGATTTGACACGCTTGACGTCGACATGGTTGACCTCGACACAGACGACCGGTCTGTCCTGGTTATTCTTGGAGGGTGTAGCACGGGAACATCCGGTAATCTTGTCCTTGGTTTAGCAGTTGTTGATTGACGAGAAATCCCCGGCTCCACGGGTTTAGGCTTTGGCTTCTGCACTACCTGTTTCGGCGTCGATACCCTTTGCCGCGGTTCCAATATTGCTTTCTTGAGCTCTCCCATCGTTCGCCTTTCTGTCGTGCGTCGCTTACTGAGAGGGCTTTCATTGTTTGGAGGACTACGAGTAGGTGACTTGACAAAGATGGGAGACTCCGCAAAAATAGGGGCGCATCTCTCTGCAGACCTGGGTACCTTGGGGGAGCGTCTTTCAGGCAATTTCCTTGGAGTTTGGTTTGTAAGCTCAACTGGCTTTTGCGGCTCTGGCGTTCGAGGACTCGTGATCGTCTTGGGTGACGATTTCGTCTCTGCTCCTGAAGCAGCCTGGTCATCTTCCTGCCTTTCTTTTGGTTGTGATGGCTGAAGAATTGGTTGTTCCGACGACTTTTGAGGCTCAGTAACTAGTCGTTGGCAATCGTCCACTGCTTTGGGTACAACCTCAAGGGAGGCAGCTGCCGTTTCGACAGATTTCTCGTTGCTCGTTGACGATCCTTGCTCACTGACAATCGAATCTTTTATTGCCGTGTCGACTATTACTATTGGAGGCAACTCTGGTGGGCGTTCTGTTGCCGGTGTGCAGGCTTGGCCATTTTCCCCGTCGGCGCCAACGAAGTCGGGAGCGCCTTGTAAGGAAAGAGAAGAGGAATAATCCAAAGTCTCTTCTGGCTCCAAAACTGGCCCCTTCTCTCGCGCATCTCTTGTCGCAATGCGATTGTTCAAAGGCTCTGGCGACGATGGAAGGTCAAAAGCATCTGGCCCATACCGTAAGGGCTTGCTATCTTTGGCAGACTCGAGAGAGGTTGGGGTGTGGCGATCGACATTGTGCTCAGGTGCTGGAGAGGGAGTACAACGCCCTTCACCTTTCAATGGTGATGACCTTCTCATGCTGGGCGGCGGACTCGGTGGTGAAGGGGTTGGCTGGGCACCCCCTGTCACGCTCTTCACCGGCGACTGCGTCACGACAAATCCTCCATCATCATCTTCCATAGGTGAATCAGAATCTTCCAATAGTAAGGCGGGATCTATACAAGTTGGGTCGAAGGTGTCTGAATCCGTCAAAGCTGGAGCGGGCTCACTCGCACCCAGCTCTGCTGCAGAAAGATCCACAGATGCTTGCTCGGTTAAAGCAGGATCGATCAAAGCAGGATCAATCAAATCGGAATCAAAAGGGACGGATTCAGGTGATGCCTGGTCAAATATATCGCGTTCAGCCGGAGGACACTCTGTTGATGCGGGATCAGGCATGCTCCGGTCGATTGAATACGACTCAATAGATCCTTGATCAGGTACTGGCATGTCATCCAGAAAAGAGACAGCAGCCTCGATGTGAGAGCCTTGATGTGTGGTTGATGCAACGTCAATGTTACTGACTTCTGGTAGTTCTGTGATGCGTGCAGGCTCATCGCCCGTTTCCGGGGATGAAAAGGAGTCGGTCTCAGGGGTTCCGGCCTCCTCTGACGATGACCGAGAGGTCCTCTCGATCGACGTCGGGGGCCCAGCTTGAAACTGACTTTCGAACAAAGACCCGCCTTGAAGACATGCGATATCTTGCGCAAGCTGCCGGGCAACGCCATACCATGCGTCCTCCGATACCATCGTACGGCCCGACTGTCCACTAAGAAGAGCAGTCATGCTGTTCTGCAGACCGGGTAGTTGCTGGTGCGATGAGAACTCTTCGTACGCTTTCTTAGAGGCACTTCTCTTGCGGTTCATCACATAGCCAGGGTAGACCGAGTCAAACTTGACAGGGTATTTTCTCGGTCGTCCTCGTTTTCTCTTCACCGGCTGGGACGGCGACAGTGGTTGGGCTGGGCGATATGGTATGATAGGTTGTTGCCAGAGCTGTTGGATCGGCTGTTGCACAATTCGCTGTGGAAATTGGAACATGGGATGCTGGATATATGACTGCTGCAAAGGGTACCAAGGCTGGTAAGACCCTTGCTGAGGAAATTGAAAAAGAGGCTGCTGGAACAAGGGATTCAATGGATACTGAAACCCTTGCTGCTGGAAACTAGGCTGAAAGGTTTGAAGGAAAGGTTCCTGGCCCTTGGGCTGTTGACATCGCTTATCGGAGGAACTCTTCGGACTCTGTTGTGGCACAGTCCCAGGTAGAGGATATTTTCTAGGCCGGCCTCTCTTTCTTTTCACCTGTGGAACTGTTTCTGATCGAATTTGTTGTGTCCTTGGCTGCATAGTTGCCTGTGCGGTTGGTGCAGTTGACATTGTGGGCATGAATGACATGTTTGGCATGGTCGGTACAATAAGAGGTCTTGTCAAGCCGGGTAGTTCAGACAAGGGAGCCTTGGGTTTCCTTCGATAGGTCCGAGGGGGCCGATAGCCAGGAGGATATTTCCTAGGTCTCCCTCGCCCCCGTTTGACTACTGTGCCATCAGCATTAGCATTAGAAGCCGGGACAGCAGTCGCGTTGGGGAGTGCCCTGGCAGATGTCGTGGGATTCGTGGTACTACTTGATTCCACCAGTGGCGAATATAGAGGTGATTCATCGTCTGAGAGCACACAGGCGGATTTGTAATCTCGCTGTTTAGACTTGGGAGGCTGCGGGGGTTTCGATTTGGCACTGGATTGAGTGGGCTGATTTCCTAGAGAAGCATACGAATCCTGGGAATCAGGTATGATTCTCGAGGCGGGTTCTGACGCACTCGTCGGCTTCGGCTGTGGCATTTCGTCGGTCATGTCGCCTGTGTCCGAAGACAAGGGTGCCTCTGCTGATGAGAAGACGGCATCATCGATGGTGTCACTCTCCTCCATGGTCTCGACCCAAGAGAGGTTCCCCAAAGGCATCATTTGCTTCCCAAGCTTATCATAGTGTTGTTTAGGCGCATTGACTGTTCGTTTATGCGACGCTGTAGGCCTTTCCCTTCCTCCCTTTCCAGCCCATGGGGCAAGGAGAGCCTTGGGCCTTTTAGCTGTCGTCGGCCTCGCCCTTGACGGGCCTAACCGTGCTCTGATAGCAGGACGATGTTCAGGTTCGTTGTCATTAAAGCGGTAGTCAGGAGCCCAAATAGAACCGGAGCCATCCTGCTTGGGAAATTCATATCGTTCCTGCGCTTGAGGCAACGTGTCCCACGGCCCCAGAGCAAGGGGCGATGCCCCGAACTCGCCCAAAGATGAGGCGTACCGCAAACCTCCGCCGCCATAAAGTCCGGAGATCAAGCTTGGACTCCCATCAGATTTTAGATCATATCCAGATATTGCGTCCACAGACTCCGGACTGAACGGTTGCTGCAGCCTCTGGAGCTGCACATTGCCCGGTGGGAGTTTGGTGTCGTCTGCATCGCTCGTCCAGCTTTGGCTCGCGTCGTCGTCGTCATGCAAAGTGTCATCAGCTCCCAATTCACGGGAGTAATATGGACCCCTCTCATCTTCTGGACGATCATCTGGTAAGATTGCGCCACCATCATCGAAATTCTCCTCGTCGTCGTCACGGTGGTCGTTGTCAACGTTTCCGTTGGGGCTCCGAGGATCATCTCCAACGTCGACCTCATTACGCATGTTTTCAATGTGACCATTGTTAACGACGATTTCTCCGGTACATAGGTCGATCTCGTCGCCGATTCCCTCAAAGTCACGGCCATATTTCTCGAAAATACGGGCCATGGTAGCTCGAAACCGATTGTCGGCATAAGCTTTCTCAATAGCAAGCTGGTAGCCGTCATCCTGCTCAACGGAGCCTTCTCGTTCCCCGAGAGCTGCCTGTCCATTATCACTGTGGTCGTCTTCGTCATACTCCTCCCAGTCCTCGTCATCCCCGTCCGCGTCGTCATCCCACAACTGAGGATGCTCGCCCAGTCGCCGCCGCTTGACTTGGGGTTCCATGGTGGCTCACTGTAGTAATTGTGCAACCCATGTGGCGTGGTGAGAGTGTCAATATCCAGGGAATGCAGCACTGGACAATGCTTGAACCTCGAGCTGTGAGGAGTATAGTTTGGTAAAGGGTCTGACCTACTGACAAACAAATTTCGAGGGTCGAATTCAATGTTGGGTCAACGCGTCCAAAAGAGTCGAATGGCGCGCGTTAAGTGACCAGCAGGCAAGAGCTCGGCACCGTCCCATGTCAGCAGGCGCGCGCCAGCAGTCGGCCAATGATGCCGCGGACGCCTAATGCATTAGTCATGGGACGCGCGAAGATGGGGCTGGCATCGTCTCCACACAGTGCCCCAACACTTAAGCTCACTGTCAGTCAAACCACCACGTTGACGTCGATGTTCATCTCCATGCGCCGTCTGTGCAGCACTTCATTTTGAAAAACCCCGTGCCAGCATCTCTCTCCACCTCTCTCGGCGCCGCCGGCTCCTCGTGGGCGTATGACCGCACACACTTTGCCGTCATGTTCTGCCAAAAATGTCGGCAGCCACTGAAGCTGGACGGCTCTCTTGAGGGCCTCAATCCAGCCGCGTACGATTTGCTTATATGTAAGGTTACTCGATATCGTTTTGTCACATATGTCTTTAACCACTTATCGCCCTCCAGCAGCAACGGCGCAACAAGCTTCCAAACGCCAACCAGAGCCTCGATCGTCCCTCTTGCAGTCGCAGGAACAGACCAGAAAGTCTCTTTACGATCGGGTGTCGCAAAACTCGGGTCAGCCAACCTTCAAAAGATATCATGGCAGCCACCCACGGGACTCGGCTATGTCATTCATCTACCTGACCGAGTCTCAAGTTGGCCATCCTCAACCGCCTGTCAAGGAGTTACCAGCAGCTGCACCGGCACCGGCCAAAAGGTCAAGCTCCACGCAAGAGTCGACTCCCACCAGCCAACAGCCTTCAAGCGGCGACGAAATGGATAGGATTAATAGACTATTCGAAATTCTCTCCGCAAGATCCGATATCGATCACCCCGTCTGCGTCGAGTGTACAGATTTGTTAATTGATGGATTGCAAAGAAAGCTGGAAGCTTCATCGAAGGAACGCGACGCATATGTACAGCACCTTCGACGAGTAAGAACTGAACGTCCCGGTCCAGATGAGATAAAGGCTCGCCAGGACCGGCTCCGAAAAGCCGAAAAGGATAGGATTGCTGCCATGGATGTGTTGCGACGGCTAGAAAGGGAAAAAGATGCCCTCGACGAGGAAATTTTGGCTCTTGAAGAAGATGCCCGCCAGCTTGACAAGGAGGAGGAGGCTTTTTGGAGAGAACGCAACGCTTTTGCAACGAAAATGGCCGATTTTCAGTCAGAGAGAGACAGCATCAACGCCAAATACAGCCATGACTCGCAGCTTCTCGAAAAACTCCAGCGCTCAAACGTCTACAACGATACGTTTTGCATCAGCCATGATGGCAGCTTTGCCACCATCAATAACCTTAGACTCGGAAGGCTCTCTAATAAGCCTGTGGACTGGCCAGAGATCAACGCAGCCTGGGGTCACGCTCTTCTACTACTCGTTACCGTGGCTGAAAAACTGGACTATAAATTTCACGGATATGATCCGCAACCAATGGGAAGCACCTCCAAGATCATTCGTTATGACGTTCCCAGCCCATCTTCGAGTCGCCTCGGCTCTCGGGCCATGCAAGCGCCTCCCAAGAAGCACGTTTTGGAGCTGTACAGCTCCGGAGATATGCCATTAGGTCTTACATTTATGCACCGCAAGTTTGATAATGCCATGGTTGCGTTTCTTGAGTTGGTGAGGCAGCTGGGCGCACATGTACAACGGCAGACCCAACAGTCAACAAGCACGCTCTCCCTCCCGTACAAAATTGAGGGCGATAAGATTGGAGAAGTGAGCATCAAGCTGGGAATCGCGCAAGACGATGGCTGGACAAAGGCTTGCAAGCTCACCCTCACATGTTGCAAGTTCCTTCTCGCACATGCCAGCAACGTGGCGACAACAGCCAGAAGCACAGCCTCATGAGCAAGACTTCGCATATATGCTCCCAGCGAGGAGTAGCTAGCAACGAGGTTGAATCCCTGTGCTGCAAAATTATTATTTTTGTGAAGTATCTTTTCGCCGAGCTCCGCAATATTACCCGACGACTAGCCGATGAAGAAGAAACAGGTTCAAAACTAATAATCAAACGCGCGACCAAATGCGACAGAGGTTAGTCAACATTGCGTGGAACGGTTGCGCCGTCCTTGGTGTGTTTGCTAATAGTCAATACTTGTACAAGGTTTTATCACAAGCGATGTCAACTCTGGAGACTGATGCTATCCTGCAAGTGGTCAATTTGCATAGCACGGAAGTTCTAACGAGAAAGTCGTCAGCCCGATACTTCGAATTGAATAGAAGACGCGGCGAACACTTTCAAGCTATTAGCTAGGCAGCAGCTTCAGCAGACCAATAGAATGCATTCTCGCCCAATCAATTCATCTTGTTTTCTTTCCCGCAAACCGTAGCGAATGACGGCACTGCAAGCAATCACGCCGGGCAAATCAATACCCTTCCATCAAGGATGGCACGCTTCAGCGGGACGATATCGACGAAGCATTTCATAAGAAGGGTTACAAGACCTGGTTCTGGTTCGCCCTTTGGAACCAAGTATCTCAAAATACCAAGGTTTCCTTTAGCTGGCCTTGAGGTTGATCATATTCTCCTCGGCATGCCCGTTTCCCAGCCGGAGCAGAGCCAGACGATTCTATTTATTGCTGTAACTGGGGGCCGGCTGGAACACTAGCTACTCTTTCCTTTTGAGAGTCTCCCTCAAGTTCTCGCAGGCCTTGACGCGGGCCCATCTATTTATTGTCAAGCCAACCACTATGACGGCCATCAGCCACTACTTCGTAAAAGAGAGTTGCAGCCTATGCTAAGGAAACCTTTGTACTCTATCATGAAAGTAGACGGGAAAGTCTCAAAGTCGACCACTCGCTCCACATACCAGACATAGGGAATCAATTCATAGAACGTAGGCGCACATAGCTCTGACATTCCCCCGAGAAGAGCTCCACTGACGAGTACTTAGTATGTAGACCTCCAAAGCGACAGGCCCTTGGATGAGCCAGCTGGACAATTTAGCTGGTGGGAAGAAAGTCCAGCTCGAAACGCTGGGTTCGATGAGTTGTCATAGAGGACAACAAACCGGGTGACTCGTGTTGACGGAGTCGATGCAACAAATTGTACAACCGAGTTTCTTCAGACACAATGCAAGGCAAGCTTAGCTGTGTCCATTATGATGTGTTGTATTTCTTCCGATACATGAACGCTTGCACGCGCTCAACAATGGACTGTACAAGAACATTGTTATCATGGCATATGAAACCGTACCGCACCCAAATGCTCGTAGAACCGGTGTCCTTGAAGACACAGAAAGAAAATAAAAAAAGGTAACAACGCATGGTATTTCATCCGACCCCCTCTGCCTTATGAGTAAAAATGACTCCGTTGCATCCCATTAGCGGTGGCGTACTCCTTGCCCTCCTGCAGGTTCTCAGACGCAGTCGTCATTGAGTTGCATCTGCTGGAGTCACTAGACACGGCCTTGATGGCCTTGACTTCCTGGCCGGGACGCTTCAGCACCTCGAGATAAGTGGAAGGTAGGTAGCCCTGGCGGCCATCACGGGAGCGGCACTGCCACCATTCACTAGGGTTGCCTGCGGGATCGTGTTTTGTGAGGACAGCGACGAGATCGCCTTTTCGTGCTTCCAGCTCCATGGACGTGTTGATGCCCTGGGGGAGGTAGTCGTACATGAGGCGACAGAATTCGAGCTTGGACGGGTCAACGGGCTGTTGTGCTTCGAGAGCCTGCTGCTGTAGGCGGCGCTCCTCCTCTTCTTGGGAGGCGGCGAGAGTGCGGATCATCTTGGACATGAGATAGGGGATGCCAAATGCAGCGGCAAGGAAGAAGAATAGAGGTTTGCGGGAAGCCTTGGCGGGGCTGGGAGCGCCGTCAGGGCCAGGGCGGCCTTGGAAGCGGGCAAAGGCAGCGGGTGTGAGAGCGGTTGCGTCTGCTGGGGGTGGCCGGCCAGTGACTTTGGCGATGAGGGTGCGGATCCAGCGTAGAAGGGTGAAGATGCCGAGTATGGAGCCTAGAGTATCGCGAAGGTTGCCGAACTGCTCGGCGACTGATACCATGGCTGCGGTAGGGGTCAGTTACGTGATACCAGGGTGAGGCGTGGAAGAGCGCAATGTGAACCTACCGAAGAAGCTGGAGTGCGTAGCCATGTAGGTGCTCTCAAGCATTTGAGCAAAGCCGCCAAAGGCAGTTACAATACCCTCGAGCATCTGAAAGGTAGCTGCAGTTCCATTGCTAAACCGATTTGTTAAGCTGTTAGGGTCGTTGGCACCCATGCCGCCGCCATACATTCCCCCATACATGCCGCCGCCGTAACCTCCGTATCCGCCATACATGCCGCCGCCATATGCACCCATGCCGCCAAACCGTGAGTAGGGACTTGAGTACGGCGATGAATACGCGCCGCCATAGGCACTGTATGGCGAAGCGCCCATACCCATGGCGCCTACGCGACTGTACGCCGAGGCATTCTGATTAACGGCGGCGGCGAGAGAAGAGGGGCGATCGGGGACCGGAGGAGCGGCAGAAGAAGCGGTGATGGTGGTCGCAGATGCCGCCGGTGATGTGGCTGTCGTAGAAGGGATAGGACCTATTGTTGAGGCAGTTGTCAGCACGCGAATCCCAGGGGATAGCGGACATGGAAATAAAACAAGACGGTCGTACTGGAGGTAGTCGCAGAAGCGCCAGGCCTCTCCCAAGGCTTGGGGGGCGAAGCCATCATCGAAAATGATGCGGTTATCAAATGGGCGACGCGTTCAAGAAGACCTGTCCCAAGCTGATTGAGAATTGCGGGGGAAAGAAGCCGAGCAGATCGAAGCTACGTCAGAGCCCCCTCGTTTGCTTCTGGCGATATCCAGGGCGAGGCGATTTCGGAACGACCCGACCACCAAGCACAACGCGCTCACGATACCTGGTGCAAGGGATGGCAGCAATACAACGACTTGGACGTGGAAAGAAAAAGGGGGACAGTCCACTCGCAGATGGCAGGATGGGTGCGGGTGCTGGAACGAGGGCAGAGCGTGGATTTTGGATGATGCAGTCAGTATTAGGAAAACTGGGTTGAGGAGAGGCGTCGACGCTGGAGGACTTGAACGCTTGCTTGACTTGTGAAGATGTGGGGCCAGAGTCGGGCTTGGCTCGGCTGCCAACGAAAGAAGTGGGGCATGCGAGGTTGCTGACCGTTCACGTTGCGTCCTTGAGTCCGTGCCTCGGCACCTCAACCAGTTTGGCCGTGGCTCCGGCCTGGCCGTGAGGTCATGGCGATATGCCATCGACGCTTTTTTTTACATTTAGCTGATGGAGGAAGACATTGTGAAATGTTCCACACAATGTGAAAAGCCACACTAATGCGGTGGCAAAAACTGCCATCTCAACACCTGCCTCGCTACTCACGCACCTAGTCTGTCGGTGGACACCAAATGCTTACATAATTCAAACAAAACCTCAACACCAATGAACGGTTCACAGCTACTGTTCTGCGGTGCCAACTCGCCAGATGTGCCATACTTCTTCTTCTTCTTCTTCTACTTGTACATTGTGTTTTCATCCTCCCTCTACGCCTCTTGCGTCCACCCCAGCCAACTCCTCCTCGGGCATCGTCAGAAATCACCCATTCCACACACAACCCCCACGAGCGCCGTAACCATGAAATCATCCGCATAGCCCTCCCATGGCACCCAAGCGTCCCGGAGACCTGATCCCAAACCCGTCCATCAAGAAACGCAATCTCCAGTGGAAACTCTCTCCGCCCAACACCCCCGGGTCGTCCTCGCCCCCCAACGGCCCATCATCTACAAAACGCAACACCAGCCCCAAATCATGGCCGCCCACAACAGCGGCCATAGAATCCGGCAAAGCCCGCATCACCAACCCCGCCGATCATTTCGCAACCCATCTCGGAAACCACATCCTCGCCTCGCCTCTCCCCCTCCTCCCCATCCCAAGCTACACGGCCCTCTACGCAGGCTCCCTCACGGCCCAGTCCTCCCACTTCGTCATCCACCAACATGACCACCCCGTCGCCGGCCTACACTACGACCTGCGCCTGCAAATCAACCCCGCCAGCAGCGTCTCCTGGGCCATAATGTACGGCCCCCCAGGCGACCCCAACAGCGTCCGTCCCAATCGCAACGCCACCGAGACACGGGTCCATTCCCTCTGGAACCATCTCGTCGAAACGGCATCCCCGCAGACAGGCTCCCTACTCATCTGGGACACGGGCACCTACACCGTTCTCCCAAGGAGGGCCAAGCACGCCCCAACAACGGACCCCTCGTCCCAATCTAGTCCAGAGGACGAGCCGCGTCCGCAGCAAGAGTTACTACAGGAGGCATTTCGCAACCGCAAAATACGGCTTCAACTCCACGGATCCAAGCTCCCAGAGACGTACGTCGTGAACCTGCGGCTCACGAAGCAGGACGACGCAGAGGGCAGGGCCAAGAGCAACAGGCAGCCAAGAGGCAAGCGCACAAGAGTCAAACAGGCCGACCCAGAGACGAGCTCGAATTCCGACGTCATCACAGATGACGAGCACGACGAGCACGACGAGCATGACGAGGCTGACGGAAAGCGTGTCCTCGCTCCAGGGTCCAGAGAAGTCGGGCAGGCGCAACACGTATCCGCCCTAAAGGCCGAGCTGCAGGAGCTAGAAGACGCAGAGATTCGACGAACGAATGCCTACCCGGGCGCCTCAAACACCATTGGCAGCATCCACCAGAGGCGGTGGTATCTCTCGCTGGACAGAAGAGCATGCGGGTTCGAGCAACGGCTCCGGGGCCGCAGGGCAGTCTGGCAGTGCCCATCTACGTCCGCCTCTACTTGTACGTCGGACGCAAAAGGCGGGACCGACGCTATGCAGAGATTAAGCTTCCCCTTCTACGTGCGAGGCGTCCTACACGAACGTAGTGTTGTGACTGCCCGAACGGGCGAGGATGTCATGCACGATGAGGGTGTCCGAGATTTCGTACGGAGAAAGGGCTGGCAGCCAGTGTTGAATTAGCCGCCGCATACATGGCCTGACATTTCGAAAGAAACCATGAGCAACAACAGAATGAAGACGGCCGGACCACATGCCCAACCCCCTTGCCTTTAAACCCGTATATTACCGACAGATCTCTAACCAGTTCAATTCTCATCCCATCGTGGGAAATCAAGTAACAACATGTCAAGTGAAAGTTGCAAAAAGTTTCCAGACCGCATCCCGCTTCCTTACCGCAAACGCCAGTTCATGCGTGTAAAAAAACTCTTGGTATGACTTCGTGTTCTTGTGTACAGAAGCATGCCATGCCAACTTTCCCAACAGCTCGGGAAAAACTCGAATTGAATCCCATCCTATTGTACACTCACTACGACTTCTCCACAGGAGTTGGCGCAATTCGCCTCTTTTTAGGCTCCCTGGTTTCTTCCTTTTCGCTTTCGCTAGCATCGCGCTTCATGCCCACAACGCTTCCGGCAGTACTTCGAGGCGTTTCAGGTGGAGTTGTGATGGGAACGCCCTGGGCTTTGGAAGAATTGGTTGCCGTCAACCCTGGCACACTACCTGCAATAAGTGGAGGATTGCTCACAACGCCCGTGGGGACGGACGAGGACTGTGTCGCAACTGACGATGTCGAGTTGGAGCGTGCAGGCGATGCAGGCCGTTGCGATCCTGCGGGCGCTGTAGCTGGCGGTGATGGTGCCGTAAATGAAGTAGCAGAGTTCCGGTGCTGGTGATGAGAGCCATTTGGGAAAGGAGACGGAGGGGCGAAGCTCGTCGTGGGCGTCGGAGTTGGTGTGTTTTGATTTGAAGCAGCAGTGGTTGAAGTGGCTGTAGGCTTTGGAGGTCCGATTTCTCCTTTGTAAATTTCTCCCAACTCCCCAGATGCAAATGACAAGGTTGAACAGAATCCATCCGAAGATGAGATCACCAAGGTGAGGCCATTACTCGACCTAAACTAGGTTAGTCAATGTATTCGGGGGGGAACCGACGGTTTCAGGAGCCTTTACCAAGCTAAATCCGTAAAGGTAGCACAATGCAAGTTGCTCACAACGCAAATTGGAGTCTTTTGCTGAGTGTCGTATAACAACACTGAATCCTGGGTTGCAACGGCGTAAACCATACGGTAAGGCAGAGAAAAGGCAGGCTTTGGGCCAGGCGTCGACACATCGGTCTCCACATTTAGAGGCTTCGACTGAGAACCACTAGTCTCGGACGAGACGCTCGCCGGGGGCGGTGGTGGTTCCATCACCGCAGCACCAGGCGATGATTTGGAGACGGGCTCTGGTAACGAGGGCAACTGCTCTTCAGCTGATGAGGTATCTATGGTGATATGCATCGTAGCTGGGGGCGATGGACGGAGCGTGTAGCATACAGGAGAACATTTGACCACGACAGATGGCTTCTTGTGTCCTGGCAAATGCGCAATTGGTGGCTTGTTGATGCCACCTCGAGTGTAGATGTACACGGTATTAATGACTTCGTAGGTGGGTTTGGAATCCTTTTCTGTTTGGTGCTGAGTTTGATACTGACCGGATGGCGTAAGCAGAAGACTACCGTCGGGAGTAAACGTCAGTCGACGAAAGAAAGATGTCAATGTTTCATTAGCGTAAAGACTGGCGTTCTTGATGCCTAGCTGTGGCTTAGGTGAGGCTTCCATGGGCATCACAGCGGGAAGAGGCAGCGTCGGGGCAGGCGAAACGGAACGTCGTGAAGAGAATGAGGATCTTCGGCTGTGGCTCACGACACTTGGTGGATTCATCGGCAAGGGGATCGATGTGGGAGTGCCGGGCGCTGATGGAACAGGCGAGCCAACAGATGTTGCCGAGTCTGCCATTGAAAATTGCGCCCGATGGCCGAAGTCGGGCGGGGCAGGACTGTTTGACGATATTCGTCGAGGCGGCAAGTCGGCCTTGATGTGACTAGCCAGACGCGGAGGCTTGTCATCGTGACTAAGCGTATATTGGCCGTCTTTCGTCTTGAGAGAGTAGATGTGGACAGATCGATCGGAAGACTGCGTGGCGATGTACTCGTTTAAAGGATCCCAGGTAACGCCCTGGACATAATGACTGTGTTCGGCAATTTGTCTCACGAGAGTTCCTGTCGTCTCTGATTAGCTCGTGGCGAGTCATGATGAAGGGATTCAGCCAGTTACCAGAGTTGGCATTGTATATTCTAGCAATGTTGTCCATGCTTCCAATTATGAAGTGTGCGGCATCGGGAGACCAGGCCAGGTCATATATTTCGGCTCCACTAGATCGACACATATGCTTCGCCCTCCATGACTCTTTGTCGTCCTGGGTGTCTCCGCCAAAGTTGGAGGGGGGAAGTTCGCTGGGTACCCAGAGAATGACATTGCCGTCGTCGCCTGCGGACGCCAGAGTTTCGCCTATACAAATGCCAGGTCAGACTATCGAGCAAGACGCGTGACAGTGCCATGGCGGGCATGCAGCTATGCCAATGCCTACCTTTTGGAGCCCAGCGAACAACATTCACGGCTTGATTATGCTTTGACAAGGTTGAGAGGTATTCGACTTTTCGCTCGAGGCCATCGGATTCGACCTTCCAGATTCGGACGTGATTATCACCACCGGCAGTAGCAAGACGACCCTTCCCACCAGGCTCGAAGTGTGCCGAGTAGACGGGGGCGTTTTGGTCGTGCCAATTGATGATGAGCGGGGTGGCCTTCATCGTGAAAGAGGCAGATGCTAGGGCGGCGGCCGAGCGCTGCACCGCATGTGGGAAGTAGATTGATGGTTGTGAGGTTTCGAGTGCGAGGTCTGCAGTCTGTGGTCTGCGTGAAAATGGATCGACTGCACGGAGGTCGGTCTGGTGAGCTCGACAGTGGTGAATTGGCGTAGTCGGTAGAATGGATGATGGATGTATTTATTGTGGCAAAAACAACAGGCAATGAGGGAGTAAAGGTGACCAAGGAGAGCAGGCGAGGTCGTTGCTCCAGAAGGGAAAAAAAAAAGGAACAAGGAGGACAACAGAATGGCGGTTGGAAATTGCAAGTGAGGTGAGGTGAGATGATGCAGCTGGATGCATAACATTTGCAAACATACGACGCGAGGGGACCTTGGATTGCTCGGGCCTTGTTGCCCGCCGCCGAGAAGCTAACTAACTAGTAGTAAGGAACATTAAGCTACAATAAGTTGAGTACAACGTACAACGTACAACATTACAAGCCCGGGTTGGAGCTGCGGATGGAGCCAGCCCGGTTTGACGACACCCACTTGACCTTGACTTGACTGAGTTGGTGGACAAATGGGATCATCAAGCGAGCAGCAGCCAACCGCGAGTGCTGAAATCATGGGTGGCCCGTCGACGACGCTGGTACAGTGGTGCTGGCACGGTGCACTGTACTGGGCACGACTTGAGGCGGAGTGCTCCGTAGTGGGACTCCGTAGAGGTTCTCCATACGGAGCGGTAGGGCGTGCTAAGCAGTACATACTTACTCGGTTCCTCGGAACCTAGGTCTTGAGTAAGTACCTAGGTACTTAAGTTCTTAAAGCTGGTACCGAAGCTACCGGGTACTTGAGTAAGCACCTAGCAACCTACTTAAAGTACCTACTAAGTAATACTTTACTTAAGTAAGTACTCATGTACTTGAGTGGTAGGCGTGTACACCAGGTCAGATTATTGATTGAAGTGGCCAGCCATGGTGGGGTCTAGGGGGGCATCTGCTAGTAGGCTACTACTACTACCTGTAAGCACGGAGTGTTGCGCCCCGTGCCTGGCCTCGACCTACTATCATCAAGTACGGAGAAGTAACTACCTACTTAACCAAGTAGGTACTTAAGTAAGTACCTAGATACTTGGATGTAGCGACCTAAGTTCCTTGGAAAGCAAGACAAAGCAAAGGGACTGGATGCAGCATTTGGCCTCGTGCATCCATCTCTAGTATTCTCTACTGCGTACTGCCTCTCTCCCCGTACGCCGCAGCGCCGCCCTAGTCGACGAGGGCGAAGCGATCTACACACAGCTTCGCGGCCCCGATCCCTGATCAGTCAAGAATCAAGACAAGAAGAGTCGGGCCCGCAGCGCGCCTGGCAGCCTGCAACAACGCGGCACAACGAGCCTCCCTCCAACGATCGATCAAAGGCACCCACCCCCCCAGACGAACAAACATCTGTCAAACCAGCCTTGCTTGAACCAGCTTGCCACGGATAAACAAAGCCGACGAGCGCCCAAGCACAGCCAACGCCTTCAACACCCACGGCGATCAAGCCGCCTATGGGCATGGGCACTGGCACCCCGTCGTCGCTTGGCTGCAAGAAACGCGATGCCACATTACTACACCATGCGATGGAGTAACTTGCTCCCTTGCCGCGTCTGGAATAGTAGTGGCATCCGAGGCGTCAAGGTGGCTGGCCCTGGCGCCGTCGTCTTGCCACCACCCCACGTACTCCGTACGCATTGCATAGACTCTAGAGCAGAGTAGAGGGAGGATGCAGAGACGGATGAGGTTCCATGTCATGTTTGGTTGTCGTCGTGGGTGCTTGCTGATTAATAAGCCGCCAGGCTTTGCAATGCCTTGTGCCTTGCGTTTGCTTTGTCAATGCCGCAATTAACTTGTACTCCGCACGGGGGCGACGCGAAACCCCTTCGTCGTGCCGTGCCGCCGTGTTTCCTTTGAGACGTTTATGTTGGACGTGACACGTACGTCTCATGGCAACGTCACCGAACAATACTTTTGACCCAAGTGTTTCTCTACCGCCCAGTTTGAGTCTGTACAGGGAGCTTCATGCAAGAACGCCATGTTTAGGCCATGTACATAGGGTGATTTGCATCGTGGACCCGTGCTCAATCTCACGATGCTCTTCGGCCAACTCCAACCTGAACTCTAATACTAATAATACGAGTTGCTCAGGTCACGGAAATGGTTTTTTATTATAAGCCTGGCTGGTTCCCCACAGCAGACCTGCAGCCGGTGCTAGGCCAAGGGTGCCTTGCTCATGCCAACCAACGATGACTTTTGCAAACTGCATTCTCCAATACAGTACGTGGTTTCAACGCCAAGTTCAGCGCATTATCCATGGTATCCCATCGGCAGCATGGCAGTCTCCATCGGTCGCAGTCTCGACGACACATTCACGCTGCAACAGCTCGGGTCCAGTCTCGCCGCACACCAGACCTCCCCGCAGCGAGACACCAAGCAACGGTGCGTGATGGATATCGTCAACGTCAACGTCAACCCCGTCACTTGACTTGACCGCCATCAGCCGCCGGCGGCATCTTCTCAAGACCAGGCCACAGTCCCACGAAAACAATCTCCTGGCTGCTTCGGCCGGCCTACCTCCCTCCCTCCCTCTGTCCCTCCCCCCTCTCCCGTCATCTTGCGGGCCGACTGCAACTGCCTTGTCAGTTCTTGCACAGACAAAAAGCTGCAAGACCCGATGTTGTGCAACAGAGTTGGCGTCTGCAAACGACCCCAGGATGATTGCTGTGTGCTTGGCATCCTGCGTGACTCGGCGCATACTCCGTACCTAAATATTGTACTCCGTACGTACTGTGTAATGTTGCATGTTCAAGACCCGGGCAAAATCAGATATCCAGGTGACACAGCATGCCCGTACTCCGTACTTCGGGGGGCATTGTTCGATTGTGTTTGTATGGGCGAGCTCTGGTAACATTTTGTACGGCGCTTTATGCAACTTGGTATGCAGAATACAGAGTACGCAGCACTCCACATCATGATGCGAGTCATCAAGCCAGGCGCGTAGGCCATGGACAGGTGCGTAATAATACTTGTCTTGCAAGGGGCTATGGCCCATGGACGAATTGCCGTCCATCTGCTGCACACATTGCCAATTGGCTACCCTGTAACATCAACCACCACCTACATTCTGATCATGCTCGTTACGTCTACATGGTGAGGAGTCGACCACGCCCTGTGGACGATCATCGATCCCCTGGGAGGAATTGAATATGGGCTGATGCCCCGAACCTCTTTATGGAGTAGTGCTTCTCTGTACAGCAAAGAACATCGAATCAATTCGGGCTTACTCCCTACGGAGTACAACTTTAAAGGATTTTCATGGGTATTTCCAAAACCCATATCATGTTTCAAGCCACTAATCGTGTGGCTGGCTCGAAGGAAATTTGCTGCCAGTGCCAGGCTGAGCAGGGCAACTGCGGCATTGCATGATTGGTCCCTTGTGGTGTGCGCATCTCGCGTATTTCACGTTCGAATTTGCACGTCACACTTCAGCAAACATCTGCAACCCGGACCTAGGGAACGGATTCTGCTAGTGCGTTGCCACGCACTAGGCATCAAGGAGTGAGTTGTTGTCTGCAATTGCGCATGGATAAGACCATCTGGGGTCATTTGGATCGTGAGTCATCCCCGCTGAGTACATCGCGATTCGCAACTGGAGAGTTTGGCAGGCAGCCACTGCGATCCCTCGCCCTTTTTCCTTGTCTACTGGCTGTTCAGATTACCCGGAATACAGCACTGTGGACCGCGGACTGGGTTGACCGCGTGCTCGAGAAAAATATTCCCGAAACGTGGTCGTGTTGAGGCATGAGCCTGCCCGGTAAGAGTTTTGTTTGCTCTTGCCCAGACAGAATTGCCGCTGTCAGGATCCCGTGACAATTTGACTGAACCAAACGAAGCGCTGGGATCGGTAGGTTAGTGAGACATTGCGTCTTTATTGGCCCCTATGGATGGAGGACCTCATTCCGTTTTGATGCAATGAGTTTGGTGATGGGAGCTGTTTCTGACTCTCGAAAACTCGGCCAGTCGGAGCGTCTATGCCGAAATTTCTCTCACACAGGCATAGTTGGTGAGTGATGGAACGTTCTTGAAGGGCTTTTGTACATAATGTGGTGCAAGATCGAGTCAGATATTGACGCCAGTGAATACAGTAACCGAACCCAGTCTCTCCGTTCACGGTTGACGGGTAAGTCACCCGCGACTTGGCTCTAGGCCTTGGAGACAGGAGCCAACGAATCAAACATGATCAGTATCCCCGGAAGCTGGGGACCTTAGTAGCATCTGCGCCGTCATTTTTCGAGGCTGCAAGAACCTTTGAGCCTCAGACTCCTTGCGCCAGCGGGATCAACGATGTCTTGAAGCTAGGGCATTCCTCAGCTCTGCCGCTGGTGTCTCACGTCCATATCCAATGGCACAAGAAAACAAATGAGCCTTGATTTGTGCTATGCTGTGCTTTTGAGAAGAAAAGCGGCTGTTCGCGTTCACAGCGCAGCGCAATGCAATGATTACTCGCTTTGTGCCTTGCGGCCAGCTCGAAAGGAGAAGGTGACCCGGGTGCCTTGTTGGAGCTAAGGCTGATCAGGCTTCCCGGATGACTCTTCATCCTACGTCGTTGTCCTCTAGCGAGCCGCCAGGAAGACCAACGACTGTTTAGTTCGATGTTTCCTGTGCTCGTAGCGCGGCCAATAACTAGATGTTTCCTTGGTTGCTATCATCAGCCGCTCATCGCTCCTCTATCCTTTCATCATACATATTTCTCCCTTAGTTCAGAACCGTACCTATTTATGGGCTGTTTACCTCCTGGCCCATTGAACGTCGTGATCGTTCTCTCGACTTGTTTCGATTCCTGTTTCTGCTCGACCTGGCGCTTATGCTGAGGCGTCGGTGTATCACGTACCTTTATTGGAAGAGCCGCCGCGACGTTGCATATACTAACGAATTTCATTGCCATTGTTGAGCTGATTTGTTACCCGGGCGATTATTACAATCCTTTGGAAACATTTGAACCTTGTCCTCTTCCAGGGCCTTTTTTTCCTTTTTGTAGAGATCCCTTATCGAATTTGGGAAGGAGCCTGCCGATTTCCCGTCAACATGACTGTCCCAACGCTCCTTCCGCTCTCTGCTGCGGTCCTGGGAGCCACTGGCCTTATCACCTTTCTGGGACTCTTTGCTAGCCTGGCCCAAGCCCGAGATCGTACGCCACCGGACAACTTCTACGAAGATGTTGACGGTAAGGCTACGCCAGAGACAATGGCTGCCTTTTCAAACAAGAAGCCGAAAGCGTGTATACTGGTTTTCTCTGTTCTTGGATTTGGTCTCTCCATTACTACCACCATTCTGTCCATTCACAAACCCCTTGGTGATGGCCTCAACTTGGAAAATTGGCTCACCACTGGGACTTGGGTAAGTCGTCAAATACCGAAGGCGAGGTTTGCCAATGGACTTGTCTGGCACTTTTTCCGTCGTTCCAAATATTGTTTTTGAACCTGTGCACTGATCTCTCGACCCGTTGTTGTAGGCAGCTATTGCCATGCAAGCCACCTTCATTGTAGCTCAACATTCGCCTGTCAAGTCTCACGACCTTGGCCTTTGGGCATTTCTCTCGTCCCTAATCACCGAAATCGCCACTGTGGCCCAAATCTATCGTGTCAGCAACTTTGCATCCCTGGAAAAAGATGCCCAGCTCATTGTGCGAACCGTAAACGCGGCCATTCTAATTCCCTTGATGTTTTCCTGCATAAGTCTGCCTCGACGACCGGATGTTTTCTACAAAGGCGAAAGAATTGACGCAGAATGGTCTACCACGGTTCTCAGTCGGTATACCTGGAGCTGGGTCAACGATCTTCTGGAGACTGCTAAACGAAAAGGCGATCTGGATGAGAAAGATATCGATAGACCCGACCACACAATCCGAGCAGAGTATCTTGTCGACGCGTGGAACAAGGCAAATTACCAGGGCAGCCTCTTGCAATCCTTGCTTGCGGCCTACGGCAGACGTCTTGCACTTCATTGGGCCATTATTGTTTTTCGATGCATCGTCGGCATTGGCCCATTCTGGACTATGCTCCGTCTTGTCCAGATGCTTGAAGACCGCGATGCCGGTATTGAAGCGCCTCGTGAGCTATGGGGCCTCGTGATTCTCATGGGACTCTTCACTCTTGTTGAACAAGTAAGTCTATACGACAAATGGTCGCTCAAGTCCTTATCCAGCGTACTAAGTGATACCCTAGTGGTTGGACGGCTGGATTATCTGGTTTTCCATCACCAAATTGTTTGCTCCGGTAAGAGGACAGCTCTCAGCCATAATATTCGAAAAATCCCTGCGGCGAAAGAATGTCAAAAATGCGGAAAAAATCAAGGAGGATGAATTGTCCGATGACGCAAAGGGGAGTGATGTGGACAAGGACAAGAAGGGGAAAGAAGGAGCCGATGAGGACAGTGTATTGAAGTCTCGACAGGCAGTTGTGAACCTCGTCGGTGTGGACTCCAAGCACATTGCCGACTTTGCAATGATGCAGCTCTTTATCGTCAGTAGCATCGGTAAGCTTCTTGTTTATTCTGGCTATCTTGTTAATCTCATTGGCTGGGTACCCTTCGGCGCCGGTATTCTGGCCTGGTCCTTTGTACTTCCTGCAAACACTCTTGCCGCCAGATACTATCTCAAGGCCGAGACGCGACTGATGAAGAACCGTGACAACAAGCTGGCCGTTGTCAACGAGGCCCTCCTAGGCATGCGACAAATCAAGTTCTCAGCACTGGAAACCCAATGGGAAAAAAAAATCCTTCGGATGAGAGAAATCGAAATATCTTCGCTGAAGGATGTGTTCAAGGCCGACAGCATGCTATTCTTCTCCTGGGTGGCGAGCCCTATTCTTCTTGCGGCAGCGTCTCTGGCGGTTTATGCCGTCGTCAATGGAATGCTTGCGCCATCTGTCGCCTTCGTCAGTATCGGCGTCTTTAAGAGCCTGGAGGTATCGCTTTCGGCTTTGCCGGAACTTCTCACTGGAGGCATCGACACCCTGGTCTCCGTTAGACGTATTGATAAATACCTGAAGGGCCCCGAAATGGAGAACACTCTCACCGAAGGTCACGATGTAGCCTTTGACAATGCGACGATTGCCTGGCCCATCGATGACGAAGTTCCAGACGACGATCGATTTATTCTGAACAACGTCAACCTTTCTTTTCCGGCCGGTGAGTTATCCGTTATTTCGGGGAAAACTGGATCGGGAAAGAGCCTCGTGTTGAATGCTCTCCTTGGAGAATCCGATCTCCTGGAGGGACGCATTATTGTTCCTCGAATCGTCCCTCCCTTTGAACGACATGATGGTAAGGCACACCGCGGAAACTGGATTCTTCCCGGCGCTGTGGCCTACGTAGGCCAGAGCCCTTGGCTTGAGAGCGCCTCACTCCGCGACAACATTCTTTTTGGGTTGCCTTTCATTGAGAGCAGATACAATGCCGTTCTGGATGTTTGCGCCTTGAAGAAAGATATTGAGATCTTAAATGATGGGGATAAGACAGAGTTGGGCGCCAATGGCATAAATCTCAGCGGCGGCCAGAAGTGGCGACTCACGCTAGCTCGTGCTATTTACTCTCGAGCCGAAATCCTCATCATGGATGATATTTTCAGTGCTGTCGATGCTCATGTTGGCAGACAGATTTTTGAAAGATGCATCTCTGGTCCAATCTGCAAAGGCAGAACTCGAATTCTTGTCACCCACCATGTTGCTCTCGTCGAACCCATCACCAAGTATTTTGTCGAACTCGGGGAAGGCACAGTTCTCAATGCTGGTCTTACATCTGACCTAGCTGAAAACGGTACGCTCGAACTCATCAAGAGTCACGAACAAAGTCGATTCGAGGTCGGCGTCAAAGATACCACTGACAGCCCAACTGCCGTCAATTCTGAGGAAGTTTCAGTTGAAGAAGCTATGGATCTCGAGGAGACTGCAAACCCACTGCAAAAGATTCCGTCTCAGACAGCTAAGAAATTCGTCGAAGATGAAGCTCGTGCAAAGGGAAACGTCAAAGCCCGCGTGTATAGCACTTTTCTCAGTAGTAGCGGCGGATGGTTCTTCTGGGGGGTTTGCGTCCTTTTCTTCGTTGCCTTTGAGGCCGGCAATCTCGGACGTAACTGGTGGGTGCGTATTTGGACGGGTGCCTCTGAAGGGCGCATTTCTGCAAATGCGTCTCGTGAACTTGGTATGGTCTATGGTCTCTCATATGAGCACAGCACCCTCCACTCAGCTTCCGCTTCTCGGCTTTTCGCGTTTAGTGAGAAGCCTAAGCACACTTTGTCGTATTACCTCTGGATCTATGTAGCTATTGCTGCTGCAAGTGCTCTTGTTGGCACTTTGCGATTTATCTGGTCTTTCATCATGAGTATCAAGGCTGCCAGGACTCTTTTTCGCAGAATTCTATTCACAGTTTTGCGAACGCCGTTGCGTTGGCTAGACACCGTCCCTGTCGGTCGTGTTCTCAACCGTCTCACCGCCGATTTTGATATTATCGACAATCGAATCACTATGGACCTCGGCTTCATGTTCTGGCGTCTTCTGGGCCTTTTGGGTGTCTGTGTGGCGGCTCTCCTGGTTTCTACTCTGATGCTGCCCTTGGCATTTGCTTTGTTACTTGTCGCTAGCTTCATTGCTCTCCGATTCTTGAGCGGTGCACGGCCGGTTAAACGAATTGAGAGCAATGCCAAATCACCAGTCTTTGAGCTTTTCAACTCGTCACTGTCTGGTGTGTCTACCTTGCGAGCTTTCAAGAAGACCCAGACCTACGTCGACCGAATGCACTCTTATCTTGATAACTGGGACACGATTTCTGTCCATATTTGGACGCTTAATCGTTGGTTGGGCTTCCGTATGGCACTGGTAGGGACCGTCTTCACCACCATGGTCGGCGTCATCGTTGTCGGCTCCTCATTCGTTGATGCTGCTATGGCCGGGTTTACTCTATCGTTCGCTCTTGACTTCTCGAGCAATATGCTTATGGCTATCCGAGGCTATGCATCCTTGGAACTAGACATGAATGCTGCTGAGCGTGTGATTGAATACACGGAAGTCGAGACCGAGGACTTGGGCGGCGAGATTCCTCCAGCTTCATGGCCCGCGACTGGCAGAATGGACGTCAAAGATCTGGTCGTCAGTTATGCAGATGACTTGGCGCCCGTTTTGAAGGGTATTTCATTCGACGTGAAGAACAATGAACGCATTGGAGTCGTTGGCCGCACTGGTGCTGGCAAGTCCTCTCTGACCCTGGCTCTCTTCCGCTTCCTTGAAGCTCGATCTGGCCAAGTTCTCATTGATGGGATTGACATATCCAAGATTCGGCTCTCCGATTTGCGATCTCGTCTTGCCATTATTCCACAGGTATGTTATTCACTGTGACCCAGTGACACTAAATGCTGACACAATTGGCAGGATCCCGTACTTTTCTCCGGTACTGTTCGAAGCAACCTCGACCCCTTCGATGACCATACAGACGATGAGTTGAAAGAATGTCTGTCGAGAGTCCACTTGGTTGACTCTAGTCCTGTTACTCCTGCGAATGAGGCATCCTCGGCTGCTGGATCAACCATCGCCCCCAAGAATACCAACCTCTTCCGCGACTTGTCTAGCGGCATTTCTGAGTCTGGCGGTAACTTGTCTCAAGGCCAGCGTCAACTCCTCTGTATTGCCCGAGCTATTGTTTCGCGCCCAAAGCTTATGGTCCTTGATGAGGCCACATCTGCTGTGGACATGGCCACCGATGCCCTTATCCAGAGAAGCATTCGAGAAGAGTTTACAGACAGCACTCTAATTGTCATTGCTCACAGGTTAAGTACCATTGCTGACTTTGACCGCATTCTCGTCTTAAGTGAGGGTACTGTTGCTGAATTTGGTTCTCCTCGAGAACTGTGGGAGACCGAAGGTAGCACCTTCAGAGATCTGTGCGAACACAGCGGCGAGAAGGCCAAGCTGAAAGAAGTCATCCTGGGCGAGTCATGCCCGGGGGCATCATAGTGAAATTACCATGTCTCGCAGCTCACACGGTGAGCGTAATAGGTTGAGGTATATTATTGTATTTGATTTATTTTGAGTGACTTGTTATTTTATTGCAAGGAATTGGCTAGAATCAGATATGAATGATTCAATCTTCCTGGCATTCGGCTGAAGGTTTTGCGTGCTTCGGAGGCAATACATGATTTCTCGACCTTGCTACGAGAAGTAGGGCCATTCGCGTAGTTGGAAAAGAAAAGGTGGTTGTGTAATGCAGTATAGCAAATTCAAAGAAAGGACACGTATGATGCCCATAATGGCAGAAGTTGAGACCCCGTCGCTCACTGTTTGAAGTCAAGTAAGACGGATCTATTTTAAGTCCTGTGGTGAGGTCCTGACGAGAATATGTGACAATTGCAGTAATATGGTTGGAAAGCTCACCTATATTTATCCTCTGCTCCTGAATAATGAATGTCACTTGGGTTGTGATTGAAGTCCAAGTCAAAGGTGACACGGGTTCTTTTGTTCATGCCTACATCAGCCGTATACAAGCAAAGCAAACTCCAAATGGGAAGCACAATTGTGTAGTGACTCGACTCCTTTAATGTGCACATGTACGCTCCGTCATCTATTCATCTCCACCGCATCATCTAATTCAACCTTCCGCCTCATAAGCATTCGACCGATGTTTAGGTTGAAACTCGAATCCAGGATGGACTGGCCCCAGGAACATTTCCCTAGGAAACAAGTTAGCAACACCAGCAAGGGCCGAATCAAACACCGAAGAAGAGTCAATCATACGTAATCTTTATCCAGTCCTTGTAGTTCCCGCTGGCCATGAGAGTCTCCAAATCATTCCTGCCCACGTACGCTGGCGGACGATCATTCAAACTAGGCGGCAGCGCCTCCAAGAGGCCGACAGGAACATAACGATGCGCAAAACTCAACCACTCCAGCAGAAAACGCCTGGTAAAGCCGATACCGAGCTCATCTGAGCCCCAGGCGTCGAGGCCATAGCGGACGAATTTCTCAATGTACGTGAGACGCTCGGAGGCAGATTTGTCGAGGTACTGGCCTTGCTGGATCTCTTCGAAGAGCCAGGGCTTGATGAGGGCGCCGCGACCAATCATGACTGTGTCGACGCGGGATTTCGAGATATGCTCAAAGTATTCCGTGTGAGAGTAGCAGTCGCCATTGCCAATGAAGTACATCCTTCCGTCTTTCGAATTGGGAAGGGTGCTCGCATCAGGCTCGGCCAGGGTGTCGGCCATGGCGTCCTTTTGCTCGTTGTAGGATTTGATGAGGCCTGCACATTCCCCTATGTAGCTCCAGTCTGCGCGCTTGGTGTACCGCTGCTCGCGGCTGCGGCCGTGGAGAGTCAGCGCTGCGCACCCAGGGGCGCCGAGACGTTCGCGGTGCTCGCGTGAGCCAAAGGCGAGTTTGGAGATGACCGAGGGGGCCGTGGGGCGAGATGACTTCACGCCTGTTCGTATCTTGGCAGTGATGGGGATCTCGCCAGACATGGCATTCATGCCGCGTATCATGCGCTCGAGCTTGCCCTGGGACTCGAGCAGGGCTGAGCCGCCGCCGGACTTGAAGACCATGTCGATGGGACATCCGCAGTTGAGGTCGATGAGACGCAGGTGGGGGCAAAACCTGCTGAGGACGTCGGTGGCCTTGGTGACAACCCAGGGCTGGTTGCCAGAGATTTGGGCGCCGAAGCGCAGGTCGCGAGAGTTGTCGTAGTTGTCAAAGACGTAGTTGTTGCTACTGGGCTTGAAGGCAGGCGGTTGAATCTCGGATTCGTGCGCCTTGAGGAGGGTCCAGTCTGCCTTGGTGCCTTGAAGGAGTGGCATGCCCATGGCCATTTCGGAGTACGTCAGTTCGCAGCCCAATTCGACGCAAAGACGGCGGAAGGGGAGGTTTCCCTGAGTGGTCAGTGGTGCGAGGGTGGGTGTTTCGGGACCAAAGTACAGCCGGCGCTTTTCGGAGGGTTTGAAGGGAGGGTCGACGAATTGGGCCCGGAGGTCCTCGATGCCTTCGTTAGACTGGTCCTTGCGACGCTGGTGGAAGGCGTTGTTGAGAGTGGCTTCGTCGTTTATCCACTTGATGTACTCATCTGCTTTGGCGAAGTCGATTCGCTTACGGTTCAGGTCAATTTTTGTGCTCATAGCGACGTTGTTGTATATGCCTGATCGGCGCTCATCCAGCTCATCACCACCAGAGACTTTGGTTGGTGTTGATGTTGGCTTCTTGCCGTTGAACCCCGTCTTATTTGAGTCATCAATGAGAATCAGCTCCTTTCGGCCGTCCTCATGCTCCAGCTCCTTCATGTGACTCTTCACAAAACGACATTTCCAACCGGAGAAACAGAGACCGTACTGCTCAAAGACGGGGCATTTTCCGCCAAACGTTCCGACATCCTCACGACGTCCTTGCTCGAGATACTTTCGCAGGTCATGAGACATGCGGCACTCGTCACCGAATTTGCATGGATGAGGTGAGAATTCAGGGTACATAGCGCGACTGTTACAGAGCTGAATGGAATCTCCGAAGCGGCCGAAAGTGCGTTCAGTGTTCTGGCCTTTTTTTCTTTTTTCCTTTTTGCCTCTTTTGCCTTTGACACCCCCTTGGTTGTTGTCTCTGCAAGCGCTGGCGTCTCTGGCGTTACCACGGCCCTCAGCGGCATCGTCATCCACCATCCCTGAATCCGAGTTTCTTGATGCAGTTACATCAAGGAGGTATCTATGCAATGTTAGGCGAGCAATAATTCACAGCTGTTGGTTCCGCACTACTCACTCCTTTCTAATTGGTGTTATTCCAGCACGACGGTCTCGGGGTGCAGTTGACTCGATAGCAGTGTCGCCATGATCATTAGTTGGAGCATCTTGGGACTCCTGTTTGTCAGTTGCCCCCGTAGCGTTTGAGCCTTGTCTTGAGCGAGCTACATCGTCCACCCTAAGTCGCTTCGCAGCTGGTTGCTCAAGAGTATCAAGCTCATGATGGGCCGTTCCAGCAACCAGAGTCTGCTCTTCGCAGTTCGTTTTTGAATTGATACTTTCAGCCATCGGGAGTGTCGTGGGCGTTGAATAAGCGACAACGATCAATGCGTGCTGCTATCGAACAGCGACCACCTCCCGAAAGGCAAAAGATGACGGGCAAATGAGACTACCGGGCAGAATGCTTGACCAAGCCGGGTTAGTCAGCTCATCAGTCTGTTGATAATTTGGCGACCAGTACGGAGTAGCTTCAGAGGAAGATTGAAATAGACGGCGGTGGGGACTTTGGCGCTTTTTCACACCGCTTTGTGGATGGGATATTTTGTTGAAGTTGAGGTGGTTGGTGAGGAAAAAGAAAAAAATAATAGAAATTCTACTCCGTACAATGCTCGAGTGCAGGGCCAAAAAAGGGTCCGCTAATAACGGCGTGTTGCTTGACTGACGGCCACTTGCCTACAGTTGGCGGGCAAAGCGGGCGCCAACTCGTGGTGGGGTTCGCGGGAGTGGCAACACATCAATGAAGTGGGCAGGAGCGACTGGGCAGACTCCTCCTTACAGCTCCCTGCTCACAGCTCCGTCTCGAAGTGCATTACTGCTACCCCTCAGATGCGCCCATGAGGGATGAGGGGGAACAGCTCATTGTGCCGTATACATTCAATTGCTCATTCCCAGTCTGACGGAATTGCCCAATTCCCCCCGGCCCTTTGCTTCTGGCAATTGCGCCAGTTCCACCCGTCAACTTCGCGTCTCCCTCTCGCAAACACCCGCCGTCGTCATCATCTGGTGGCCGAGGCAATGAGCTTCGGCTCGTGACACACACCACCATGGCGGACTCTGGCAAGTCGATTCGTTCCCCTCACAAGGCGTCCAAGACGAGCTCTGCCCGATCGAGTACGGCACCCTCGGGCGCTCCGCCCAACCAACAAATGGCCTTGTATCACGATTCAAACGATTCTGACCAAGAACCCGCTCCATTGCCGCGAAGCCATACTCCAGGCCATCTCGCCAGCAAAAGCGTCAATGACAAGCGAGCAAGGACTTCCGACGTCGCCATCCGGCAACGATCCCAATCCGCCTCTCAGGTCGCATCAAGCTCTACCTCAAGCCCATACCCAGCCAAGACGTCTCCTGTGACAAACGGGTCTGCCGAACCGCCTGCGGAAGATGACGACAAGGAGAAGCAACGAACAGCGGATTCGCGAGTCAGTTCCTCCGTACCTGCCGGCGGTCGAAAGGCCCCATCCTCCTCAGCAACATCTCGGAAATCCAACAAGGTCATCCGACCCCCTCGGGGGCAACACATACCTTTCCCGCCGCTCCCTGATCCCAAGGACGCAGCGGACGTTGAGCCCGCCCCAGCATCTGGCTTGTATTGGTCAAGAGCCTTTGTGTCAGGATCGCCGCACTCAAACCTCAGGGCGCACACGACAACCTTGATCGGGTCCAATATTTACGTCTTTGGCGGCTGTGACACACGAACATGCTTCAATACAGTCTATGTCCTCGATGCCGACGCCTTCTACTGGTCCGTCCCGCACGTGGTTGGCGATATTCCCTTGCCACTACGCGCAATGACCTGCACCGCCGTCGGTAAAAAGCTGGTCGTGTTTGGCGGCGGCGATGGCCCGGCATATTACAACGACGTGTACGTTTTAGATACCGTCAATTTTCGGTGGACAAAGCCTACTATAACAGGCGACAGGGTCCCGTCCAAGCGGAGAGCCCACACGGCATGCCTTTACAAAAACGGCATCTACGTGTTTGGGGGCGGCGACGGCGTCAGAGCACTCAACGACATTTGGAGACTCGACGTCAGCGACCCGACCAAAATGTCGTGGAGGCTCATATCCGGGCCCGAAAAGACACCAAGCTCGAGCTCGACCGCCAAACACCACCGTCCCAAAGCCCGCGGCTACCACACAGCCAACATTGTTGGCAGCAAGCTGATCATCTTTGGCGGCTCAGACGGCGGCGAATGCTTCGACGACGTGTGGGTCTACGACGTTGAAACACACGTCTGGAAATCGGTTTCCATACCGGTTACCTATAGACGCCTATCTCACACAGCCACAATCGTAGGCTCATATCTGTTCGTGATTGGAGGTCACGACGGAAGTGACTACTGCAACGATGTGATACTCCTGAATCTCGTGACGATGACGTGGGATAAGAGGAAAGTCTACGGGAAGCCGCCGAGCGGTCGGGGATATCACGGGACGGTGCTACATGACAGCAGATTATTGGTAATTGGAGGGTTTGACGGCAGTGAAGTATTTGGGGATGTGTCGATACTGGAGTTGGCGGTGCATGCGTATTATTCGCAGATAAGCCACTTTACAATTGAAGTTTGAGCGGGCGTTGGCGCGGAATGGTAACGGTAACGAAACTGATGATGACATGATACTGTACGTCTGGCAGTGTAGACATACCTAGTCTCAGCTTTCCAGAGTGCCACCTAGCTAGGTAGTGATATTGCTTGTTCTGATGTGCTTTGAGCGTTGTGCAAAACTTGCAAAGACGACAAGCTGGATGGGCTCAAGCAGAGGAGCACGCGGGGATACGCCAGTCTCTGGCCCAATGTTGGGTAGAATGTGGAAAAAAACTTGTACAATACAGACCTGACGGAGGTCTCGAATGCCTACGATGCCACCCAAGTGCGGTTCCCCAGAACGCCGTTCTCCCTCCTCTGATAGAACGCTATCTCGTGCTTTTTGGATATGCAGAATGGGAGATGTGTTGTGCGTTTGCGTGCGCACGTGTGATGGCCTTGTGAGCCGGCAGCGCCATGGTTGAATCCAGAATCAAGACTTGCCCTTGGCAGCCTTCTTGGCTGCCAGTCGTCGTTCCTCAGCCTCGACCATGTCTACCACCAACCACTGTCAGCCTGGTTCACGCACGACGTTTGACGAGGCAAGGCAAGGCAAGGCAAGGCAAAAAAAAAAACCCAACAAACAACAGAACTTACCCATCCACAGATCCTGGCCCTCATAATCCTCCTTGTGAACCTTCTTCTCAATCAAATGCTTGTGCTCGGGATCGTTGGGATCAAGCACCATGACCGTCTCCCAGCGGCCGCTGCCCTTCTTGGCGTCGTTGACCTCAAAGGCGGCGCTGACGACGAGCACGGCCAACGTCAGCCCCTGCGCGTAGACACGGGCCTGGACCAGCTTCTGCGAGGTGCTCATGGGGGCGCGGCCGACAATGGCCAGCGCGACGGCCATGCTCGCCAGCCAGGAGGCGAAGACGATGCTGTAGCGGTTCTCCTTTCCCCACTCCATGAAGCGCTCGTACGCCGACTCATTCTCGCGCGCCATCTGGATGGCGCGCTGCGAGGCGTCCTTGTAGCCGTAGTTGGGGTCGTTCTGGCGCTGGAAGTTGTTGGAGTACCGCTCGGCGGTGACAATGGCGCCAAACGTCGCCGTCGACGTGACGAGGAACGAGCGGAACGGGAGGGTCAGCGACCGGAAGGCCGGGTAGCGGCGCGAGGCGAGCACCACGCCGCCGAGGCCGAGGGCCAGGCTGGCCGTGCCGCCGATCAGGCCGCCTTTGACGACGACGTCGAAGTGGGCCTTTTCTTCTTCCTTGCTGACGACCTTCATTGTCGGGGGATTTGCAGCGGCGGGAAGGGGAAGGCCGCGTGGTGGTGGTGCCTTATGTCCTTATGTATTGGTTGATGTGGTTGGCATTTGGAAGTCCGGGAGGCTTTCGGTGAAAATTGCTGACGGGGGTTTTTCTGAATTGCCGAATTTCCGGGGCCGCCCCAGTAAAAAGAGAAGGAAAAAAGGGCAGGAACGTTGCACCGCAGAGGCACGGTGTTTCAGTCACCGCGGAGATTGTCGATGCCAACCAGTGGTGCGCTCCGGTGAGCGGTTTTTGCCGACGAAATTTGTTAATTTGTTCAGGAGCTCAAAAGGGCTATTTTGTTTTTGATGTCCGAGAAGGAGGAGACTTCCTCCGGATGCTTGGATTCGTGTAAATAGCGCGACACGCGGTTACACAACGAATCGTGGTTCACGACGGGAAACAGGACGTGATTGATCGTTTAAAGGGCCAATTTGATGGTCGTGTGCAATACAGTTGCTCGGTTGCGAATTGCGGCAGAGTCCAGGCGCGCGGACGGGCAGCAACCAATATCTACTGCAGTAACTACAAAGGAAACAAAAAAAAGCCAGTCCAATCATCCTCATGATTCTTGATTCGTGGTTCACGTCATGGCTGCGTCGGCAGCCACGGGATGATGTCAGCCTGGTGCGCTGCTGCCCTGCGAGCCGTGGGTGACACGTGACTGCCGGCGCGAAGCCATCCTGTTTCTCCCGAGACCATCGGCCCAAGGCCGAGACATTTCCGCCGTTGCATCCATGCAGCCAATGTCTCTGCCGTACTCCGTACAAGATGCCAAACGGCGACATCCGTACGGATCCGTACCAAGGACGGAGCACCGCCGACGCGACTTGCGAGCAATCCAAGCATTGAGCAGGGAATGCAGGCCCTGCTGTGTGCCGCGCCGCCGTCAACTTGTCGACAAAGCAAGCTTTTGACACGGCCATCACCCGCCAGCGTCCAGCGCCATCGCAATCATGGCACATCACTACCAACAGCCGGATTTGACAGCTCGGCCTTGAGCGAGGCAAAGACAGTCACAGGTCGGCATGCCAACACAATGTCCGCACGACCACCAAGGCCGTAAGGGCAGCACGCGGCTCGCAGTCAACGGGTTGCTACAGCCTGGATGACCGTGGATATTCAACCATCCTGCACTTCCAACGGCACGGAGCACATCCAGGCACCGTATCTGACCAAAACGCGAAGAGAGGTCGCGTGGCCACCTTCCCGAGTCGTCTATCGTTGCGAACGATACAAGATCGCAGGCCACATCCGATTCCTTGCTTTCTCATCCCGGGCAACAGCCGTCGCTCTGACGTTTATGGTGTATCAGGCGGCAGAGAATGGGTCTGGGCTACCGACCAAATTTGTACTTGGCAATGTTCTTCCGCCAAACATCTCATACGTGGTGTGGTTCTCCGTACAAAACGGGTCCTTCGAGTCCCGCTGGAGATGGGCGCGACCCGGCTGTTAGTGTTGCCTTTCCTGCGTCTCTCACTTTCTGGCACATTGAATATTTCTTTCCATCGCCGTCTCTCCTTTCAAGCGTAATCATCTTCGTCCTCGTTGGCTCGTCCTGCCTTCGAACTGATCAACTTCCCCCGGTGGACAGGGACCCGTACGCAGACCCATTCCTCACATGGTGAATGGAGACGATTTCTAGCCTGTCCCTGTCCAAAGCGTTCTTGGGAAAAAAAGGATGGAAATGCCAAGTCGCCTGCAGGATCCATGAGTCGCGCGGGGTGCGGGAGATTCCTCGACAGTCGTGTTATCGTTATGCCTTGTACGGAGTGCTACTTTTCGTAATACGGAGTACTCCGACAGATACGAAGAAACTGCACATGCACAGCCGCCGGCCTGGACACAGACGACGTTCCAACCGTTTGCGGCTTCGGTCCGGTGCCGATGAATGGATGAGTAGCTTCAACAACCTCAGTCGTGATGGTATTTACAAACACTTGACCAATCACGCCTTGTTGACGTACGCCATGCGCCGTCCTTTGGATCGGATGGCCTCAGCATTGCAGCTCAGGCCAGCTTGACATCAAAGCTGATGATTGATGGATGTGCTACTCCGTACATGTATGCGCAGCATCGCCTTGTGTACCGTACTAGTCTGAATGCATCTCGTCCCTAATAATTACTCTATTATTGCCCCCCCTGGACATTAGGCATCTGCCGACGTCTTGTGAACTGGAACTCACCAGTATCTCGCACTCCAGGCACCCGGCCCGTCGCATGAGCAGGAATCGGCTACCAACAAACAGCTTGCTTCTCATGGTGTCCGGTGAGGCTGACTTTGTCAAGACTCAAGGCCATTCATTCATTGACTTGTTTGTAGCAAGGCCGAAAACACGCAGGACGCCCATCACTCACTTGATAGACGGAAAGGCTTCTATTAGTACCTTCAAAATACGGAGTAGGTGGTCCCTGATGGTTCTTCGCCGCCAGGACAGCCGCGATGGTCATACCACGTTTTCTGCTGAGTTTGCAGCGGCGTCCCACGTTTGTGGCTGGTGATGACACATGGGCGCCCTGTTCATGTCGGCATTCGATGAACCGGATCGCTTCTGGTTGGCAAGGAGTGCGAGGCAATGAGACAAACAATAGACGAACGGCGCAGACGACATTTTCGAGCCCACAAAATTTGTCTGTTTCATGGTCCTACCGCAGCAAGACGGCAGGCGAATGTTCCACCTATTACGGAGTAGTCAAGACGTTGTTAGTATTATTAGGGTCGCATTTGTCAAACACTCATTCCTATCATACAAGTCGGCCGGTTAGGAGACTGCCCACCAGTCGGTGGCGCCGAGCAGTCCACTGCATCCACCAGCTTTGCTCTGGAAGGGATCCATTCGTTCCATTGATGGCGACGGGCCTAACGCCTACTAGTCGATTGCCTAGTTGACAGGGTTTCCATTGTGTCCCTGAACAGCTCCGCTAATACGGAGACAACCCGTTGCGACAAAACAAAACGCATTGAGGCACAAGCCAGCGTGCCAGCATGGACCCAGAAGAAACGCAACGAGCCTGTCTCGTGCAGTAGTAAACTTATTCCAGGCAACGTCATGCTATCCCTGGCCCGAGGATAGCTTTTTGTAGCCAGTTCAACCAGATCGCCTGGCCATTTGTGGGATGCAAAGTGGCGCGGTGCTATCCTTCATCCTCTGCGACATAAACTTGACAGTTATTGTTGTGCTCTCCAGGGCGATCGTGATCTGGCTCGACAATCAAATGAACGCAATCGTCGTCGTCGGTGTTGTGTCCGCCGTTGCTATTGACAGGGACTGGGACTGGGAATACCCGCTGGCTGAGTGGATAGTTCCATGTGTTGCGGTGAATGCAGGAGTGTCTAACCAAACTGCTGGAGCCGCAAGAATACTTGCTTTTACATGACAAGTATGTCGAAAAAGGACATCGGAACCGAAGTCGCCCTGTGGACCGCGAAATCCCAATTGCCAAGTCATGGATGATGCAGTGATGCAAACGCCACAGAGTAGCATCTCAGCCATCAATGACAAACATCATTCTCACGGAAAACTTCCCCATCGAGGGTTGTGGTGTGGTGTGGTGTGGTGTGTGCCAGCTCACGGATCCAAGAGACAAGCGTCTCTCCAAACCAAGTTGCCGCCAACGCTGCCGCCGCTTCCGAAACCTAGTACAGGAGCCTATGACTCGGGCCGCCGACCTTGCCACATGCTTGCCATGTTGCCCGCCATGGCGGCAGGCTGGCACGATCCCGGCATTGCCGCCAGAAGGGCATGGGCCCAATATCGTCCACTCCATACCAAGAACTCTGGAGAGACTAAGGAGTGCGAGCAAGTGAGTGCCCAGGTATGGACAGTACACCACCACTCAACCAATGGGACAAAGAGGACTCCCAAGACACTTGGAGAGCCAGATGCGGAGGGAACGGATGATTGTGGCTAATACATTAATAAGGCTGACGATAAGCTCGAATTTATCCGTTGGTGATTCGCACGGAACTTGGCTGGAGACTGACAGACAGAGATGAACCAATTTCCGGTCTGATCAAAAGGACCCTGGCGCTGGTTGGCACTGATTTCGCATTACTAGAAAAAAAAGGGCCTTGTTGAATTGAACCTCGGAGCCTCATCCATGTCTCAGGTTAGTGGTGGCTGAACCACACACAATACGGAAGTAACGAAGCTGGGAGGAGGACAATATTTTTTACATAAGTGACAGACTGTCTACCGCCTAAGATGTGATGCTTCATGCCGATGCGGGAGAATAACCACCGCGGATATCTGAGGTCGAGTTAACCGCCGCCTTTGCCGCGTTAACGTAGGACAAATCTGCGGTGTGCGTGCCCCGTCAACGTGGTTTCTTTGTGCGCAGACCAGACGTCACCGCTGGTCTCAAATGGAACGCCCCGTGGGTGAAAGGCAAGGTTTCCCCTGAATGCTCAACGGACGAGCATCATGTCGGAGCACTCTTGCGGAGTAGCGAGCAAAGCGAGTTACTCGGTCGAATGGCTGCTTAGCCTCACGACACACAGGCCACAGGCGGTTGGTCGATGGGTGCCCATGTGTACTGTACGACAAAGACGCGTGGGCGGCAGGCAGAGATCTCTACATGGACCAATGCAAGTCAGCGGTGTAAGCTTCTTTCTTTCTTGAACCATTAGTTTAGTACTAAGTTGCCTGGCGCCAAACCTGGGAAGCTTTTCCTTTGTTCGCCGGTCCATCCGTGTAGATACTAAGCAGGTCATCCCACCACACCATCCTTGGAAGCCACAAGCGATATGCGACGCCTCCAAGTCGAGACATCAGCATGGAGAGAAATCCTCGAGACGGCGACTTCATCCCTGACCACGAAACTCGAGCTCCATACGGGAATCGAGCTGGTCAGGCTCTGGGCATCAATCCATAGACACCTTTGCGGGGCCATGGAGAGCTGGATCCAAGAGTCAGGACTCAGGACCAAGACTGTGGAAACTTTAAGGTGTGACATTGAGCGAACATGCCGATGAGAGTTTGTGCTTGTTTCAGCGAAGCGCATCAACTCGAGTTCATCAAGAGCTGAACCTCACAAGACTTGTGGCAAAGCCTGGCGTGGCAGCCAGCCAGGAAAGGACAATTTGCCTGCGCCGGATCTCGAAGTCCTGAAGTCGGTGTGCTGGCCCCCACCAGAACGATCAGGTGCATTTGCCTCCAAGAGTGAATGAATACATTGTTCGTCGTGCCACGAGCTCACTGGCAGTGCAGTATACATGTAGAGAGAAAATGACGCCTCCTCAGTCGTGGAAAGTTGTCAATAGAAGCCGTGTGTCGAATCTGTCTTGAGTAAGGTATGTACTGAAGGTACGTACTAGTAGGTACGAAGTAGGGGAGGCGATGGTTGCCGAAGCCACCAGGGCAGGTACCAAGGGGGGTACTGGGTACTCCGTACTCCGTACTTGGTAGTTGGATGCTTGAGTAGAAGGAGCCAGGGAGGGAGAGTGTGCTTGGCAACTGAAATCGCGCACCGCACCTTCCTTCCTTCCATCGGTAAATACCACTTGTTGATAAGGAAGGGACAACTGCTGCACGAGTGGCACTTGGTGAAAACGGAAACGAACAAGTAACGTAGTTACTCTGTAATATCATAGTATTTCCCTCATATGTACGGAGTACGAGCCTCCTCCCTTTGAACCCTTGATCCTTACCCCGGCCCCGGCAAAAAGACCCTCTCACTTTGACTCGACAAACAAAGGTGGCCCTCGCGGTACGGAGCACGTACATACCTGGAAAGACCTCATCTCGCATCATCCGTCGTGCGTACGGAGCACAGTGGAATCAGCCACCACCCCAGCCTTGGCATTTTACCACCTCGTCCAAAGATGGCATCTGTCCACCCGCTGCGGCGGCGACGACGACGACGACGTCGACTTGTTCCGCCGTTGGTCGCTGTAGCTTCAACGTCCTCTTTCATTCTACCTTGGAGGACGTGCTGCAGAGGCAAAAGGAGCAGTGTATACTCCGTACCATGGCACCCCATCCGGCCTGGTGCTCCGACGTAGGCATGTCGCGCTCGTGTGCGCTGGCCCGACCCAGCCGATGCGTCCGTCTCCTCCGTACAATACAATACAGTACAGTACAGTACAGTACTGCTTGGCATGCTTGAATCAATCAATACAATACGACCAGACAGTGCAGCCTTCTCCACTGCTCCCGATGCCGAGAGGTTCCAGAGATCTGCCCTGACTCGTCCACCGGGCTGCTTTGTGTCCACCGGCGGCCAGACAGCCACCGTCCTGGGACTCCAACTGAGAGGACACAGTCGTCATGTGTGGCACCGGCCAACTCCCCATGTCCACTTCTTGTTGTATCGGGGGCCCGTTCAAACAGCCTCCTCGACAAGCCGTGACGCCCAACAGACTTACACGCTTCGCGCCGGCTCTTCGTGTCGAGCCAGGCAGAAGGAAGCGAGGAGGCGAGGAGGCGAGGAGGCGAGCAGGCCAAGCTTAACAGGCCCACTGCGTATCTTCATTGCAAACAGCGACCAAGCGTGCAGACTGGGGACGTTTGACCACATCTATCTATGCATGTGACTTCTTTCGACGCATGCCAACCTTATTGCTCACATCATAGCGACTTGCCACTGCACTCTCTCTGAACCACACCAACGCCGTACTAGGCGCCTAGTCTAGGTAGCTCTGGACCACAGTGTCATTGTTCTCTAGTCAGACCGCCTGGACCATTTGGCAGCGCTGGGACCATTCATAAACCGCACGGGAGCCATCCCATCCGTCCTGGACTTGGACTGCCTTTGACGATCCAAACTCGCTGCTGTCTCACGCTTTGGTCTTGCTCTCTGGGCTCTCCGAGGTGCCATGTGCCAACGCTGAAGCGAAGGCTTCATCACTTCACGCCTTGGTACATGCTGAATGTCGAAAAGCACAGCGACCGACCGACCGACCGGCCGGCCGACCGACCGACAGACAGACAGACAGACGGACGGACAGGCAGACAGGCGGACGAGACAAACAAAGACACAATCAGCAGACGACGGACAACAGACGACGAGGCCGCTGCTTGCCAATTAATCAACCAACCAACCAACCAACCAACAAATCAGCACGCCGAGTCCTGACGGTTGTCATTGCCCAGCATGCAGTCCGCCTTGAAATGGTTTCAAAGCCCAAGGGACCAGCGGCAGCCGAGGCCGCCTCGCACGTCGCCCACGTCGCCCACGTCGCCCACGTTGGGTTCCCATGCCACTTCCGGATCCAGCGCCATGGCAAGCGCCAATAGCCCCGTGGCCCCCGCCAACGCCATCGCCGGCGCCACCACCACCTTGGCCAGCTCCCGCGACCTCGCTGCCTGTTCCCACCCAGACGCCCACACCCGAGCTGACCCCAAGCCTAGCCTGTCGGCCTTTTCATCAGAGTCGCAGGCCCAGCCGCAGACCCAGTCGTTGTCGCCTCAAGCGGAAACTACTCCTCCCGACCTTTTCTTCCCAAGATCTTCCCAGAGCACCCGTGCCACATCTGTCGTGAACGCCAGCGCTTACTCATCGAGGCAGTCGCCCACCGACACGTCCCCTTCAGACACGACTGTTTCTTCCTCCTTGACCGACACCACGTCCATCACTCATCCAGACGATATTACTGACCCTGCCAACGGCTGGGACACCTTGACCATGACTTCAGGCGCCCTCGACGCTGGTGCCGTGGGCCGCAGCCGGCAGGACTCCTTTGTCAGCGCTGGCCCGAAGCCTATTTCCGTGAATAATCAAAACCGAGATAACGTCAACCGAAACCGCCGAGAGTCACTTGCGGGCAGTCTAATGGGTGGCATGAGCTGGGGTGGCATGTCCTTTGGTAGTTTTGTTCGCGACGAGTAAGTCTGTCCCCAGAGTTCGTCGTCACTGTTGGGCATTTCCATTCCGTACTCCCTGTCCTGTCATCGCTTCACGGCAGCTGCCCGGTTTCCTCACGCTGCCCGGGATTCGCGGCCTGTGCTGTGCTTGTGCCAGGTCGTTATCCGGGACTGTTGAAGTGATTGTCTAACTTCGCCCCTTCTGAAACAATCCCCCCCCTACTCATACCATTTGGCTATCTGTGCATCCGTCTCGTCTCGGCGAGGTGCGGAGAGCGGCGCCGCACCCCACTGCGCGCACCGCACGTTGATGTTCAAATGCTAACATGATGGCGCACCAGTGTCATGATGCAGGGCACTTCGCCCAACCCATTTGGCGGCGGCATTCCTCAGTCCTCGTCGTTCCATTCATCGTCATACCTTCCAAAGCTAGAGGCCAGCTTCATGAGAGACTTTACCTGTTGTGGCAAGATCTTACCCAACCTGCACGACCTGCTGCAGCATTACGAAGAAGCCCACACCCAGCCCAGCCCAAATGCCTCGAGGAACGCTGCCTCTGCCCAGTTCGGCTTGCAAAGCACCTCCAACATGTCCAGCTCGCGGACAACACCGACCGGGTCAAGTCAACCAGGCCCTTCGCAACCGGCTGGTCAGCCACTTTCTCCCGGTGCAGCGCTTTCCCTGGGTGGCATTGGAGCCGGCGTGAACGGGGGCCAGATGAATCCCGCTTTGGCTACCAACCTTCATGACGACATGGAGGCTGTTGCCGACATGGAAATGGACGACGCCGTCGGCACCATGGAGCTGGATGACAGCAACAAGATGCACCAGACAAGACAACTGTTTGGACAACAGCAGCGACCGCAACTCAACATGAATACCTCCGGGCTTACTCAGGGCCTCCGTACCTCCCAGCCACCTACGCCAGCTGCTGCCAGCTTTGGCCTCCAGAACAACCCGACGGTGTCTTCTGTCAACACTCCAACCCTTGCAACTGCGCAACAAATGCCCCAGCAACAAAACCAACCAGCCGCAGACATGGACGATATGGACGAAGACCTCCCCGGAATGCCCATGGGTGGCACTGGCTCGACTGATATCGGCGACGGAAACTTTGCAAACGGCCACGAGTCAAATTTCTGCATCAACGATCCCGGCAAGCACCTGTTCAGTCCAAATGGCGCGTTTCCCCAAGGGAACCGAACTATCCAGGCTCAGCTGGCCCAACTCGGGCTGGGCCAGGGCCAGTTCACAGACCCTCAGAGCAACAAAATCCTGTTGCAAAGGCTTCAGAGTATGATGATGCCAGAGGAACACAAGCCGTTTAAATGTCCCGTTATTGGCTGTGAAAAGGCTTACAAGAACCAAAACGGATTAAAGTCAGTCTTTGATCTTCTGTGAGGTGCCTGTGGTATAGCCGCTAACTTGACCTCTCTATTTTAGGTATCACAAGGCTCACGGCCATCAAACGCAACAGCTGCACGAGAACGGCGACGGAACTTTCTCCATCGTGAACCCGGAAACGAGCGCCCCATACCCGGGAACAATGGGAATGGAGAAAGAAAAGCCTTTCAACTGCGAAACTTGCGGCAAACGCTACAAGAACTTGAACGGATTGAAATATGTGAGTTTCCATGAGATCCCAATTCAACTGCTAGGCGTGCCTAACAGCTCTGTTAGCACAAGTCGCACTCCCTGCCTTGCAACCCAGAGTTTAAGCTCCAGGCACTTGCCGCAGGCTTGACGCTGCCGGGCATTGGAGAAGATCAAATGATACAATAGGAAAGATGAAGACAGGACCTGGAACATACTGAGGGAGCCAGCCGACTGCTGGCAGCCACGCCCGACACCTGCAACATGATTGGCGGCAAGATACATGGCCTTCAAGGACCACTATGCCAGTCAACATGACAGGCGAGTTTCCCTTCGCTGCGTCTTGCTGAATCGTGGATCGCCAGCACAATCATGGGAGCTCATGTTGCCACCCAAAAAGTTAACATCTCCAATCCTCTTCTATGTTCTACTGCGTCGGCCCCCGCCCCCGTTTCCCCCCCCCAACCCGTCCTCCCCCTTCGTTCAACTGGCACGTGTTGGCGGTGGCGCACGGCGATAGCGTTGCAATATATCCTGACTCTGGTAATAGCAAAGCTCAGGCAAAGTCGACTAGACGCTCGATTTGATCTTCCTTCTTTCGAGGCTATTTCGATGGGTGACCGACTCGATCCACCAACGTGATCGACTCACCGCTCCCAACCCAGAGGCAACCAACAGAAGCTTCATGGTGCCATGGCGTCTAATGCTTGGGGGTCGGCAAAATTTTTTTTTCTTCTGTTCTTTTCGTCTACTACTAGCACAATGATACCCGGCGGCTACCCCGCCTTCACTTGGCGGGAAGAAATTACCGATGAATCATATTGGTTTTCCATGACGGCTATCGCATCGTGGCCTTTTCTCCCAGGTCTTATCCCAATCGTTGAGCGGAGGGTATGTTGGCGCCATGGCCGACATAGTAAAGTGGGATCTGTCGATGAATTGTTACGAGTTCAAAAATCAGCCGAGGCGAAGCACTCAATATGACGAGAAATTTTTCTCGCTGCTTGTACGATTTTGGAGGCACAAAATTGCCGAAAACTTTGGTATTGGGACGACTTTGCCGGTCTACCTAGTTGATCATGCGTTGTGAATACGCTTTGTTTTATGCATTTGGTCTCAGTCTCGAATCGCTCGTCTACATGCGGCTTTTCGACCACGGCAAGGCTGGAGCCGTGGCGTTTCTCAGTCTGTCTATGCTGGTTTTCATTTCCTGATGTTCTGTTGGCTCTGTCATGCAATACCTTGGCAGCTCGCGGGGCTTGTGATGAGAGAAAACTGGAGTTCTACATGCACCCTGGACTAGCTGCTACTTGGTAATGGTTAACACTGAATTCTTATAGAGAAAATTGCAAAGGGGGGTAGGGGGGATCGGTTTGCCACAATACCGTCCCATGGATTGAATAGAATGGATGCTGCCAGCGGCAATTCTGCCCAGTACCTGCTCCTCTGATCCGCTGACCGTGACGAGGGACGCATTACTTTCTGTCAAAGCATGACATTTGTCGCGACTAGACTGGCGGATTGTGCAACGAGTGTGCTGGTTTCGATTTTGGCATGGCAAACCCAACATGAAGAGCATATTCACCCCCTCGGAGGGATGATTGGTGCTGGCTACTATCCTTGTCGCGTATGCAACATGTTGTCAGGCTTCACTGGCACGTTGATAGTATGCCCTTCGAGTGCTGTCAAGGCTTTTGGAGTTGAAAAAGAAAGCAAAGAACTTGGCACTGGTCTCAAGTCAAGCCTTGCGGGAGGAAAAGTCTATTGAACCCACGTCATCAAAAATAAAACGCAGTCACCACCCAACGCCCAGCGATGCACGATCCAAAGCGAGCAAAGTCTCCGATATCGACAATTTTGCTGTGGCTGTCACTTTGACTCGGGTAAGACATGTGGATGTCATCATCCCCTGTCGTGGTTCCCGTAGTTTCCCTTTCATTATCATTCGTCATTTGGCTCATGTACAGTAGCCAGACTTGCGTAACAACCATCAGTTCAACTCCATGCCCTCATCATCGTCGGCATCAGATTCAACCATCGGGGTCTGGTTGCTGCTGATGCTCTCCTTCCGGCCAATGTGGCTCCCCTCCCCATAACTCGAGTTCATGCCGCTCCACTCCAGGTCTTCGCCTGCGACTACGCGGCCTTCCATGTCGACTTCTTGTGAAAGATCAACCAGCGCGGAGCGAGGAAGCCGAAGGAAGCCTTGGGTACGAACAATGCGTCCCCAGTGAGTCATACAGTATGTGGCTGCACGCTTACGCAACCACTCCTCACCAGCCAAGCCCGAGCAGTACCAGATGACACATGCATTCTCGACATCCAGCTCCTTGGCAAGGCGGTTGACGCACAGCAATCGTAGATGAGGAATATTATAAATGTTAGACATGACTAGAAGGCCAGCCACATCCGAGAGGTCCGTCGTGGCGTCACTATCGGCTTCCAACGTCCCATGGATGCTGTCGGTGTAGAGGTAGATTAGAAACGCTTTCACTACTGAGTATGGCTCCGGGATGTGCATTTTTTTGGTATGAAACTCCGCCATTTGGGCATTGTATAGCCGTGCAAAGTGAGGCCAGCGTGCTTGCAGGATGAGCTTGTGAACATGAATCGGCTGCGACGTTGGGACATCTGAAGCAAGCCAATCTTCATCCCGTGGTGAAGACTTGGAGCGAAACAAGCCAGAGTCGAGAACGTCATCTTCGCAGTCTTCAGCGAGTGCAGTGATGATGAAGTCAGTGCCACTTCCAGATTCCGGTGGTTGGTTGAAAAGCTTGGCCAAATCGCCACCTAATCCTTTGGATGGCTGGTCAGATGCCCTTGAATGGGCCAAGGGTCGTGATGCGGTTCGGGGTTCTGGAGTCATATTGTTGCCGAGGAAACCGTATTTTCGCAGATCAATCTCCATGATGTCACTGTCATAAAGTTAGCGATTGGTTGAGTTGAACCGACTCGCGACTATAAACACTTACCTCAGATATTCCTCGTATCCATTAGGACCCAGATCGGTTGAGGCCGCATCAGTTGGGCAGCCGAGAAGCCATGCCTTGGTGCCATCCTCGTTCATGGTACAGTAGTGCCATCTATATCCATGTTTAAATATTTCTCGGCCCTCTGCCAGCTTCTGCCACCTCAGAGTATTTAGATCTAGGACCGATAGCGAACACGCTCTTGGAGTGATAGTGGCTGCTGGTGTCACAAAATCAAGGAGGGTGCCAGATGCATACTGATGGTAGTGAATTCCAGAGCCTTGAGACGGAAGTGCCTGTCCAAACATGAATTTCACCGCGGATATCGTTCCTGGAGCCATGGGAGCGTACGTCTTCAACTGAAATGACGGTGGGTTGACCTGCGCGGTTCTTGAATTTGCAGCATAGCCGGATGAGCCAACGGCTGGGGCGGGTGCTATGGTGTATGGTGGGCGAGGAGAACCGCTTGTTCTACTTGCCGCAGAGTTGCGGTCAAACACAGCCATATGCGGTGGAGAATCAAACTCTGGACATCCCTTCAGATCTAGCCACCACAGGTCACTGATCTTGTCCATGTCCTCGCTCAAACCTCCAAAAACCCAAACGCGGTCACCCCATATGTAGGCAGAATGATCAAACCGGCCGACAAATCGCCATGCCTTTGACCAAGTAAAGGTCCTGAGGTCAAGGTAGCATATATCATCCAGAACATAATTGTTCTGTCCGGTAATGCCACCAATGATAAAAAGCTTGTCCTCATGCAAAACGGCGGCGTGTCTTGCCCGGCCTTTTGGAATAGGGCCGGATACTTGTGGCTGAGTCCAGTGGGCAGTCTTGAGGTCGAAGACGATAAGATCGGAGAGGTACGTTCGATGCTCGTTTTCGCCGCCGAACACTAGGAGCTTGTCACCTTGATATAAAGTGGCTGTGTGACCTAAAGATATGATATCGAGTTAGCTCGGGAATCTGAGCAAACACATCGGCGGAGAGCTTGGTTCCGTACCCATTCGCACACCGGGAATGTCGCCATAATTGTCGACCAAGCTCCACTGATGGCTCATGAGGTCTAGTCGAAGCACATGATTGTATACTTCGTCCGTGTACTGGTCAAACCCGCCGAAGGCATATATTTGGTTATTTCCACAGTACGTCACAGACGCGTTCACCAAGCAGGCAGGTCGCTGACCCAAAGTTCGTGTGATTCTTGGGCGGTATCCATCCGATGCAGGACGAGTCTTGGCGGGGGAGTTTGGCATGATATAAGTATTGTTCGATGACGAGGCTGCAGACGTCGGTGTAGGTGCCAGAGTAGCAGTTGATGACAATGTCAGGCTAGTGATGGCGGAATTTGAATGGTTTGGTTCTGGGACATGAGCACCTGGGCCGCCAAAGATGGATGAAACCGGTGCTTGACCAGGAGTCGAAGGTTGCGCCATGTTCATGGACCTTTGTGACAATGCTCGATCAAGTCATTTCAGCCACCAAGAAGGAAAACCAACCGAGTGGAAGGAAGGGCGAGTCTCGATACTGGCGAGCGGCCAAGAAATGGGAGATTCGCAAACATACAGTAAGCGAGCAAAGGTAGTGTTGGAGACACAGCGCTGCAACAGTTGATGCCGAACACTTGGACTAGTAATAATATCTCCACAGGAATTCGGGTTGCAAAACGGAGTAGATTCTGGGGCGGTTAATTTCGACGCTTCTCGAGTTCTCCCCTGCGCCTGCCCGGGAAAATTGCAGGGGGTTAGTACTAGAAGGGGCTTAGTGCGCGGCTGGGCGAACGTCGGCACGGATATTTTATCATCCGCCTCCTTTGCCGTTGCCTGGACAGAGTTAGAGTGGGGCTCAAAGTAAATAAAAGGGATCCGTGGATGACATCCACTCAAGCGCTCTCCCTCTTCTACAAACTACGCCCATTCTTTGTTCCGGAGTCCCTTGACCTCGTTCTGCTCTCGTGTTCTACGAAGCACTTTTGCTTCGCTAAAATAAAGTGCATCAAAATACAACAAAAAAAGCATAGAAAAAAAATTATCTCGAGAAACAGCTTCCCCTGCAACTCACCCAGTTCGGACAGAAAGTCAACCTGACCTTGAATCACTTGCCACAGTTCACCGATCCAGTCACCGATTCCTGCCAGTCCTTCGTGAGGGCATTTTTAAATTTATCGGATACCAAGTACCGATTTAGATAATACTAATTGGCCAGGAACCTTTAGCTAGAGTCTCTTGGAGCTTGCCTGATCAGACGGCTCAGCTGGTACACGTCAAGACATCCTCAACCTAGTTGATGCGCAATACCGTCTGACATCATGGCTACTGCAACTTTATCGACGCCTATCAAATCGCACAAGGGCCTCTTCTCTTCCCGTACCGCCGGCGGACGGATCCCTCTCACACCCTCCCCTCGACAGTCGGGCAATGGAGCAAATTCGTCACCGTTTACTCCCGACAAGCAGACAAAGTCGACCTACGGGGGAAACCTGATGGCACATTTGGCTCGCTCCTCGTCCAAGAACCCTCATCGGGAGTCTCCCAAGTCCAACATTGCCCGCGCTGTTTCTACGCCTCGCAAAGCTCTTGAGCTTGGTGTTTCTAACTTCACTCTTACTGGAACCGGTCTCAAGACGCCCGGCAGTGCCAAGTCACGAAAAGCCCCTCTGCGACAAAAACCTATCAAGGCGACTATCAACTACGGCGGCGACCGCTTTATTCCTAACAGGGGTGCCAGCTCAGCCATTGCTAATGCCGGTTCCAGCAAGCTGCCACGAGGTGACCGTCAGCGGCCAAAGGCCACCCAAGGTGACAGCTCTTCAGTCCTATCCTCAGCAGCTGATGATGCGGCGGCTGCACTGGAGAGCCTGAGCATTAATGACGACGAGGCGGACAACTATTCCCGTCCTTCTCCCAACACGGTTGCCTACCAGGACTCGCTGGCCAATGCATGTGGAGTCAAGCTCAACACTCGAATTCTCGAGTTCAAGCCCGCGCCCCCAGAGTCATCCAAGCCTATTGACCTCCGTCAACAGTACAATAGACCCCTCAAGGCGAATGGAGCCAGCTCTGCTCAGCTACGCCGGCGCATCGCTACTGCCCCTGACCGCGTTCTTGACGCTCCCGGCCTCATTGATGACTACTACCTAAACCTACTCGACTGGAGCTCTGGAAATCAAGTTGCCATCGGTCTTGAGCGCAGTGTTTACGTCTGGTCTGCTGATGAGGGCAGTGTGAACTGCCTGTTGGAGAGCCCTGCAGATACCTACGTCAGCAGTGTCAAGTGGTCTGATGATGGCGCGTACGTCGGTGTCGGGCTTGGAAGCGGCGAGGTTCAAATTTGGGACGTATCCGAGGGACAAAAGATACGCAGCATGTTTGGTCATGGCACTCGCGTTGGCGTCATGGGATGGAGTAAGCATCTGCTCTCTACCGGTGCCCGCAGTGGTTTGGTGTTCAATCACGATGTCCGCATCGCCGAACACAAGGTGGCCGAGCTTGTCTCGCATACTTCCGAAGTTTGTGGTCTGGAATGGCGCTCAGACGGCGCTCAGCTTGCTACTGGCGGCAACGACAATCTCGTCTCCATCTGGGATGCCCGCTCGTTGTCTGTTCCCAAGTTCACCAAGACGAATCACAAGGCTGCGGTCAAGGCCCTTGCCTGGTGCCCGTGGAACATGAACCTGCTGGCCACTGGTGGCGGCTCTTACGATCGTCAAATTCACTTCTGGAACTCGACGTCGGGTGCTCGGGTCAACAGCATCGACACTGGCTCTCAGGTTACATCTCTTCGATGGAGCCCCCACTACCGAGAGATTGTCAGCTCCAGTGGCTTCCCAGACAATTCCCTCAGCATATGGAGCTACCCTGCTCTTGTTCGTAATGTCGAGATCCCTGCTCATGAGAGCCGAGTTCTCCATAGCTGCCTCAGTCCGGATGGTCAGATGCTGGCCACGGCGGCTGCGGATGAGAGCTTGAAATTCTGGAAGGTGTTTGAGAAGAGGGCCGGCACCGCCTCTGGCATTGGCGGCTCCGGAACCTCTGGCAAGGCTGACATGGTTAAGCACATGACCATTCGGTAGAAAAACGGCGCGTCATTACCAAATGTCGAACGGTAGGTAGGGACTGTTGCATTTACTTGTCGACTTTGGCGTGGGTAGTGAGCGAAATGTTGTGAGCGCGGCGCTCCGGAGTTTGGTCTTCTACTCTTTTCAGCACGTGGCACGAAAGCGCTTCTCCACGCACGAATGAAGCAGAATGAGATGGTCTACACACGAGTCGGGGCTGGACGGTGAGGGTGTGTCACTGGGCTGCCAGGGTCATTTTGAATCTTGAGCAGTAAAGGACGGGTTGGGAATACATTGAGGGCTTGCTTGGGCTTGGGAAATAAAAATTGTTATTGATTGGTTGGGGTGTGACGCGGTCAGTATCTCAATACACGTGTGATGGATGATGGCATTCGAACTACTCCGTATGAGATACACCCTGATCGTCGTGCCTGCTGCAAGTGTACCAGGTCAAACCTGCCTTGGGGTACGGAGTACTTGAGTACCTAATCTGCTCAGGTGAGGACCTGCCTAGTACCGGTACCTACCTGCTTTACCTACCTAGGTACCTACTTAACAGGTAGTGCGGGCACGGAGGCTCCCTCGGCTGCTACCGAGGGTGAGATTACTAAGCACGAGCGGGCTGCGGAGGCGCCTAAGAAGTCGAAATCCCACCTACCACAGCCATCTCTCACCACTGCACACCACGGGCCTGGATAAAGCCAACGGCACCGGAAACCCTTGTATCGACTCCAGCCATACGGGCGAAACCACGATAGGGCATCGCCGCCAATACAGACGGACAACTTACGGGCTACAACAAGGGCCGCCGTGTCTCGAAGATTTTGGTGCCACGGCAGGGCTGGAAGATCCCCGTCTGCGTTGGACCGGGACCAGTGACAAACAATCGGCCTTTGTACAGTCTCGACATCCCAACGCTGCGCAACAGGTTGCCAAAGTAAGTAGGCTGCGACTAGCCCTCGACAGCGTTTGATCTCGGCAACGGCACTCAGGAGCTGTGCCCAGGTTCACCGACCGGATCCCAGTGTCGCACGGGTACGCGAAGACTGCAACAAAAGGTGGTCATCATGTCGAACCAGGCTGTCGGAACCGTCTACCAGGCCATCATCGACGAGGTGATCAACAGTTCGAGAGTGGACTTTGAGGAGAGCGGCGTGGAGGAGAGCGTCCTAGAGGAGCTGCGTCAGGTAAGATGTTGCTCTTTGTTGTTCGGGCCTCCCTTCACATGGTTTGCTTCGTTGTGGTCTGGATTTGGTGAGGATGCACCGTGATCCACGGGAGAGGGAGGCAAGCAACCCCAAGCCAAGCTATTTGCGGGAGCACCCCATGCAAGCCTTCACTCATGAACCCGACGTACTCCGACACCTCCTTTGGAATTTTCCTCCGACCGAGTTGCGAACCCAAGAGGTGCTGCAGCAGGCAAGTGCGATTGCGCATCATCACAACGACGTTTCCGTTTGGAGTGGCGGCATGGCAAGACGGCAGGCAACATGGCAGGCCTCTGGCTCAGACCAAGAAGCGGGCGGAGGAGCGAGAGGAGGCGGGCAGCCCAGCGCTATATGGGCCTTTTTAACTTCCCCGCTCCCCGCCGCCCCCCCCTTGCTCAGGTGTTGCCATCAATGCCTGATCTGGCCATCGGTCACCGCGCCACCCAGCAAGTCACGTGCAGCACATGTCGGTCCCGGGAGGACGGACTTACACATTCCCAGGTCTTGGGGTGAACAGTCGAGGGACGACTGACTGTCTCTGCTGGCGGCTGCGTGAAGATGTAAATTGCCACGGGAGCGCCGTGGGTAGCCTCGAAAGTTTTGCTGGCTTTGTGGAACTGTTCTCACTATTCCTCGTCGGCAGTCTTGTCCCCC